TTCCTTATATTAATATTTAATACAAATAAGAAATATTAATAAAAAGAAATTAATAATTAACTTAATAACTCTGTAACAATTTTACAAAAACCGAAAAATAAATAATATCCATTAGATTTATAACATATACAACCTAATTAACATTATAATAAAAGCATTATTAAATAAAGTTATAAAATTATTAATGAAGAATAATTAAATTAATTTACACTTAAAAAGGTAGGTGAAACGCGAGGAGCTTAAAAACGGTTATATATTACCACAATAACAAGCTATTACAATTAAATGCAAGTACTAACACAACAAAAAATATTATATAAAAATTTATTAATTAGCCCAAATATGGGATAGTATAATAATAAATTAACATAAATTAACATATAAAATAGCCCCTAATTTAAGCTATCACATTTCTAACTTTAACTTATTACAAAAATATGCAACATATTAATATAACTGTAAACTATTACAAACGCGTGTTAACTTATATAAAAAATGGTCCATATATATACTAATACACATTCAGACCAACATAAGCATATATTATCGTAAAGTTTTTTAGTTAATTTTTTCTAAGATTTTTTTTTATTATATAAACCCCCTTCGCAATTAATTAATTGCAAAAAGAAAATAAAGTAAATAGTAATTATATAACATCGGCGTATGGCATTTTATTAAGGATAAGGTGCTTTATCGCCGATATTGGAGGAAGAAACAATATACCCATTATTATTATATAAAAGGATATTACACTATTAACTAACTTCAAATAAATTCTTCCCTCCTTAAACATTATCAATATACCAGTCTTACCCCCATTATTATTTAATTTACTTATTTATTACTTTATATTATACGTACGTACCTACCAACACTTTATAAGCATTTTCTTTTTTAAGCAAGTTATTAAATATTAATTATATTTTATTTTTAAAATTAGAATATTTATTAAAAATATATTAGGATTCTTTTATTTTTTTTTAAGTGTTATTAAGATAATTATTTATGATAAGTTAAAATTATTTAAGGGCGCTGCTTTTTAAATGTTAATACATTATTAGGACTTTATATTTATTTTTATTAAAGTTATTTTAATAAAAAGTTAAGTAAAGTTTAATTGTATTAAGTTAAGCTTTTATATTTATAATATTATTATATTTAAGTAGTGGTAAAAGTTTAAATCCTTAGTTTATTAATAATAAAATTATAAGTTTTTATTATTTTATAAGTTATAAGTTAAGATTTTTATTAAAGTTATTATTAGGGTTATTATTTAAATTATTATCTTTTTTGGTTTTAAGTTTAGTTAATTTCTTTTTAAAAGTTTTAAACTTGTTTTTAAGTTTTTTATAATTTTTATATATATTTTAAAGCTTTTTTTTTAAGAGGTTAATTTATTTTCCTTAAATTAAGGCTTTTTCCTTTCTTTTATTAGTAAATTCCGAAGCTTTTTTTACCTTTTTTTTAAATAATTTAATTTAAAATTTAATTTTAATAAGAGTTATATTATTAATAAGTTTTAATATGTAATTAAAGGGTGGTATATTAAGTTTATTATATTATTTTATTAGGTTAACTTTTATTAAAAGTTGGTTTTTAAAGGATTTATTTAATAAATATTTTAAGATAAATAAATTATAATTAATTTAAATAAACGAGGGAATGTTATTATTAATATTTATATTATATTTAATTGGTAACAATATTAATTAAAGAATTATTAAAATATGATAAATTTATATTTAAGTTTGTTAAAGTGTAATAATAATGGTTTTAATTTTAAGTAAATAGTAATAATATAAGTTAAATGTTAATAAAATATTAAAAATGTTTATTAAAAAAGTTTAAAGTTTTTTTCTTTATATAGGTTAAATATAAGATTTAGATTAATAATTAAAGAAATATAAATAAATGTTTAAATATATAATAGTTTTTAAATATTTTATAGATTTTTTTTTTATTTAATGTTTTAAAAGCATTATAATGTAATTAATTTAAATGATTTAACTGATTTAATTAAATTAGTTAAATTAGTTAAATTAATTAAATTATATGAGGGTTAGTCCGTAATTGGGGTTTATTCGTTCCTTTAAAACATCCCCGCTCCCGTTGCTTAAACTAGTACGTTTTTTAATGGATGTTAGTTCGTAACATACGAGTTAAATGTTAATAAAACGTTAAAAGTGTTCGTTAAAAAAGCTTAAAGTTTTTCCTTTTATATGGGTTAAATATAAAGCTTAAATTAATAGTTAAAAAAACATAAATAAATGTTTAAATACATAATGGTTTTAAATATCTTATAAACTTCTTTTTTTACTTGGTATTTCTTTAAAAGCATCGTGGATCTTATGGTTTTTAAAAATCTTAAAGATTTTATATTTTTCGGTAAGATCTTTAAGATTTATAAGATCTATAAGATCCATATATCCGAGGTTTAACCGAAACGCTGTTAATTAATATCCCCGCTTTTATACTGGGTATAATTTCGTTACTTATTAGCTCGTAACAAATTATTAATAAGTACATACGTATAATAAAAATAATAAATAAATAAAATAATAATAATAAAAGTAAAATTAATGTATTAATAATATTAGTAAGTACGTACGTATAATATAAAGTAATAAATAAGTAAATTAAATAATAATAAAAGTAAAATTAATGTATTAATAATGTTTAAAAAAAGAAGAATTTATTTAAAGTTAATTAATAATGTAATGTTTTTTTATATAATAATAATGGGTATATTGTTTTTTTTTAATATTAGTAATAAAACATTTTATTTTTAATAAAGTGTTTACTTGTTAATGTTATATAATTACTAATTAATAATAAAAAAATATAATTATTTAATAATTTTTATATTTATTATTATAAAATTTAAAATTAAATATATAAATATATATTTATTAATTTAATTAAATATTAAATAAATAAATTAAAATTAAATTTTATAATTATATATATTTAATTATTTTATTATATAAAACTTAAAAATAATAAAATTTTAATAAAAAATTAATAAAATTATAATAAAATAATAAATAAATAAAAAAATTAATAAATTTATTTAAATTATTATATATTTAATTATTTATTTATATTTTTTTTAATTATTAATTTAAATTTTATATTTAATTTATATAAAAAAATTTTTAAGCTTTTTTAATAAATATTTTAATATTTATTTTAATATTTAATTTATTTTATTATTATTTATTTAAAAATTAAAACTTATAATTATATGTTTTTAATTTAAATTTTATTAATTAATTAAAATAAAAAATATTTTTTTAATATTTTTTTATTTTTTTTACTTTTAATTATATGTACTTTTTTAATTATATAAACTTTTTTAATTATAATTTAATTATAATATATTTAAATTAATTAAAATAAAGTATTTTTTTTTCTTATTTTTTTTTCTTATTTTTTTTTCCGATACATATTTTTAAGTTAAAATTTAAAGCATAATAATTGTAAAATATCTTAAAAGTACCTAGGTACCTAGCTTTAAGTCTTAATCCACTAAAACTAACCCACTTAAACTTTTTCTAATCCATTAAACTCTGCAAGATTCCAGCACGTGCTAAACGCATATATGCACCTAATGTCTAAACCTTGTCAAAAATAGCATAATATCTACCTAAGTACCTAAGGTAACTATAGCTTTTATTACTTCGCTATAACACCATTATCTTGCCACATTCATAAAAATACCACGGTTAAGGTCTTGTAACTGCAAGATAGGTATATATAAATCAAGTTAAATACGAACAAAATAAACTCTTTAAGACAGGTTCTCCGAAGTTCCAACATGTTGAATTCCAAGTTTGAGACGATGTTCGCGGCCAAGAACCGGTCCGAATACCTAGGTACCTAGGAGGTATCCAAGTACCTAAGCTAAGACTCAAATACCTTTGCGATACTTGATAGGTACCCGCTAAGATATCTGCAATACCCGTCCTGTAAGCTGTTCAGGTACTCCGGTACAATTAGGTACCTTCAACGTTCATAGAAGGTACCTAGCACATCCCGTTCACAGTTTCTAAGTTAGTGGGAAATGTTCATGCGGCCAAACCCTGTCTATCTCTATAAGAATTACACCACATTCCTCTCCCTTGCTACTTGTTCCCGCTTTGTTTTTGGGGGGGGGTTTTTTCTTCTTCTTCCAACGAGCGAATTACATCCCGAATCAGAGGCATAAATATCTCCAAAAAATAGATGCGCTTCTATAACTGACGTAGCCCTTTCGTCATTTTTCCTTCCCATAGTCATTGTCTTTCCCTTCTCCGTTGCCGATCGCGAACCTGACCAAAGCAGCCGAGTTCGTTTTATCGTCATGCTAGTGGTGCGTGGCGGTTGTGGTGTTTGTGGCTTTGCCTCCGGATCTGCTCCTGCTAGTCCCGGCAATGATCTTCTATAGGTACCTAAGGTATACAGGCGTGATATGCGATCACCGCTGCATTATCCCGACAAACTGAAAAATAATAATAATAAAACGCCATGTCCTATAAGTTGCGTCTCAGATAGAGAATTGTACATGATAACCCACACTGCGCCAGGGCAACTGATTCAATATTACTACAATACACCTGTAGTTGATCGTAACCGCTGGGAGATAAGAATCAACAGCTTCGTTCTTAATAATTGATGATGAGGCGGTCTACCACACACCACACACCACACACACATACTATCAAGCGAAAGAGAGGAAGGTTGCAGTGCCTATACCAATAATGCATCATAAAGTAGTAGAGCCTCTAGGCCTACCATTCCAGTTTGTCTATCAACAACCCTTCATTAACTCGAAGCTACCGTAGTAGATTGAGATGAGCCTAGACATTCATACCTCTTATCTCCGACAAAGCATTACAAAGACCTTTACGAGATAGTCGTAGCTATTGTCACATTGTCTAGCACTTCTATAGCCCTTGAATTGCTGGATAAAGTTGACAATTTGGCACATTACAAAACTCTAGCCGGTGAATGCACCTAAGCGCTCTAGAATAGTCTTGGGGGGACTGCTCTCTATTATTAGTATTACTATACGCTCAATGTTGATGCTTCCAAAAAGCGCCGGTGAGAACTGAATAAGCGCATCTCCCGCCTCTATAGATCGCCAACTCCTTCGGGATGCCTATCTATGTGTATAGATCAAACCAATACTAATACTAATAAGGAATACCATTGGTCATGAGCTGGAACTGGTCGTACACCATGGTACTGTAACTGCCCGCGCTCCTCCTTACTAATTCCCTCACGAAGTCGGCTGCCTCGCGCTCGGTGCGTTCTAGCACGAACCGCTCTTTGAAAAACTTGACGCTCTCTGGCTTGAAGCATGGCAGTCCGCTTTCCATCATGAGTAATACAATCTGGCTTAGCTTCTCTGCATGTGGACGGCACGCCAAGAAGGACTTGACGCACAACTCCTCGAACCATTTAAATGCCTGGTGATCGGTGCTACCTCCCATCACCGCTAACATCTCACCGGTAAGCTTGAACGGCGCACGCTCAAACCGCACACCACCAGGAGCGATATCGAAACAGAATCCAAAGTCGATATGCAAGATATGGCCGGCGTCATCAATCATAATGTTACCATTGTGACGGTCCTTGAACTGCAGGAGGAAGGATATAATGCTGTAGGCAGCCATGCTCTTTACGAAATTGTGACGCGCGTGCTGGAAGCGGAGCGAATCTTCGTTGCCGTATTTGCTGATGAAATAATCGTATAATCCGTTGACTGCCTCGCGACCCAGCATATCTCGGGAAATTGAATTAGGCAAGACGTCGATGACACCACAACCCGGTGCGGTAGCTGTTACGCGGTAAGGGAACACGTATACATCGAGTCCAACGCTGTGGAAAATGCCGCGGAACGCTGCAATCATCTGTAAAGCCAACACATCTTGTCGGCAGTCATCGCCGACCTTGAAGATAGCGCTCTGCCACACCTCGATTGTATTCTCAGCCGGAGGCTCACCCGTCTTGTTCATTTCTTGGGCTACTTCTTCTGTCTCCTCAACCCCGCCCTTTGCTTTCTTGATACGGAATGTAGCCATGAATGGTGCCTTCGCGTGTGATTGTAGCGGTTTACCAGATTTACGATCAATGCCGATAACGACACCGTCGGGGTTACTAGGTAGGTAGACCCCGACATCGACCGTGATCTTTCGGAGCTCTTCTTCGATCTTCTGCTTCTTCTCCGGTTTGTCACGCTTGATCAGAGGCTTAAGCTTGCCAGATATACTGGTGACCTCATCAAAGAACGTAAACTCTCTCTCGTAGAAGTTTCGGTCTTCATCAGAAAAGCTGCCAATCATCTTGTCCATCACCTTGTCGAGAGCAGGTTTTATGGCATCAGGCTAGCAACATGTCAGCAAGAGGCCATCGGGCTGCAACGTCGCAAAACTTACAATAGTAGCATCGTCATCTTTATATGAGTTTGCTTTCATGTTCCAGATAATTTGATGAGCGAACAACTGAGAGAACTGTGCTGTTTCGATGATATAACGTTCCACGTAACCCAGAGCATCAAAGCGAAGGCCTTGTACGATCTGTGGCACATAGAAGAAAGTTACGTCGACTGAGTGATGCTCCAGTGCTCTCATAGCATATTGGATCAGGAACGGATGGTTCCGATACGAGGGCAAAAAGTAGGTAACAGCGGTGACAGGGTTCACAGGTGCCCAGAAAAGTAAGTACTACAGTTAGTCTGTTAGTAAACAGGCAAAACATGGGAAAGCCTTAAAATCGGTACCTTAAGCTGGAATCCAATATCAGACGGTAGTTCGCTCCCTAATAAAATTGGGAGAGCTTCGGGCTCGGAGATAGCCTTGGCTGGGAAATTCATCAAGAGCCAGCGAACTTCATTATGTACGGCCGGGATCGAAAATCGGCTGGCTAGCTGTACGGCTATAGAGGGATGTTCGGACCACGCTACGCGAACGAGGGGTTTAAGTGTAGACTTGTGAATTAGCTTCCTATGCCTCATCAGTTTAAGTGGGCATAAACCTACTTCAAGTGCTGTCCCAGTGCGATGTGCTAGATGTGATCGTGGTTGGCCATCGCCCAGGGGATGCACCCAAACGTTCAATCTGGTTTGTTCACTCTCAAGTAAAACCTGGAATAACATCTCCTTTTGGGTAAGAGGTTTGAAGTTGCCGACAGCCTGAGCACCGACATAAGAGACGGTTTTGAGAGCGCTTAAGACGTCGGTAATTAGGCGTACTTCCGTCTTCAACTGAAGCAGATTACTGCCAAAGGACCATTTTGGCGAGAATTTGAACCAACTCAACCCCGCAGAGAGTATTTTGTCTTTGAGTCGCCACTGGATTGATGGGCGGACAGCGGTGCTCACTCGCAGTACTCTTAAGCTAAAGAGAACAATTCTCAGGCGAATTTCTCTAGCCATGGGATGAGAGCTAGAATTCTTCAGGGCGTCGAGTGTCGAGTCAAGCATACGGATGAAAATCCTGTGCATATCTGGGCTACCCAATCGAGTAGCATTGAAGTGACTGCTGAAAAACTGAATGAGGCGGGTATGTGGAGCAAGCAAATGCTGTACCTGCTGCCGGCGCCTCGCGAGGCCCTCGTTGTCGCTGGGAGCGAATTCTTCCTTGAGGAAGAAAGGGTCCGGGTGCCTAACAAGATTAGAATAAATACGAATTATATGAATATATATCTTACATCAGAGTAGGGCTGAATAACCCAAGCTTATTATGGATAGCGATCTCCCATTGCTGCGCAATCTCGGCAAGTATTCGTGACTCCATCCGGGGATTTTCATTGATGACGCCCAGCCAGAGTGACACACCAAAATTGATAGACTCCTTTGTAAACATTTTGAAAGGAATGCTAACAAGATAATGTGTGATGGCACTTTCATCTCTTCCACTACGGCATAGTAGGGCTGCAGCGCGTCGGAGTATATCTCGCACATCATTGAGAGGTATGGTCTTCTTGCTGGTAAGACGGGCTCCCACGTGGGCCAAGGCCGCGACAGCGTCAGCGCGGTCTGATGGGGCAGCTCTAATGAACGAGTCCCGTCGCGTTATGGACATAACGCTTATTAGATCATTACCATGACTAGGCAGTGCTTCGCCGTATCTATATTCTTGGCGGGTTGTATACTGAGCAATGAAGTGAGACGCGGTGTTAATTGCGGTTTGGCCCACAGGATCCAGAGAAGTTAATCTTTGATCCGTTGCGGGAATTGAGGAACCCATTTCCACGGCCAATGACCGACCAAGCGACATATGCCCATACACTCCCTCATCCTGGAATTCAGACAAGTATGTTTGAAGTAAACCTTTCACATCAGAAGGGGCTAGGTTGATTGCCATTGCAACCCACGCCTTGGCTTTCGTGTAGAGGTTATTAAGCGTGGCCCTCCTGAAAGCATAATCATCGGAAAGTTCGACAGTGACATTTCCTAAGCGGGACGTAAATACTGACCGCGGATCGTACATCTCAGTCTCCGCTTCAAGGCAACTTGTCCACATAAGAGACAGCAGCTCGAGGAGAGCAAAAAGAGATGACTTTTGACAAAGAGATGACGGAATCTCACGAACAAACTTGTCCGCACAATAGAATGCGGCTTGTTGAACACGTGGAATACGATGGCAACACCCGCAGAAGATTGCCGCGAGTTGCGAAGCCGCATATAGGGCCGAAAAAGTAGGCAGTTTTGCTTCCAATGTCTTTGACAGGTACTTTTCCATTACGACGGCGGTGATGCCTTCCATAACGCAACGTACATCGTCGTTGCGCATACTGGGCTCCAAAAAGTATGAGAGTGTTTTGGTGCAGTCGCCAGAATCAGCCCTCAAACTCTCAACCAAATATGCAGCCTGCAGGAAGATAACTTTTCTGTAGCTTAGGCTCCTGATCTGTGGTACTCGTGACGGTACAAGTTCCGCGAGCTGTCTTTTCTGCTTTGCCTCCCGGTCTGAAGTGTTAGCCCGGCGGAGGACAGTGTTAAGTTCAATGTCACTCTCAACCTGTTCCCCTCGTTGTTCGGCCACTAAAGGCGGAGAGTGGATAGCCATGATGCGCAGTTCGTTGATATACTTCTTGCCCCTGTCCGTCAGTGACGTGAAACCGTGCACCACAATATTAAACCAGGCATCTCGAATCAAAGAGTGTCTATCATCGTCTTGGCCAGGAAGCTCGGATGTAAACTCATGCCTTGACATTAGTATTGCGAGAGGTTGGAGTAGCTGGGCAATCTCATGAGCTGCAAACTCAACATCAGATTCATTCATGTGCTGGGACTGATGTACGTCTCCTTTGGATATCAGCTCCTCTAGTATATGGTCCCAGTAGATGTCATATAGCGGAGAGTCACGCTTCACGTTTGCCGATATATGATTCCGAGCTGTCCTAACCTGTAGAAATTCATTAGCTGGAGTTCATGAGCGTATACCGAGAGTGTCTTACAGCGTCAAGGATGATAGCGTTGTCTTCAGCAGACGCATTATGGCAGAGCTTAGAATATAATCTAAGGAGGGACCTGAATTCAAGCTGTCCTCCATTTAGAGACAGGATACTCGCTCCAGTGACAATGTGGCAATCGACCGACTGGTTGACTTTGGTTAACTTTTGCAACAGCATTGCCTGCGAGAGAGCTGTAATCTTTTCGTCATCGCACATCTCTGCAATGCTACATATAGCTTGGACAATATTCGCGTACACCACGGTAGTATCTTCGTCACCACGAAGTTGGAGTGATATATCACTGCCTGTAGACTGTCTACGTTGGTACACATTTGACAATCCATTGAGTTCGCCGGCAGACCCATTTGGAGCGTTACGCTCCGTATCCGGGCTTAGTACGTTTCCAAGAGTATATAAAGTAGTAATAACTGCATCTTGGGAAAGTAGACGCAAGGTAAATGCCAAACATTTCGACGCGGTAGCTACGATACTACTAGCGGGTGTCGTCTGAACGATGAAACGTGGTAAAAGTCGAACCACAAGAGGAGCAAAATTTGGCGAGATTTTAGCAAGAATGGCCATCGAACGAAATACTGTCGACGCTAACGTCTCGTCTACCATCTGCATTGGATTATCCAAGGATTCCTGTAGCCAACCCATGAGAACCTCTGGATCTGCCGCATCTTCGTTCAATATAGAGCAGTTCAAGAAACTAGTGATGGCGGCGGCTTTTACGGTGCAGGCTAATCTCTGCTGAGCAGACGAACCGAGCTCAATGAAATCAGCACTGGCTTCGAGACGGTCCATCTCCTCTTGCGCGATACTTGCATATAGTTCAATCGACTGAAAATCGGGGTCTGGACTACTTCCGGAGTTTAGGTTTGACAGCCCGTCTTTAGACATCAATAGATCGAGGATATGAGAGGTTCTGAGAAGCTTGACATCCGCGATTAGAAGCGAGGTTGTAGAGACTAAGAGCCACATGAAGCTTCTTTGAAGCAACATAGAGCCCAAGGGCCGTCCCTGGTTGGCGTAATGCCGGAGCATCCTCTTCCAGTCTTTGGCATTGCGGTCCGACGCGTGGACATTTCGAATGGTAGAAAATGCGCCGTCCACGGCAGTCAAGAAGGACTCAGAGAGCAAGTTGCTAATCCTCCTAATGAGGGCCAATCGTCCACCACTCCTCCAAAAGTTAGCTTGGGCAGAAGCAGCATCGAGGAACCCCAGCAAAGAGATAGCTATCGTTGCAAGATGAATGGCGTCATCCAAGTTTGGTTGGGCATCCCCATTTGGTTTGAGTGGAACAGTGCCCTTCACAGTCGTAGACATTGCAGCCAAGAGAGCCCAAATGTTATCTGACACAGTCTCGTGTAGGTCATCGTAGTTGTTTCCCAAAGTGAGTAGGGCCGCGGTTACGTGGGAGGTTAACGCTTCGATAGGAGACGGTTCAATCTTGCTGAAAGCGGGCGACGGGAGAAAGGTCTGGGAGTGTGACTCGAGAACATAGGGTATTAACTGGTTAACTAGCTTCTGAGCGCTCTGGCTGCTCTGTACTATGGGCGCGGCTCTGCAGAGGGAAACAAGCACTTCGAATTCACGTATAGTCTTGGATGATTGGTTAGCTATCCTGGGTAGTTGTTGTCTCTTAATATTTCGAGGTACTTTACCATGGGAACACGAGCCAACGAGGACTGGTTACCTCTAGCTAAGCCATTGACACCTTCTTTCCCCTTCCCACGAATATTCGTAGCCCTACATAGTCGATCGAGGTCTGATCTGTCGAAAGATGTCGTGGAGCTCGTGGCGGAAAGTACAGCAATCTTCTGCAGCGCCTGCTGACGGACGTTGCGTGCCATTTTTAGGCACGATATTTATCTAGGCCGAAAGATATTGCCGAGCATTAACTACGATAGATAATGAAAGAGTGTGGTGTGTGTGAATTACAGAAGAAAAAAGATTACACGGAACTATAAGATTTAACGACGAGGTTGAACAAAAAGGAGTGATTGTCGCAAAAGCAGTTTCGGATTAGGAACGGTTTACAATTAAATTGATGATGTAGAATGCAGATGGCACTTCCCCTTTCCCTCCGTAAAAACTTGGTGGATCCCCCACTAAGGCTAGGTAACACTAGACTTAGTCATCAAGAGCTACCCCTGTTAAATGCCTTTTAGTGCACACGCCCAGATGCCCCGGGGTACGGCCAGCAAGGCTGCAAGCTTGACGCGCGTGAAATGGAAACCTCATATGGGGCCAAATGCTTGACTTCAGCCCATTAGGTAAACCACCTAAAGCTTCCCCCAGACAAGCGCTTCTTTATCGTCACCATTCCTCCCACCACAGCCTACCCACATTCAACAACTGTATAATCGTAACGGCCGATAAACACACATCATCGCATTAATCAAATAATACGAAAGCCGCAATTTTACCAAAATGGCCATGTTCAGCCAGAACCCAGTCCTGAACGGGCCCAACTACTCGTTTGCCGAAGTTCCTAAAGATGCCGTCGATGGCCTGCGGGAACACCGTTTCAACCCGTAAGATATTTCGATATTTCTAGGATTGATGATATATTTCTAGGATTTTTATACGTGCTCGACCTTTCTACTCCTAATACCTAACCTGGCTTTGTCTAACGTTGTTACGTTTCGCAGATACACCGACAACGGCGGTTCCACCCTCGCCATCGCCGGCGCCGACTTCGCCATCATGGCCGGCGACACCCGTCTGACGTCAGGCTACAGCATCAACACGCGGTACTCGCCCAAGGTATTCAAGATCGGCGGGTCGAACTCGTCGCAGGACGACGCCAACATAGTGCTCTCGGTCGTCGGGTTCGCCGCGGACGGCGAGGCGCTGAAGGAGCGGCTCGACGCCATCTGCAAGATGTACCGGTACCGCCACGGCAAGCCCATGTCCGTCAACGCCTGCGCCAAGCGCCTGTCCACCATCTTGTACCAGAAGCGCTTCTTCCCTTACTACGTCCACGCCATCCTCGGCGGCATCGACGAGGAGGGCAAGGGCGCCGTCTACAGCTACGACCCCGTCGGCAGCTACGAACGCGAGCAATGCCGCGCCGGCGGCGCCGCCGGCAGTTTGATCATGCCCTTCCTCGACAACCAGGTCAACTTCAAGAACCAATACGTGCCCGGAAGTGGTACCGGCCACGATCTACAGGAGCGGGAGCGCGTGCCGCTGCCCAGAGAGGAGGTGGAGATATTAGTGAAGGATGCCTTCGACTCGGCGGTCGAGCGTCATATCGAGGTCGGTGATGCGCTGCAGGTAGTTATCATTACCAAGGATGGGATCGAGGAGAAGGTTCTGCCACTCAAGAAGGATTAAAGTGGGATACCAATTACTCCCGTTACAAGCAAGCCATGTACTGTATCATAGGCGACGGGGTTCCCTGGTGTTGAGAAATACATCATAACTGACTATTAAGATCTTCGGGTACATCCACGTCGAGAATACTGATATAGCTACCTAGCTAACCGCATTAGCTATCGTCGTAATAGTCTTCGTCTAGCCTTTTACTTAGGTATCAATACCTAATGCTTGGAATTCCACACTACCAGGTCCTGCAGTAGTCTGCCTGCGCTGCCCTTATATGCCCATCCGATATTTGGCCTTGTTATATTCATTCGGTGTAGGTAAGGTAGAACTTATGGCCACAGAGCGTATATGTACAATCCTGCGCCCATTACATTGAACCTTTACCAACTCCCCGGTCTATTCATTTTTCTTATTCTCTCATCCCGTCTTGTGTAGCCCAAATAACCCCGTGAACCTAGTGGTCATGGTTCCGAGCTGTTACATATTATTGTGTTAATCTGAGTGCTGAAGGGCCTCCCTGATAAGGTAAGACACCTGCTTATTGCTGTACTTTTGAATGAGACATCCTGATACGGTATATGTATGACTGGAAAATGTGCGAAATTCACACTTTAAGAGACCCATGTAGTACATTTCGTCATTTGGTTGACGGTTGGGATGCGTTTGCAGTTCTGTGCAATACTGTTGTCACCTTCTTCTGCCCGTGCCGTTCATTTTAAGACCTCCGCTCTACAGGCTCATTAAGCTAGCCATTCATAGATAATTTGTCAAATTATTCTCATGATAGTAGTTGGTAACTACTTTGTTTCGTAATCTTCATAGTTATTAACTTACTAAAGATCTTCTTAATTCATTCATTCCAAAAGCACCTAGCAACCTACCTTGTATAACACCATAACGTATTATGGATTCTCAAGTATTTGAGTATAAAACTAAGGCCGATCTGACTCCGAGTCTCATTGTTGTCGTGAAAATTTTATTATTATTATTTTATTATTATTATTTTAGGATTTGTAGTCCCCGCCTGTCAAAAAGTAACAGATGAAATCTGGCCGTGGACTGATCGGTGCAGTACCTTACCCTGTTAATACGAAAGGGCTAGAAGAGTCGTTGCGGCTCGGTGATACGATTCATGTTCCGGTCCCGGCCCCATACGATACGTGGCCGGCGGATCCCGAGTAGCGATTGGCGGACCGCGATCCTGATGTGTCAGCTGACCGGAGCATCCCCGAATAACTCGGGAAAGTCATGCCATCGCCCGTTCTGAGAACGACAACACGCGACAAATTCACATGAGCTATTCGGACCCGATAATTCCCCCGAGTTTCAGAAAAATCTTTTATTTTCTTCATATCAAAAGACTGTTCGGTGCGGACCGCTCCGGTTGGGACGCGCTGGGATAATTCACGCAAGCTGCCAAGTTGATAGTGTGGAGAGGAAAGGCTCGAGAGAAGAAAAGTGTCTCATGCCAATTTTCACAGTTGAAATTGCTGACCCGGTAATCCGGCATCAGCGGGTCGAGTGGCGATATGAGCGATCTAATTTACTTACTACGAATCTTAGCACAGCTGCTGGGTGAGCCGAGCGAAGTCCTGCGGAATCGATACCCCCGGATTTATCTAGCTCTGTGGCTAGAAATCGCCCATTTTCGGCCCTGGCTGGAAGATATCTCTGGGTTTGGCACATGTCTCATAAGATCAACACTTAACTGTTATACAATATACTATGAGCTGGGATTAACCCAACCTTATATGCCTAGGCAGCCATATAACTTCCAGAAGGTAGTCCGAGCTGTGATTGGGTAACATGATTGGTTAGCTTAAACAGCTTCGGTGCGCAAAAAGTTATAACGGTCGGATATACGAGACCTCTAACAAGCCTTAATAGAGTGCTCCCCGTTAGCGATTGACTTACTACAATAGTTCTGTATAAAATCAAACATCGAGTTGCTACGAAGAGCCGGCTAGTGCGGCCGATCGTGCAGGCTTATCGTGCAGGTATATAAGCTTAAGCTTCTACCTAATCAGTCTGGTTCGGAGAATTGGTCAATTTGGGCAGGGTTACGGCTTTGTGGCTGTCGGTTAGTAACGCAAACATCTAGGTATATCCTAGAGAGACGGGAAGGACGTTGTTCTACGCCACCTTATTGGGAATTTGGGATGTCAGATCCACGTCAGGAGTTGAGACGGTTATTTTGGTCTGCATTGCAAGTATGCTTTGTCTGAGCCTCCCCCACGATTCACATGCCCAATTACAATTAGTTCCTGGTCGGTGTTTGCTAATCTCCGCGGCTCGAGTATCCCCCCAGAGTAAGTTAGAATTGGCCTAAGTCGTCCGAGTGGCGGAAATGGGTTTTATAGTTGGGACTAGAAAGGTGGAGAGAAAGATGAGAGTAATAAAGCTGTTTGACCTTGGAAAGTTCTAAGAATATGAATTTGACACATATCAGCTGAATGAGAATCGGAAATTTTCAAACTGGTGTAAACTTTATAGTCCTATCGAGATAAACCATTAGATTCTGTTACTAGTGACAATACCAGCCAGAAATGAAAACGTGGACCCCGGCACCATATCGTGTTCAAATGACCTCTAATGAGCAACTCTCGCTCACCTAATTAGTGATAAAACTCCCTTGCACTATTGAGATAGCGACAGCATAGGCTCTTAGGAGAATCTCATAGTACCCAAGCGTTCACGCTATAGCTAGCCGCAATGGTTAGAAACCCGTCTATTGGGAGAGGCGGATAGTGATTCTTAGTGAGGCGGCAAGTAAGGCGATACGGTATTGAAGTTATCGGGAGACTCTAGTATTGTGGATCGTTTCCTAAAATCGAGCTCGTCTTGTATACTGGGTTGTTTAGTAATACCTTAGGTAGTAATGAAATTGGCAAGGCGAAGTTAGGCGGTCATTGACCTAGAGATTGGTATCTACTGTTTGGACGTACCTATTGGGCTAGATAAACCAGTGGCAAGGGCGATCAGTAGAAAATAAACAGAGGGATTAAAAGGAGAGATATACCAGAATGGAAAAGTGAGGCTGAGTAGTGTAACAAAAAATGGTCAACAAGGCTGGCGTCGGCATACTATTTCTAGTAATATTTCTAGTAACCGCTCTTGCAGATCTCGCGCGCGGCCTACACGGAACGAGATCACATGCAACCTTCCTCCGGAACGCACCTGCCTAGAAGCCTAGCAACATTGCTGAAACCTTATTACATAGTACCTACTTAATCTCGAGTAACCTCAAGTAACGTACGTACCTTTTTCCAGAGTGTAACCGGGTAACACAACCCACCGGGGTGTTCGTGTGACGTAAACCCAGATTTACGGTATCAAGTTAGGTACGTAAAGAGATACTTGGGTACCATAGACCTGCTAACCTGGTGTGGCACAGAAGCATTCTCCGCCCGGAGCAAAGCCTCCGCCCAAAGAATTGTTCCTCTCCAAAAAGAGGTACAATTTATCATATTAAGCGCTTAACCTAATGTTTCGGTGTACTATGTAAGAGTATACCTATATTCTGGATCATTACGGTGGGAATTAAGTTTAGTAGTTATTTTCGCCTCGTTAACTTGAAGCTACCTTGAAGTAGTTAAGACTTAAGATCCTGGGAGGGTTCAAATGCAATACTACTACCTAGGGGTATGGGTTACAAGGCGGAGAGGGGACCTAGAGCAGGGGAAGTCATTACTGGGGGTAGGAGGTAGGTAGTTAGAACTACTGGAACTACTGGAACTATTTTATTGGAACATTCGCAACGGCGTTCGGTTGGATCATACGGCTGCGGCGCTGCTAGTGATACTTTGGAGGCATACCCAACCCAGCCTGCCCAGCAGCTGCCCTGCCAGGTCAATCCTTTACATTGTCGGATAGTACGTGGCAGCGTGGCAGGTCACAGGTGTCTGTCTCGATGGATACCTACCTCCTAGAAAGGTATCTAACCGAGTATCAGCTAATGCCTGTAATAACGCGCATGGCTACAGGGTCGGAGGGTGCATACGAGTCACTGAAGATACCTCTACCTAACGAACAATCTTTGCTACGTATTGTATTATACGATACCCATATATATAACACATACTAGCTCAAAGTAGATATCTAGGTTTAAAAGACCCTTCGAGACGTGGATATCAGATTAGCGGAAAATACGCCGATATACGTAAATGGTGCAAGTTTGCGAAGACAATGACCTTTAAGTAGAAATAAATTTTATTAATGCCGAGGTATAAGAAAGGCGGTTGCTAACTAACCATTATGTACTTGAGTCTTGAGTTGAGCTGGTTAAATTAAGATAGGACCTAAATCCATGCAGCTTGAAACATTTTTTTAAAAAAAATAAAAAATAAAAAAGAAGAAGAAGAAGAAGAAGAAGAAGAAGAAGAAAGAATAAACTCTATTAAAACCAGTTTCATCCGTTGCTTAGAATATCTTCCATCGAACTATGCCCGATTTATATTAAACGTTAAGCAAGTTAGGGTAAGGAACTCGTGTAGGTACCTAGCTTAAGGGACTTGGTATAGAACATCAATTGAAGTCCGATGCGAAGGTGGCGCCATGTTACACAAGAGCCACACAGTTCGGATATACGGTGTATACCTTACGTACCTTAAGTAGGTACACATGGGTTATCATATCCCTAATTGGATTTATTCGATATATAATGTAAAGATTGTAAAGGTTAGGTTGAACAATGTCGATCATCGTTCGGGTTTGTGGCCTGACAACTTCTCCGCATTAGAAATATCTAACGCAATTCTGGGCTGCTTATGTACCTAATAGGGCATGTGCGTATACCTAGCAGCTAGGTAGACATCGTCCCTTGCACCTATGACCTTAGGTAGGTACATTTAGATATACTGCTATACATATTATGCAAATATTGTACTTACATATTTAAACCTTAGGTATAGTACATATTTAAGTATAAGTTAAGTACCTAACTTTATATAAATAAGCTTGTAAGCAGGTACCTCTTAGTTAATCAATGAGGTAAGCATAATGTAATAACGTCAATTTTAATGAAAAGAGAAGAGAAAGAAAAAAAAAAATTAAAACCAAAAAAAACTACCATTAAAACTAAAACACACTAATAAGTCGCCTCTCAATACAATACAACGTCAATGCACCAAATTTCATAGCAGCCAAGTGTAAGAAGAATTTCATCATGGACATCATTTGCCTTGCTAGGTCCAAGGATCAGCAAACTCCACACCTACAAGGAAGAGGGGCGGAGGGAATGGGAAAACACCAATTTCCCCGATCCCAATTGCGACAATCCGACAGAAAGTCGATTGCGGCTCAGTCCGAGGTCTGGGCTCTCATTTCATCATTCTAACAACCAGGCTTGCCGATCAGATTCGCAGATCTTCATCCTCCACCATTAGCCTAGCAAGGAACATCCATCACACGGACCACAACATCTGAACATACACACACACCCAAGCTGCCAGGATACCATTAGGTAGGTACAATACAACGGCGCCACAACACCACAGCACCAAAGCAGATATAGTATAGTGTAGCCAGGCAGATCACAGTACTCATCAAAATTTACCTACCTAGGTAGGTACCGATTGCCGCGATGGGATGTAGTGGGATGCAGCATGCAGCACTGTTTTACTCGAAGAAGCTTCAAATATCTAACTACGCGGGTCCTGTCGGTCTAGCGTCAATGAAGTGTACCTGTTCTACACCATACCGAGGCGTCCCAATTATTCTGGATTTGCTTTTTTGTTCTTGTAGCGGGACTAGCTACCTACCAAGGCAAAAATAAGGCCCCTCTCAGGGGCGCCGGTGCGCCCGTCGTGGGGGTACGATAATCGAAACTTGGATAAAATCGTCTATGCTTACCGTTGACGCAAGCTACCTAGTGTTAGAAGGCCGCGCTCAGTCCAAAGAAGAAGAAGAAAAAAAGAGGTGAACCTCTCAAGTAAATTTAGTCATCTCAAGTAGCGCCACGAGATTAGTATTAGGCGCCGTTCCGCTCCGCTCTAAACGTTATTCGATTACATTGCTGTTCCTGGATCGCTTCGCAGCAGATTTACATTCAGACTTTACACGAACTGGTACTGAATTGCTTTCTGTAATAAGATCGGCACTACGGATCTGACAATCCGCATGGAGGCTCACGTTCGTACGAGAACTCAACTCGCTGAAGGCCCGGCTAGAACTTTTGTGGCTGAGTAGCGAGCCATGAAATGGGACATGTCCTGCGAAAGAGATAGAGGGGAATCAGTTACAGAGCTCATGGGACCCTATGGACCCCCAAAAAAGAAGACCCAAGGGCCTGGTGGCGAAAAAAACGGCGCGAGGCGAAACACCACCGGCCTACTGCAAATTCCCATCTCATTGTCCCCAATTTTCGTTTCCTGCTATCGGTACCTGTCTAAGCTTATTGGCTACTTCGTTACTTCCCACTACCTACTCCCAACACTTCGTTCGGCTTCCGTTGTCTGTCTGGGTCCATCCGCTGTGAACCCATCCACCCCCCCGGGGGGGGGACTTGAAGCCGGGATACTCCTGCGTTACTTCTACCATCTGGCTGTCTGGTTAGTCGTCTGGTCTTTTCCTGGTGAAGCCCTACAAGTACTCTTGTACTACCAACTTAGACTTCGCAGCCATGTCTAGGTAAGCTTGACAAGACTAGCTTTTGGCCACCTGCATTGCCGCGAAGTCGTCAACTTCCTTGTAATGTTTCTTGAAGCTGTCTCATGATATTTTCCCTCATACCATACTGCATATACATGGCCGAAGAAAAAGGTAAAGATTGTCGTTACATAATGACGGCTTTGCTTGATGCCCTAATGACCGGGATTGCCAGAAGTCACGTCGGGCCACATGGGCATCCTAATTAGCCACATCGTCTAATATTATTGTCGATATCCCCATTTGCCTACCTAACCTACGTGACATATCTTCCTCGGCCAGGACTGAGAGGGTAGGTAGCTACTCGGACTCAGCTTGTAACACGGACCCTTAGCCCCCCTCGGTCATCCTACACCGTTCGAAGCTCTTCGAGTCTTCTTCTAGACGTTAGACAGACACGGGATACCAAATTCCCGTAGTCGCTCCCCATTAGTAGTCTAAATTTTCCATCCAGGGGCCCAATTCCCTCTCCTTTAGCACCCCATAGTTTTCCGGCTTACAAGCCTGTGGGTTTTTTCACTTTGTACTTACCTCCGATCTGTTTTCATCCTTGGATTGGACGCTTGAAGGAGATAGATCCATCCAATTTCCCACAAGTATAATCACCCAATCGCTGCTTTGCGGTGCCACTAGAAAAAGATACGCGAGACTTCTGTACCGATCTACTACCTTGTCGAGAACCGCCTGGATCTTGGTCACGCCCCGGTTGACTACCACTAAGCCTTCGTTGATTTGCGCCACACCGCACAAGACTACCTATCACTTCTTTCCCTAGCCTCATCAGGATCCTTGGACTTCAAGCAATTTAGGGTTTGCCGGACGCCTTATTACACCTTGTCTGTCAAGGCAGTATTAGAGGGCTAAGTCTGCTCAAGTTGTTAACACGTCCCAAGCAACGCCCACGAGCATTCAACCAACGAGATCATCTTCTCCGGTAGCTAAAATTCTATCTCGACGTCTGCTGAGATCCAATGGAAGATGTCCCACCGCCCCCGGCGGCAAACAGCGAGTTTGCGACTGGAGAGGCTGTCGGCGGTGTCTCTCAAGGGCGCTCCCAGATCGAAGGACGACCTCTTTTGTCGCATAATCAAGGTCTCGCGAGTGATCCTGCATTCCAAGTCCAGTATCAGCAGCTCTACGGCCCGTCCCCGAATATCTTCTCAGGTCAACTCGATATGTCTCACGCCCAGGGGCATGGCCGCCAAGGACCTTACAACATGACTGCGATAGCCAACGCGCTCCCACAGGCTGGCTATAGACCTAGCTATAACCCTGGACAGTTACCGCAACGATTTAGTGCCGGCCCATCATCGAACATGATTCCGCCTATACCACAAGTAGCTCAGTTTCCAGGACCTCCGAACATGACCCAGTTAGGAGGGCAGCACTACTATGTTGCCCAGCATCCGCAGCTGGCGCCGTACTATAATGCTCATCTATCACCGTCGCAGCAACAACACCAGACACACCAACATCCAAGTCTCTCTCCACGCCATAGCCTAAGCTATTATCCGAGTCCAGTCATGATGAATCAGTCGCAACAAACTCTTCCCGCTGGCTACTATTATCCTACGTCGAACCAGTTTACATCTCCACATCCTACTCTTCATGGCCAGGCGGCGACACCAGGACAATATCTCATGGCAGATGGCACGTCGAACGATCCACGAGGACAGTCGCCTTTGGACGGGAACAATCGAGCAGGTGTGGCTACAAATTCTGTTCGGGGCGATAGTACGACTGTCTCTGTCTTTGATAAGGGGTGTTGAAAATCGCTAATGATGTGTTTTTGTTTTAGTATCTCCAGAAGGGCCGTCTAACATCGTCCGGGGGCCTCCAAGAAAGCCTCGACAAAGTGGTAAGTGTTATGATTGTTGATAGCTCAAAGTACTTGCAATACTAAGACTTGTCAGGCCATGCTATTTGGATAGGAAATTTACCTCCGCAGACCGATTTGATGAATCTTGTACATCATGTTTGCAAAGAAGCGATAGGATTAGAGTCACTGTTCCTTATTTCGAAAAGCAACTGTGCCTTTGCGAATTTTAAAGATGAGCAAAGTTGTATTGCGGCGCAGCAAAAACTCCACGATTCGAAATTCCAGTCGGTACGATTAGTGAGTCGACTACGAAAGAGTACAGTCGAAGGAGCTGGTGGGCAGACGGCTCCTACGGGACCAGCAGCAACTTCTCCTGGCGGAAAAAATTCATCTACCAGCCCTACCAAGAAGCTGCAGGACGAAGCCCCAGAACCTACAACATCAGCACCTGACATGCAACCAGAGATAAGGAGCTTGTCAAGTGGTGAGGCCAGCGCACAAAGGGACAAGTTTTTCATACTTAAAAGTCTTACGGTGGAAGATTTGGAATTGAGTGTTCGTACCGGCGTTTGGGCAACCCAGTCTCATAATGAAGAAGTATTGAATGATGCTTTCAAGGTGAGTTTTATTTCACGTGCGTTTGGATTTAGTTTGCTCTATCTAACAAGGTTTATATAAAGGCAGTTGATAATGTTTATTTGGTGTTCTCTGCAAACAAGTCGGGAGAATACTTCGGCTATGCTAGGATGACCTCGCCTATTAATGATGATCCAGCAGCGGCTATTGAATTTGCACCCAAAGCACAGACCACGAACAACTTAGATCTTCCCAAGGCCATTCCCACTGAAGCTACTGACACTTGCCCGAGGGGACGAATTATCGATGACTCAGCTCGGGGGACAATATTCTGGGAGGTGGAACGAGAAGAGGCGGACGGAATGGCTGACGGGGAAGAATCTGAGGGCTCGGTGAGCGGGAAGAGTGGCCAGGACGATGAAGGTGGACCCAGTAAGGCATGGGGCAAACCTTTCAAGCTCGAGTGGCTATCGACTACGAGATTACCTTTCTACCGAACACGCGGGTTACGGAACCCCTGGAACTCCAATAGGGAGGTTAAGATCGCAAGAGACGGCACGGAGCTAGAGCCGACGGTTGGTAGGAGGCTAATTGGTTTGTTCAACCGCATCCAAAGTCCTGGGCCAATACCTATTGGTATACGACCGGGGATGCCGATAATTGCAGGATATCCGCCGCCGACTATGGCTGCTCCCTCTTACCGATGACGAAAGCGAGCTCCATTACGACAGGCGAGAGCCATGGAATTCGAGAAGAGGTGGCGAAAGATGGAGCTAGGCCCTGGCTCGCTATGCTGAGCGTAGCAAACGGAGTGGGAAATTTTATTTTTTATTTTTTATTTTTATCTTTATTTTTTCAAAAAAAAAAAGGAGTGATGCTGCTGGTTTACACCCACATCATCACGTTGTATATACGGAAAAGTGGCGCCTCATGGTATTGTACTATAGACAACGCCCCACAAGCAGGCGGAACGGTTGTAGTGCTCTATAGTATAGGTATAATGAAGGAGAAACACGATGGAAACGCCATTTGCATAAAGTATCGTCATTATCGAACCATGCATACGTGATTTAGGGGTATTGCCAAGAACTTTTTTCACCATATCTTATGGAACATCGTTGAGTTTAGTATCTTTAGTATTTTTAGTATGCGTTAGGTATTGATAATCCCCCGAGCTCTGACGACTATCATTACCTACCTTGAAAGAGATCATAAGTGTACCTAACCTAACATAAGGTACCTAACCTTACCAGCCTTCCTAGGTTAGGTGTAATGCATCCATGTACCTACCTAAATTTATAGGAGGTACCTAGGTAGACATGCCCGAAACATAACCCACCTTCGTGCGGTACTTAGATGACATGTATAACGCCCAAGAGGTAATCTACCTAAGTACCTAGAGACCAGGTACCTAACATGGAGAAATAAGGGAGCCGCCGGCGTCATTTCCGACTAAAAGGAAACCGCGGTATTGCAAAATCTGGACTCCAGAACGACGTCATCGCGAATAAACAAGCATTTCTGCACGGATAGCCAATCCCCATATTCACGTGCTCACTTGAGTAATTCCCATTTCGGTTCATTGTAGGTATGCGGGGGGAGCCAACGGGGTGAAGATCTACAGCTCGATACGTAACGCAGGTTGGGATGAATCAAAACGTTAGGCGGGGGCTACCAGGTACATACGTAGAAAGTACCTAGGTAGGGGTAGGTAACCTTACTTCTGGCCGGAAGGGTGACGTCATGATTCGCACACGGATACCGGCCGGCCAAGATGGGGGACCCCTGCCAAGACTTTTAGCATCGTTTGATGACTAAGCGCGCACCGCATTATGAACAAAGGACGAGAATTAGGGCTGAATCATCAGTCGAAGATCACATCGCCGCACCGCCACCCAGCCACCGTGGTACATCATGGATGATGTACATTACATACATGTAGGTACATGTACATTGTATACTATGTACAAGCCACTAGTGACCAGCCACAAAGTCAAAAGCCACAGAAATCTGCGGAAAGTTCTCGAGTCATGCTGACGCTTCACTTACACGTTAGTTGAATAGGTAGTTGTATGTGAACCAACACCAACAACTCAGTTTCATGCTTAGGATAGTCGTGATAATATCCAACGAATAATTGAGCATTTGTTATTGATAAGTTCTTCCAATTGGTAAAATTAATAAGGTAGGTCACTATATTTCAGTATTGAATCGGCTGATGCCATTTGTTGGTCTTTGGCGTGGTTGAAGCTTGTAAAGTTGCGAGGCTGCATACTCGCGAAACTTAAAGAAAATTCTAGGCGATTCTCACAACATCGCGTACGATCGTGAGACCAATGGCTATTTCTCGACAACGAGAGTAAGCATCATATCGAATAACAATGCATAACTCAATTTTAGTCGAACCATCGATTCTCTTCCAGATGGCTTTGGATCGTTCCAATGATGATTCAATCGTGACTCCATAGGAATCTGATGAAGATTGTAGAATATACTCGACTCATGACTTTGCAGGACTTCTCAATTATTTAAGGAGTCTTAGACATCGCAAGAGTCTACTTCTCTCTTTCACCAGATCAGACACAAATCAGAACACAATAACAAACGCATACAAACAAAACATTCTATCTACGCAAATCTCATACTCGCGCTCTTACAAGAGTAAATCCTCAAGACTCATCAACGCTCTAAACATTTGGAATACTTTATATATATAATACTTCAAACCAATTACCACTACTACAAGTTCACTTCAAGAACAACTTCCACACAACAACAACATTCAAAATGTCGATGTTCGGACCTCGATTCTACTCTTCCGCTGAGCCCAACTTCACCGGCCTATTCCGTCTAATCGACGACTTCGACCGGTATGCGGGACAGAGCGAATCCGGCAACAATCAACAGGGCGGCCGACACCACAGCCGACACGTGCCGACATTCACTCCCAAGTTCGACCTGAAGGAGACCGAGAACGCCTTCGAACTCCACGGAGAGCTGCCGGGTGTCGATAAGGACCAGGTGCAAATCGAGTTCACGGACCCGCAGACCATCGTCATCCGCGGCCGCGTCGAGCGCACCTACACATCCGGCACCCCTCCCGCCGGCCTCCTAGAGAAGGGCCAGGAATCCCGCGGCGCCATCGCCGACAAGGAACACCACGAGAAGGCCCACAAGCCGACCGTCGAGGACGCCCCCGAGGAAGGCGGCAGCAAGAGCAAGGCCGTCGCCGAGACCGACAAGAACAAGGCCGCCGCCGAGCAGCACCACAAGAACCAGCAGCCCGCCCACAAGTACTGGGTCTCCGAGCGCAGCGTCGGCGAGTTCTCCCGAACCTTCCAGTTCCCCACCCGCGTCGATACTGACAACGTCAGCGCCTCCCTCAACAACGGCATCCTGACCGTTGTCGTCCCCAAGGCCAAGAAGCCCGAGGGCCGCCGCATCCAGATCAACTAAGCGGTGTCTTGTGTCTAACCAACTTTACATTCTCTTCTTCAACTTTTTTTAATTTGTTCTTGCTACACGTTCCTTTTTTCTCCTCCATGGAAGGAAGATACGACCTCACGACTTTATTACGTTTTTTTTAACACTTAGCACGGAGTTGATGGAAAAAATGGGAGGGAAAAATTGATAGGGATCCTTCTCAGAGGAAAGAGAAAAAAAAACTGATGATGATGATGGATGGATGGATGGCCCGCAGTGGGTTTTCTTGAGCTTTTCTGGTGGTTCCTAACGAGCTGAACGACAAGTTTGCTTTTGAAGAGATGCTTCGCTCGGGATCAACTGTATTGTTATAATCCAGATAATACAAATAAAAATTATTAAAAAAAATCTCTTATTGTGTTCTGACAGATAGATGCCTTGGTGACTTGACTTGACTTGACTTGACTGTAATAATCCCCCCCTTAATTGATTCGGTATAGGTCCTAAGCGGGAATCATACGGCGGAGGTAAGCACTCTTCGGCGTTTACTCGTTGCGTCTTTTTCAGCTGCTTCACCGGGGATGTAAGTTGTTCTGTGAGATGATGATCCTTCGGACAGATGTTGGCTAGGAGGTGGTCAAGTGCTTGGTTGGGGTTGGGGTTGTCTCGAGTAACTAGTAAATGTTTTCTCTTCTCTTCTTACCTTGCTAGATATTCCCTAACATCTTTCGAGAGAACGAAATTAGTTTCACGATAATCATAGGTCTAGTAAATTAGATATTTTATGCTAATTTATCCCATAAATATTTGCCGTATTTCCACTTCGATTGTTAACCTTTTACTAGAGAGACCGGGTTATAGGTATGGTATCATGCCATATGCGGGGATAGATGACCACAGGTATCTTTCCAGCTGAAAGACCATGGGTTGGTTACCTACCTAGCTGGCATCTAGCCTAATCTACCGCCTTGTTCAACGCTAGAACGAAAACGATGCATTGATTTTATTCTCGTGCCGCGAGAGCGCAGCCGCAGCGTCCCCGAATGCGCGCACATACGTCCGCCACTACTCTCCTTTGGGGACGTTGTCTCCCGCGTATCGACTCATACTACCGAGACATTGGTTTCACGTGGCGTTCGGGAGGAGTTTTCCTGAACCCGTCTCTTGCCTGGTGGCGTAAGCCCTCAACGTCTATTCCTTGCGGCTGGGCCTCTAGATTGTTGCGAATAAATACCCTAGGCACCTAAAGGTGAGGCCGTTTTAAAAGTCCGAGGGGGAGGGTTACTCAACCCCCTCCCCAGGAGATCGGGAGATCATTTGGACGTCAGGTTCTTGCTTATCATATACTATACTCTGCTTTGCCTTGCATAAGTACCTGATATAACCAGGTAGGTAGGTAAGTAGTCTTTTTTCTTTCCGATATGGCGTCCTGCGCGACTGGCGCCTTGCTGTTGCCCTTCGCCCAGCCTCTCCACCCGACGCTCAGGGACGCCGAGGAGGTGCGCGCCATCCTCGAGCGCAAAGTGCCGCCCGAGCTCGCCGTCCAGATCGTCTCCCTGGGGTACAGTCCGTGGGTGGCCAAGCGCAGGGCCGACGAGTGCATCTTCTACCCGGACTACAGCAGTCCGGACGAGAACCACTGCGTGGCGGTTCTGCATCTCGCTAGCGAGCGCGTTCCCGATGACGACGGCGACGACGGCAACGACGATAACGGACGCAGGAGGGTCGTCCCGCGGCGCGTGATATTCCAGACGAGCGCGGCGTATGGGGGGTGGGTCAGCGATCGTAGTAGTTACTTCGCGAAGGAGGAGGACGCGTTTAGGAACAGCCACGCGCGGTTCGACGCCAGCATCCTGCGTCCCTTATCACCATCACCATCATCATCATCATCATCATCATCATCGCGTGGAGCGGAAAGACAAGGCACAGGCCAGGACATGCTGCCGCCGCTCGAAATCGCCGTATCAGATTGTTGGTGGGAGCCCAGGGCCGCGGCGGACGCGTTGAGGGAGAAAGGGTGGGAGTTCGTAGAGGCGGAGGACGGGCGCATAGAATGGAGGGTGTGCAATAATAGCGAGGCGCATAGGGAGTGGCAGGACTACAAGGTCGAGTGGACGAGGGGCCTCCGGGCAGATTCGAAGGACGATGATCGGGTCGGGAAAGGCGCAGGGTTCGTGGAGCTTTTGAAACCTGGATATATCGTTGTGCTATGGGCTAGGACAGGGGTAAGTCCACTGCAGTACTGTGCTGTGATATCGCTGCCGAGCTGTTTTTTTTCTGGCTAACATAAGTCTCATATAGTTAAGGTCCTGGTGTAGTAAGGTTCGAGCTGCGACTATTGAGATTGAGTATGAGTTGCCGTAAAGGACGTGTGGGCTCAATACCTAGTCCTGTGGGATATGTTAAGGGTACCTACCTCCTAAGTGAGCTTGTGGATATTGCCATTTCACAATATCTTTTGGGGGATATTCATGTCATCGGCGACCTCAGATGGTGATATAATGTACATACTGTATAAGTTCATACACGTACTATTGGGGCTTTAATCTGGGAAAAGTCGTATACTGGGAAGTCTCTTGCCTTATTAACAATCGAGTTGTGTTGTTGATCTAAGATTCGGGGCAAAGTCAACTGTTCTTATAACACATATCATGTCGACTAGCCCGAACCTGAAAACAATAATAGCAAAATGGTAGGTATAAGAATGTTCTTTTGTTTTAGAAAGGGGTTCAATAGTGATTACGATAACAGGTACCTAGACCTAATAGTCTGCTTACACAACTGTCGCTGTGCCTCCACTCGTCTCCCGTTGTACATTCCACTCAACCGTGACTGTAATTCTGTTTGATTCTCGCTCTTGGCTGCAACTACCAGTTTGACCTTCGTGATACGCTCTTAATGGAATATCGCCTTCATTTTCGTCGTTTACAGTAATCTCTTGGCGTGTCCGGGGCTCGGTGGTTGAGATGGACACTTCGTGGGACGGCACACATATGTGGTCGCCTCCTTTTGACCGAGGCCTGTTAAAGTCGCTTCCAGAGTTCTGCTTGCTTGATCGAGTCTTATCGGAAAAGACACCGCATCTAAGCACGCTTGAGAATTTGGGACCAAGTGCCCTGAGAAGGGGAAGACAAGCGTTGATAATACCAAGGCCAGGTTCCAAGATTACCCAGACGAGGTCTTCCATGATAGTATAAGGCAGCTCTTCTCCTGACAGTTTTAGGACTGCCCAAACTCGAACACATGTTATTACGCATATGCTAGGATACCTGTTAAATTTACACGTCTTGATCCTGGCGATACGGCTACTTGACTTACAGAAACCCCACGGCAAATATGCCAATAACCATCAGCTTCTTCTTCAATTCCAACTGTAGTCTCCACATCTGTGGCAACGGGAGGAGGAAGAGTGTGATGTCGAATGACGTATTAATTATTGGGTCAGATAGAGACTTTCCCTTTCGGTTGACGCAGTGGGCAGTCGGGTCTGTGGCGAGTATAGCTGCATTCCAAACTGCCTCGAGGGGCGTACATTGTAAAAGTAGCCTAATAAACAGCCCTAACGCGCCAGCAGTTACGAGGCCCATAACGACATAACAGAGTATCTGGAAATGCCGATCGGGAAATATTCTAACGTAGAGATGGAGGATGCTGATCTTGACCAGGCTGTTAGAGGGGATCGCTAGGGCTTCCGCAACGACTAAGGTTTTGTTCAGGTGAGGAACGACGCCGGGCCAGTCCTTGTTTAGATATTCCGTATGGTATCCAATCCCGCAGGTTACGGCGCAGTACGAAATTACAGACGCAAAGCTGCAGTTGAAGAACAACGCGGCAACAATGGACCAGTCGTGGAACTCCAGCCTTTGTCTTGTTAGCTTTCGAGCCCATAGCCGAAGCGCAACGAACAGGGCCGAAAGAGTGGTAAACACGCAGGAGATGATTATTATCTTAATCCCGTCTTGGGTTAATGGCGGATACCCTGGACGGACTGAGGATCTTTGGCTTGGAACAGTCGGCATTTTGTCTACCGTCCTAGGAGATGTAGGCAATCCATAGGTGAGAAGAACTTGACACGTCAATGACACGTCAAGGGGGGAGTAAAAAAGGATAGCGAAGGTCATACCAAACTTTGCCGCGGTAGAGTAACCCGCGGTAGAGTAACAAAGGAGATATAGTATAACAAAGAAAAGTATTTCCGTGCCCACGAGCTCAACATTACCATTACCATCTGGGTAAAGTCTTGCAGGGCCAGGCAGATAGAATATTTGAAGCTGATGAGAGCCTTCGGTTGGATCTGAATTCATCGTCGCCACGTGTGAAGCCTGTTTTGGGAATGGCACTACGGTTGGAATTTGGATATGGTATGCTTTTCTATCCTACTGCTCCAAGTGTGATTAGGTAGAGGAAATAATCCAAGTCAACTAAATTCCAAGCCCTTTTACGTAGCACAAGAGCCAACGAGTTTCCATGTTGCTCGCATTAATAACTTACTAGGTAGCTAAAAGCTACTAGAGAATATGGAAAGATAGCACTTGTTATTCACAGTTAGTATTGTATATTGTATATGACAGCATGTCAAGTACCATCTCATCCCACGACCAATGTACCGGGTCTTTGAGATTCTGGACGGAATGCGACGTACATATATGTGAAGAGATGCTATATGATTTAATCTAGGACTAACAAGAAAGTCCCCAGCATCTCCATAGAATCATATAGGCAGAGTGTCTTGAGGTAACCTTCTAACACAACCTTTTCAGTTCCAAAGAAAGTCAACTAATAAAGAGCCAAACATATGTACCTCTTGAGTGTTAATTTTACGGCTGCCAGACAGCAGGTCCCGGCATGACATATGAGTTAGCCTTGGGGTTATTCCACTTGTCGAACTCGATACCGGGGTCGGTAGCTTTGTAGATGCCGGGACTAAGTAATAGGAGGTAATCAAAGCATTAACAACTTCTCATCATCAAATCGGAGTTCTACCTAGGTAGATAGTTTAGGTGCCTACCTAGGCAGGTAGTTTCACTTACATCTTGGCTAATGGGCCAGGGGTCCCGGACCCGTCGCTAGCGATCTTGAGCTGCGCGCACTCCATGTAGAACTGTGCGCGCCCCACGAACGCGTCATGGATGCCGATGTGCTCGACGCGGACGAGGTACTCGCCGGCGGGGATCTGCTTGGGGATGGTGAACTCGATGTGGTCCTTCTCCCAGGCGCACCAGGACGCGTCGTTGCCCGGGGTGCTCGGGTCGCAGAGCCCGATCTCGTACACCTTGAACCAGTCTCCCGAGCCGTCGTACGAGGCCACCCCCGTCCCCTCCGGCGCTTTCGACATATACACGAAACCCGGACCGGGATGCTCGATGATCCTGTTGCCCCCGACCTTGAACCTGATCGTGTCCCCCGCGTTGACGGCGTACGTCTGGGTAGTATTGCCCGGCTTGGCGCCCAGGTTGCATCGCAGGTCCGGAGAGTCGACAATCAAGGGCAACGTCGGCATGATCGTGTTGCTGTTCTTGCGGATGTACGTATACTCCTGGCCGACTGCCTCGCCGTTGACGATGAGTTGGGAAAAGACGTAGTGGCCTTCCGCCACAGTAGCAGCCAGCAAGGCCGTCAACGTAGCTGACTTCATCTTTGAGGCTTGTCGACTGATGCAGGTGGTTGGATCAATTGAGGTCTTCGCGTTGTGAGGCTGGTCCTAGGCGATGCGTCTAAACTGGAGTATTTATAGAAGTCTGGGACCTGGGGGATGTAGTCCATTTTGGTCTGCCATGGCCTCCTGCCACATGTCATGATTGCCTATATTAAAATAAGACGCACCCATGAGATATCTCACCATAGATGGTAGTTGCCTTCTCCATGATGCCAAGATCAGGAAAGCTGCAAGATACAGGGCATATTAACCGCGTTGGTAGCATAACATCTATACCCGTTCATCAACCGCAACTAATATCCATCCAATGAGGCTGGACCCTGGAGCATAATCTGCAATTGCTTGTATATTTAGTTTGGCGTTCCTTGCTATCCATAAGACAATCTATATAATAACCAAGTTTGAAAAGGCCCTTCGCTACTCTTTATTGTGTACAAGGCTTATATCATGATGTGATTATCCGGTTGTAAAATATGACCTTCGTCACTCTATGCTTTCCGTGCCGTCGCCAATTAATGCATACTGCTGTTGGCTATCAAGACGAATTGATCCTCAATGGATCGAGGCAGAGTTGTTTCTGCTTCCAGTGATAATTCGCGATATATAGGTACCTACCTAAGATACTATGCACATAAGATAGGTACCCAGGTAGGTAGGTATATAAGAGTATATGATATTACCCGGAATATTTCCCTCCGCGGGCCCTTATAACGCCGTCTGGCGGTTTGCAGCGAACAACGTTTATATTTCGATATCCGTCGTGCTCGGATTTCCTCCGACTTCACTGGTAGATCATGCTGTTCGCTTTCAAATAAAATTTATAACTATTTTAGAAATGAAGTTGTCGTTGGTTTTTTCGTGGGCAGCAAGTGCCCTTGCCTCTTCCCCTCTCAGTCGAAGCGCTGCGAAGCTATCTCCAGTCACTCGCAACGGGAGTAGTCTTTTAGTTGATGGGAAGGTTTGGAAAATGGTCGGACCTAACGTCTACTGGCTAGGCCTCGACGAGAATGTCACGCCGCCGGCTGGGGAGCCATTCTACGCTCCCACTAAGGCTAGCTACCCTACCAAGGAACGGATTACAGAGGTGATGGCAACCGTACAAGCTCTTGGCGGCACGATGATCCGGGGGCATACCTTGGGTATTAGTACCGGAAACCCCCTGAGTGTTGTACCCGAGCCTGGAGTGGTTAACGAAAGAGCCTTCGATCCCATCGACTGGGCGGTCTACCAAGCAGGTGTATATGGCATCAGATTATTAGTGCCATTGGTGGATAACTATGTCAGCTCATACGAATATCTACCTTTAACTAAAAAAAAAGGTTAACCGTAAACTCATAGCTCAGTAGGACTATTACCACGGAGGGAAATACAACTTCCTCCGTTGGGCGGGTTTTGACCTGAACCAAAGACGGGACGAGAAGAACCCCCTAGTTCAGCAATTCTACACCAACGCCACTATCGTCGCCACGTTCAAAGACTACATCAAGACGATAATCACTCACAGGAATCGGTACAACAACCTTACCTTTGCCGAAGACCCTACGATCTTCGCGTACGAGACAGGGAACGAGCTCCTCGGGCCCGTGTGGGGTGACATGAACTCGCCTGCAGACTGGGTCCGGGACATCGCGAAGTATGTCAAAAGCCTCGCTCCGCAGAAACTGGTAGGTGAGTATGCGTTGTAGATATACGATCTCTCTCTCTCTCTCTCTCTCTCTCTCTCTCTCTCTCTTTCGCCTAACACGTTTAAACTGGAGGAGGATATTAACTAACACGCGAACAGTCGACGGGACCTACGGCATCAACAAAACACACCTCGGCATCGAAGAAGTAGACATCTTCTCCGACCACATGTACCCCGTCGACACAGCCAAGCTCCAAACGGACATTAAACTCGTCGAAGCCGCCGGACGGCCCTTCTTCGCCGGCGAGTACGACTGGGTAGGCGGCAGCGCCGCGAACCTGCAGTCCATGTTTAAGATCCTCGAGGAGAGCCCAGTCGCGGCTGGAGACGCTTTCTGGAGCCAGTTCGGACATAACGCCCCCGACTGCAAGGTGAGCCAGCAAACAAAGCAACAATTTTATCAATTGACCAATTATTCGGCCACCTACCTCTAATGTATCAACACGCTCTCAGATTAAGTACCTTAGGTTAGGTACCTAGTTATGGATTAGTTATTAGAAATAGCGCTAAGCACGTTGTAGACTTATGTCGACCACAGCGACGGCCTCACCCTGCAGTACGGCAACCCGAAGAACACGGCGAACCAGAATAGCCGCATCCAGCTGATACGAAAACACTTCGTCGCCATGAGCCAGGGCAGAGAGATCCCGTCGGACGAGCCCTTGCCCGCAGTGCCGTGCCCGGCGCCCACGTCGCCGACGTTTCGCTAGGTAACGGTTAGGGTTGAAGCGGAAGCATCTTTTGTAACAAACATAAATATCATGGCCGTTCTAGGTAGTGGAACGATCAGGCAAACTCGTATAGGGTGGGCACCAATCTAAGCTGTCAGTCAGCTTGTAAAATAGAATTATGGTATTCTCAGGCACTTAGTCACTACGATCGTGAACGAAAAGGTAGTCAAGGTAGGTACCTAATGAATGGAAACTCATAGCTCCTAACGAAAGTATCTTTATGATGCATTTCAAGCGTGCAATGTAGGCGTAAAAGCATCAAGAGCAGTTGTTTCCCCGGTTAGTGTGTGAGGAAGGTAGGTATAAGCTTGTCCTTCCAAGTTGGAGAGAACAGACCTACCCAACGTGTAGAAAAAGAAAAGAAAAATTAAAACAGGAGGTCCAAAAAAAAATATTGCTAACTCATCATTCAGCTATAGCTAATTTTCGTCAAGTATGTTCATAATGCGTTAAGAGCCCGCTTCCGCAAGCCTATAGCTTCAAAACCCCCCTTAAAAGAAGAAGAAAAAAAAACCCTCACCGCCAACTTTTTAGATCCGCAAACTTGTCTACGATACATCATTTCCTATCATGTATCCATACCTAGTGCTGAGTAGAAATCATACGAGCCACTAGCCTCCATATGCCTTCACTATAGCGGCGACCTTGTTTGCAAGCTCGTCGGCTTCGGATCTCGTAGCCGCCTCCGCGTACACTCGGCACGCGTTTTCTGTCCCGCTGGCCCTGGCGAAGGACCGGGCGTTGGTGTACTTCTTTACCACTTTATCAATTTCTTCCTGGCAGTGCTCGGGGTGGCTGAGTTTTCGCTCGGCGTCGGTTGTTCGGAAGAGGTCCTTGTTACCGACTTCGACGCGAACGAGACGGTTGGGAAGGTCCTGATACGTCATAGCCCAGTCTCTTAAAGTCCATCCCTTGTGGGCTAGGATAACCTCCACCATCAACATGTCCGATATCGCGTCTCCGACGGTCTGGTTGATAAGATCTCCGAGGGCGCTGAGAGTATCGAGGGCGTCCTTCTGCGCGGGCGACTGAGGCTCTTTGGTCTTGAATACCTGTAGGGCATCTTGAGAGAAGAGGACGGTACCGTGGCCATTGGCCTCGAAATATACCCCGATATCATACGAGCAGGCGGCGTGGTGAAGATGCTTGACACCTGTGGGCGTGCAGACTACGGGGATCTGCAAGTGTTGCTCGACGTACTTCGTGCTGGAGCCGTTAGCATAAGCGGTCTGAATGAGACCGATACGAAGTTGACCTTCCAAGCCGGCAGTTCGGATAAGGTCTGCAATGAACGACGCGGCCAGTGTCGCGATACGATCTCCGTCAAGCATGAAGAAACCAGTATCCGGGTCGATCCAATAGTAGATGAGACGGTCCGCATCACCGTCTAGAGAGCACCACCTCTCTCCAGGGGCCGGCTTGGGACTTGCTGGAGCTCGCTGTCTCGTCTTGACGAAGTCGGCACCACAGTCCAGGTTCAAAACTTCGGGGCGTAAAACGTCGTCGTTGGCGACTCTGACTTCCAAGCCTGTTTTCGAAGAGTCGTGGTGTTTGAGGAACTCGGCAAGCTTCGGACCACCGACACCGTTGGCACAGTCGACGGATAGCTTCCCAGAAACTTTGCGTCCGTGGAGTGCGCGGTAGAAAGCTTCGACAAGCTTCTTATAATACCCGACCTCGCTGACCTCACCATATGAGCCAGGGGTTCCGGCAGTGTTGATGCAGCGGGTAAGATAATGGAGCTGGGGGGTCGTGAGAATCCTGTAGTCGACGTAGGCGGTATTCGTAGCGGCCAGGGAGTCGGCGAGGGCCGTGACGAGGGTTTTGCCAGAAGGGCGGGTGTCTCGGCCAGCAATGACCTTACCGGGTGAGGTCAGATCGATTTTGAGGGCGTCGGCTAGCTTGTAGAAGTAATCGACAAGCTCTTCGTGGCTTGGGGCGTTGACGAGGTTCGTAGCGTGGACTTCCCACTCTTGTTCGAGCATATCTCCCATCGGGTCAACAATCTTCACACCGTTGTCCACAGCAGGGTTGTGACTAGCGGTGATCATTACGCCGATGGTTTGGCCGTTGAGTTTACGACTTCGGAGAGCGGACAGAAGTCCAACTCTAAAGGTGACACCGTCCAGGAGATCGGCACTCATACGAAAGCCTGCTGTGCCATATTTGTAAAACCTTCCAGGAACTATATCGTGCTTCTTCGAAGCAGCGAGGATTGCATCTCGGTCCATCTTTAGTGGGACGGCTAATATTCGGTCTCGACTCTCGAGATGTTGGTACACACAGTTGACCAGATAAAGATCTCTTAGAAGATTGGTAAATATAGAATAGAGAAGAGAGAGGAGGAGGGGGGAGAGAGAGAGACTGAGAGACTTTTTTTATTCAAGTGAGGGGTAATGGTTAAAAATATAAGAACCAAAGAGAGTAAGGGAGTTAGTTCGTTTTACAGAAATAGTTATCTACGTAGGTATTTATAAAATTAAGAAAAAGTCCAAGTTGATAAAATGAAGATTGAAAGTGAAAGTATGGGACGAGTAGGCTAATAATACAAGGAGGTACAGTAGGTAGGTAGGTACATAGTACTGTAGGTAGTACGAGAAGGTAGTACCTAAAGGCTAAAACCCTCCTCTCCATCACTAAAGTTATTTCACTGACACACTGAAGTAGCACTTGTAACATGCCAGCCATACTAGCTTGCCTTTAGCTTGCTAGCACATTCGTGGCATGGCCCCGCGCTAAGAGATTCTGACGTTACCTGAGCTGCAGGGTTAAGAACCAGTCAAAAGGCCGGTCAGAACGTAGCTTCCGGTAAGGTGGGGCTCCGTAATGGCTCATGAGCTTTTTAAGCTGAAAGGTAGAAAGGGCATGCCGCACCTTTCCAGCGCAGCCCCTGTAACCTTACCAAAAGGTTCCCCCTTACCTTAATCCCACCATTAGGTACCTCATTAGGTACCGTACCTGAGTCCCCCCCTTTCTTTTGGTTGCAGTCACATGATTTCGTGATTTAAATTTCTCACCCCTCCAACGCGCTAAAGGCTAAAAGTCGCGTTCTATCCTCTTCCGATTTTATTCATCATCCATCTACTTGTCATTCAATGGAGATGAGCATGAATTTAAACAACTAAAATGCCACCTGATGACCCTTGCGCTAATCCTCTCCTTCTAGGATGGGTGAGGGAATGGGTTGAAACTGCTCGAATGCAGAATTCAAAAGGGCTTACAACATACAAGAAGGCATATGCCGCCCTTCAAGCGTGTCCAGTAACATTCCAACATCCCTCTCAGTTGGCGCAGTTAAAGGGGTTCGGTACGAAACTATGCCAACGTTTGACCGAAAAATTACAGAAGCACTGCCACGACAATGGGTTACCTATGCCTAAGCGCCCGAGGCAATCCATCATTCCTGGCTTGGCCAACCAAGATGATGACGAAGAGGACGGTGCGGAACGGCCACCTAAGAGACGGAGGACGAAGCCTTACGTGCCCACTCTTAGATCCGGCCCCTATGCTATAATTATGGGGTTGGCAACGCTCGAAGAAGGCAATCGTACCGGCATGACAAAGCCGCGATTAATCGAGGTCGCTCAGCCCTTTTGCGATGCATCTTTTACTGCCCCCCCTGACGTTACTAGCTACTATACGGCCTGGAACTCTATGAAAACCCTTGTCGAAAAGGACCTGGTGTATGAACGCGGTAGGCCTACTAGAAGGTATCATTTAACTGAGGAGGGATGGGAGGTGGCTCGACGGATGCAACAGACTATGAATCCCAATCAGCCCGGGCCGGCAGCGCGTGGGGCAGAGCAAAATCTGGATGAAATTGAACTCGACCCTGCTCCTGCTCTCGCTCCCCTCCCTCTTCCCCGTCTTACCGACAGGTCGCCGTCTCTAAAGATACAGGATCCACCGAACAAAGAATCAAACTATTCCGACATCGTTGCTGATGGCGATACATCATCAGGGAGCCCGGAGCTACCGAATTTTAGGCCAATACGACTTGCCCCCGGATCTTTTGAAGTGCAATTAGTATTAGACGTGCGTGAGGTCCGATTAAAGACCGATAGAGACTACAGTAAGTGATATCCCAAGAAGTAAATATTTATTTATTGCATCATTCGCGTTGAGTGCATCAATCCCAGGTTCTTAGACAAAACTCGTCTTCTCTAGCCACCTAGAAGTGACCACTAACCCAGGACGCTCCAGTGCAAAATGAACTTGCAAAGAAAGGCGTCAACCCAATCATGCGTGCTCTCGAGCTAGGTGATGCCCTTTGGGTAGCCAAATGCCACGACGCAAATTTCCTTTCCCGACTCGGAGCCGAGGGAGACGAAGTCGTACTCGATTACATCGTAGAGCGAAAGCGACTCGATGATTTGATCGGCAGTATTAAAGATGGCCGTTTCCACGAACAGAAATTCCGTCTGAAACGATCCGGCATTAAGAACGTCGTTTACATCGTCGAAGAGATCTCCATGGATCCGGATGTCCTGGATAAACGTGCAGAAATGGTGCAGTCCGCTATCGCATCGACGCAAGTCGTTAACGGCTTTCTTGTGAAAAAGACGCAGAGGATGGACGACACCATCCGGTATCTTACTCGCATGACCATGCTGCTGAAGAAGCAATACGAAAGCAAACCACTACTCGTCATCCCCACCGAGGTCCTCACCGCGCAGAACTACCTCTCCTTACGTCAGCATCTCCGGGAGAAGGAGCCTACCACAGGGCACTACATCACCTATCCAGCCTTTGCTTCGCTAGCGTCAAAGTCGGATATGATGACGCTGCGGGACGTGTTTCTGAAAATGTTGATGTGTACCAAGCAGGTTACGGGGGAGAAAGCTCTTGAGATCCAAAAGAGATGGAAGACGCCTTACGAGTTCTTCAGGGCTTTCGAGGAGTGCGGCAGCGGGGAGGAAGGCAAAAAGCGGAAACGCGAGATGGTCTTCGAACAAATGGGGGGTTTGGTTGGGCGCAAGAAGATCTCGAGACAGCTCAGCCAAAAAATTGCCGAGGTCTGGGCCGACGTGTAAGCCCCGTCCGTCACAACTGACTGACTGACTGTTCTTTTTTTTTTTTTTTTTTTTTTGGCCGCAGTATGAACACATTTGGTTTTGCATCTACGCCGAAGCAAGTCTCTGAAATCAAGTCATGGGTGAAAAAAAGCCAAGAACCACAAGCTCCTATGATGCTACAGGCGTGCATTACCGCTGTATTAGGTTAGCAAAGTGCCAGGTGTTTATTATACCGATCACTGGTTCTCGTATTCTCGAGGTTATTATACTCAATGAATAAACATTTGTCCAGACCTTGCAAAAACTGACCAGACTTTTTTTTTACAATCTAAATTCGTAGACTTCCAGTTCTCCCTACATTATTATTCCAGCCTCCCCCTCCCCCCCCTACGCACAAGCACACATAATAATAATCATCATAACCCTACGAATGCCCCCCCATAGCCTGCGCCACCAAATTCTGCACCATCTCCTCGAGCATCGGCCTCGCCAGCGCCTCCGCCTGCGCGCCCAGGTACCCGGCCATGCTCTTCTCCGCGTACTTGGCCAGCACGTCGACCTCGAGATTGACCGAGTCGCCGGCCTTCTTCCGCGCCAGCACCACCTTCGCCTGCGTGTACGCGATCAGCATCACCTCGAACCACCCCTCGCCGTCGTCCACCCGCGTCACCGTCAGGCTCGTCCCGTCCAGCGCCACGTACCCCTTGCGCACGACGTACCGCAGCAGCGTCGCCGCCGCCGGCGCCAGCCGCACCGTCAGCGCGTTCCCGTCCGGGACCACCGACGCGATCGTCGCCGTCCCGTCCACGTGCCCCTGCACGAAGTGCCCGCCCATGCGGGTGTCGGCGCGCACGGCGCGCTCGAGGTTGACGGGCGAGCCGGGTTGCAGGTCGCCGAGGTTCGTCAGGCGCAGGGTCTCGGGCGCGATGCCGACTTTGAACGAGGGTTGGCGGTTGGCGGTGTCGAGCTGCGTCGCCGTCAGACACACCCCGTTCACCGAGATGCTGTCGCCGAGCGCGGCGCCCTCGAGCAGCGTCGACGACGGCGGCAGCGCGATCGTGAGAGACGTCCCGCCCGTCTCGTCGTGCGGGTTGAGCTCGGCGACGACTGGTGCGGGGAAGGAAGGAAAGAGAGACAGCGTTAATATTGAGTTGAGGTAAGTTGAGGTATACGTTTGATTTAATAGCAGTAGTGTAATCCCAAAATATCAACACCAATTCCGATTCCCCTTTTTCTAATATTAAAATCTTCTCCCTCCTCTTCCCCTTCCCTTCCCCTTCGCCCCCTCCAAAGTCATGGTATGATGCTCTAACAACCCCCCCAAAAAACAAAAAAAAAAAAATAAGAAACCAAGAAAAAAGAAAGAAAGATGACTTACCGCCAATCTCCTCGACTAATCCCGTAAACATAATTGCTGAAAATAAATAACTCGTCGTTGTTTTTAAAGGGGCGTTTCGTAAATCGGAGAATGAGTTGTTCTGCTTTGTCGCAAAAATGACGTTCGTTAGCTTTGCAACCCCCGCCATCACATGTACCTAACCTAACATACAACAGGTCTTAGGTAATAGGCCCCTCCCGCCCTGGCACGGCATTGCGTTCCGCGCTAGCCTCTAGAGAAGGGGGGACCCCTAATTTTGTGAATGAAAAATCAGATACTAGAGGGACCAAAAACCTGGGACAATAGTGTTTAGTATGTGAAATGTATGGGCTTCACTAACAATTTCAACAATACATATTCATAACTTTACGGCCGTTCATTGTATCGTAATATGATATATATCAGAATTTTTCTTATTGTTTTCTCTATCTAATCATACTAACTGAACTTTCGTACGGCTTATCGTTGTAAAGTTATTCAAATAAAACTATAAAGTATCTTAAAATACTTTCATATCCTCATTATTGCTACAAATATTTTTGAAAGTTTTTTATAAAGAAATTGCAATAACTTTATCAATATCTCTCGTATAAAGATGCAACTTATATCATACGTTTAGTTATATTTTTCTCTATCTTTTGATATTAATCTTATTGCGAGACGATAAACGGTTGTAAAGATATAAGATGTTACTTTCTGAAATGTTCGTGTTTATATGTAAAATGCATGGTTGCACTATTGTCCCACGTTTTTGGTCCCCTCTTCGCTGCGCTCAGAGGGTCCGTCAAGGCGCTTCGACCCTCTAGTACATAGGACCCCTATAAAATTGAAACTTTACTAATCAGCATCTTATACTACCTAGAGGTACCTAACGCATTGTATTATACCTTAAGTTAGCTTTGAAGTATTAATTATTACTATCGGTTATAGTTGAATCACGTCACGTTCAAAACAGTATATACTATAGGGATAGAGAGAGTATCGATCAAGTACCTGATGTATTCACAACTACTTGAGTGGCGGTCCAGACTGACCCATCAACCTCTTAGCCGTTATCCCCCGCAGGATGACGCCTTGAGGGACGTGTAGGAGTTACTTTCTATCGTAATCTTCATCAGTCATCAAGTACCTTACCTAGGTCCTAGATATGGTCCGTAGTATCGCAATTGCCCCAATATAATTCCGTCACCTCGCATACTATAGTTTCCTCTTCCCCTTCTCGGCCCGAGGGAAATGACTTTTAATGCCTCCCAACGCCGTACAAACCCTGGTCGCCATGCGATCATACAAGGCTATCGAATAGGTTGATGCTTTGCAGCTTGTTGTCCGCTTCGCAGACCCCGTCTACTAGATAAGGGCTGCCCAGCCCGAGTCCTGTTGGGCTGGAAGACATTGTAATACGAGACGCATCCTCCAAAAGATTCATCCCACCTAGCACATCTTGTATTCGCAAGAGCCCTCAGCTTGCCGAGTGACCTCTTCCGTTTCGAGATGGTAATCGATCTTAATATCGAGATCTCGTCGGTTCTTGTCGTTGGGCTTGACCTCCAAGTTAAAGCTGATCTCCTCTCCTTGCTGCACCGTCAAGACCTGGTCCAGGTAGAAGACGGTCTGCTTCCAATGCGTGTACTTAGTGTGCGGACCAGTGGAGAAGCGAACCGGCTTGTGGCACGCCGTGAAGTCGATATCGAACCACGCTACAAGCGCGTGTATGAAGTCGTCACGTCGGGACGTCAGCTTGAAGGGTATCGAGAAAGCAAGATCGGCCGTTGTGCAGGTGTAGAGATCAAGAGTCAAAACCGCGGCAGGGTCTGTGACGGCCGCCTTGATTTCGACTGTGTCGACGAGAGGCTCGGCTAAGGCCGTCTCCTTCAGAGGACTGTAGTCGAACCCGTAAACGTTATCCCAGACTGTAACCTGTTAGTCTTGTCTTGATGGATTCTTACACTGCAGAAAACTCACATCCGATCTTCTCATCCTTGTACTCGCCATCCTCAATACCGCACGCGAAGATGGTGGCCTTGTCCGGGAAGATCAAGCCGTCCTTCTCGAGGTACTTGTCGCGGGCGTATAAGACAGTATCCAGCATGCTCTCGTAAAGGAGGAAGTAGCCCATCCATTCCGAGATGATGATATCGACCTTGGGGAAGGGCAGCTCGATCTCCTCCATCTTACCCTGGATGAGGGTAATCTTGTCTGCCATGCCATTGACCTTGACAATCTCCCTAGCCTTGAAGATAATGGTAGACATATCAACACCGATGACGTGCTTGGCTCCAGCCTTTACGGCGAACCTATCCAGGGGAGGCAGCGTATTAGTTTAATCGGGCTTATTTATCCATGTCTCTCTCTCTGTATGGGTTGTCGTTTACTCACATGGAGAGGATAGCTGTACCGCAACCAACGTCAAGAACAACCTTGTCCTTGAAGAGGTGCTTGTTTTGCACAATGGCATTCATGTAGGATTTCGTGCGGACTTCATCTTTCTGCGCAGCATGACAATAGATTGTTAGTTATGTTGTGTCTCGTAAACCGTCAACCTTGGAAGTGTAGATCTAGTTGTGAAAATTTGGAGTACGCACCAACATCTCCTCGTGGATTCCTGAATTGCGCCAGAGTCTTGTTAGTATTTTATTACCCTTCGAAGCAAATGATCAAGTAATAATGAGTTTCGTACCATGGTGGTTGTAGCTGTTATGCGACAAGCGTTAGCAGAAGGGTTTATCTCAAGAAGCAGTAGTAATATCGATGCCGATATTTTTTCTTTTTTCTTTTTAAGATTGCGGAAAGGTTGCGGAAACTAACCTGTTGAAATAGTGCTGCTCAGAATGAGCCATGCTCTTGAGCTTCTGCTCGGCAGCTTCGACATCCATCTTGTCAGCGGCCATTATTTAGAATTAGGATGCGATTTGCCCGAAGTTGAATTGTAATGGGAAAGTATGAAAAGGAATAAAGATTGGGCAGAATAGTAGGGGTAGGTACGAAGTAGTAGGGTCCACGGGAGGTAGGTAACTATTTTTTTTTTTTTCCTGTTCTTTCCTTGCTCCTTCTGGAACTAGCTGCAGGGTAACTAAAAAAACCTGGGTACAAAACTGATCTTAGACTCGATTGATACCCCACTTCCATTTCAATTCTTTTTCACTTTCTACATAGTATATCGCGCCCAACGCGTATCTTTTCATCCATCTGCCAGATTACCCCACCGGAATGGATAAACCATACTCCTATCAGATATTTTAGGTACCTAGGTACTTAGGTAGGTTATTTAAATTTTAGGGGTCTAGCTACGATTTAATAGGGGTTGTTTATAAACTTTACCACCTCTACACGATATTTATCACTTTTAATATGGTACGTAACGTAGATTGAGCATTGAATATTAATATAGTGCTGTAGCTACCTAGGTTAAGCTATGTACCTTATTTCAATACAGAGGGTTAAAATAGGTAAGTTTTAATAGGAGTAGAGTAGGCGTACGAACACTTCTGATAACCTAAGCTATTGTATAATACCAACTTCACTTGCTGGCATCAATATACATCTGGTTATACCCGACGATACCCCATTCCCAGGTATCCGTATTCAGCGTAAGATTCGTCGGGGTGGTCTTGCCTCCCCTCACTACGAATAATAGATCGTCAGCAAATTACATATCATCCAACACTAAAGGAAAAAAAGGGGGGGAGGGCGGAGAGATCTGCCAAGTAACCAAGCAAGCAATATCGAAGGCGACGACGTGACTTACAGAACCCAGCCTCCACGCTCCCGCCGCCAACCGGCCTGGCGAGCTTATTCTCCCCGGCCCGGACTGTGAAGTTCGCGAGCGGAAGGTCCCACGCGTTGCGGGACGCGACGCTCGGCGACCCGTAGAACCTGGCGTCGAGCCTGTCCGGGGTCACCGACAGCAGGAAGTAGCCGCGGTAGTATCCGTCCTGCCACTGCAGCACCGAGTTATTTCCTACGCGGCGCTCCGCCTCGGCCCTGGCACCCCCGATCGCCCCGCTGAACCCGGTAGAGCTGACCGCCGTCCCCGCGAACTCGACCCCGACGGACCCTTCCCCCGTCGTCGGGTCGTAAGGCTTCTCGTCTAGCCAGGCTAGGTCTGAGACCTGTGTGTTGTGTTAGGTTAGGTACCTGGTAAGTACGTATGCGTGTACCTAAAGTTTAACGTTGAAGGGGGGGTAGGGGGGGTGCTTAGTGACGAACCCAGTTTTGATGGCTATCACCCGCGAGGAAGATGGTGTTAGTGATGTTGTTATCGTATAGATGCTTCAGTGTCCGGTTCCTGTTCGCTTGGTACCCCTAGCAAGTTTATATTAGTACTCGCATTTGGCAGTCCTTAATATGAATTAATTTCCAGCTTACATTCCAGTTGTCACCACTATAGCCGTAAGACTCGACGATGTGGGAAAATACGATCTGGTTGCCAATTATACGCCAAGTCGCGCCCCGGGCCTGAGACTTGGTCAATTGGTTATAAAACCAGTTCTCTTGGTGCGAGCCCATCAGCGTCCGCGAGGCGTCGTTCCGGATCAGATCGATATAGTTGTCATTCCAATCTTTGCTCGATTGTTAATACCCTTGGGCTATTCACTTCATTCTGCGAGAAGGAAGTACTGCCACTTACCGAGCGAGGTAATGCTTCGATCATAGTTCCGAGTGTCTAGAACAATGAAATCTAGGACTGCGGCGGACTTTGTCAGTAACTAAGGTAAAAACGGAAGTGAATATGGGACTAGAAGACAACATACGGCTTCCCATCTGAAAGTTCCTCCATATCCTTAGATTATCGTCGAGATCGACTTGACTTCAGAAATGTTAGCGAAGCATTTGCCATATCACTTCTATGTACTCACCGAATAGGCATCCATTCGAAGTACGCTCTCACAGCATTCATCTTTCGCTGGTCCACGCTGACTCCGCCATCTTTGAGGAAAGAGTCCTCAGTATTGTTCAGAGCACTAGACCCATCACGGTATCCGTTGTTTGAGACCTCTATACTAATAGTTAGATTGGCTCAACCCGTCTACTCATGGCGTTACTTATCCACCTACCGTGATCATCCCAGGTCGCTATCCAGGCAAAGTTCTGGGAGGCCAGTTGCAAATCCGGATCTGTGCGGTACTAACTCATTATATAAATCTCATACTCTTCACTCGGAAGTTTGGAGCACTGCGTACCTGTCCGTGACGAGTCCTGTAATCATATAGACTGAACAAGTATTTCGGCGGTGCATGGGCTCGCTCCCCTTTCGCATTACCCTCGTAAATATAGTCACCTAGATGAACCTTCTCCTGTCAAAACGTATATAACAAAAGTGCCCAGGTTGTTAAGCACATACGATATAGTCTTGCTCATCTTTCCTCGCAGCGTTCCCATAAGCGTTGAAGTATCCATTCGCTACCACCATGTAAGCAAAATACCCCCCTTATCTTACCTAAGGATATACGTCAAAGTGGGTTAGAAAAGGGGGGTCAGGTACTCACGATAATTACTGCAAGAAAAAACAGCGAACCTCAACTCGGGAGCATCCGAATCCGGCAGCGGCGCCGTCTTCGTCCGTCCGACGGGACTCGTCTTGGTCGAGCCGCAGATCGCGAACTGGTAATTATACGTCGTGAACGGCTGCAGACCCGTAGCTTCAACCTGCATTTTTATCTCATCATTAGCCAAACCAGCCTGCTCCCCCTTCCCCAAAAAGCCCCTAAGAGGAAAAAAAGGGAAAAAAGAGAGAGAGAATATATGCAAAGTACCTTAATAGTATAATCAATATCGCTAGTCGTATACGCTTCACCACTCACCACCACCACAACACCATCCCCCTCTCCCTCCCCAGCTGTTCCATTCTCCCAAACCTTCCACTCCACGCAAACCGGGCTCTCATCCGCGTCGATAAACGTCTGCGTGTCGTGACTATACAGCGGCACCGTCCCCTCGACGGTGACGTTGCTCCCGTCCGACGCCGGCGTCGGCGCCGCCCGCGTCCACAATATCACGCTGTCCGCGTACGGGTCGCCCGACGCCACGCCGTGCATGAAGTCCAGCTCCGAGGCCGCGTACGCGACGGACCCGCGTTTTAGGCTCCGTCGGGACACGTGCGGTACGTCGATCCCGAGGCTAGGGTGGCGCCGCGAAGGGCTTGCGAAGTTTAGGTTACCGCCGAATCGCGCGTCTGCAGCAGCAGCAGCAGCAGCAGAAGCGAGAGGTGCGGATGGTACGACTAGGAGCGGCCCGGCCCAGAGACCGAGCGCCGCGAGTAGCTTATTGTGCACCATCGCGAAGGGCGACTTCAGACTGTCAGTTACGCTCCAAGCTTAGCACCTTTCAGTGTGCTTACAAGAACAAAAGCTATATATTAGATACCTACCTCTTAGGTAGGTATTTATACTTTCTACTAGCCCCATAGCATGTGCTCATTTACAGGTAGGTACAGTGCTATGCATAATATCACCGCATCAAACCGACCATCGAGAAACGGAAAGCCGATCGATAATCGCCTGCAAAACCTCTCCAATGAGCAATAGTAGGCTGCGCCTGCTGCGACCTGCAGGACAAATGCTGCTACTCTGAGTCTCCGGGGCGTTCTAGAAGACAAACGTGTGCAATGGCGATGTTCCTATTGGTCGTGACTTAATTGCTCTTCTATGCAAGCTCCCTCGAAAACACCCGCCGAGCTAGGGGAAGATATAAGTTCATAATAATATTTCGGTACCTACCGGCTCGGCGGGGGATGTAGTAGAGGAACTAATTACCTTGGCAGATACAGACACTAGAATTAGCAGGCTACTAAGCAAGAAATATCTAGTTAATTATAATATAGGTAAAACGTGGTATCATCGTTGGCAATTTGTTCATAAGAGCGTCGGTCCGGTTCATCACTAACAACTAGCCGCACCACCTCTCATATGGCTCTCTCCAACGAACGCCGAGGATCTTGAAAATCCCCCTCTCGTCCTGCCCCTCAAGCAGCGTTCCGCCGTTCATCTTAATATTTCCCTGGCCCCGTAGGACGTTGCCAAATAATCCTCTCTGGTTTAGCCGCATGCCCTTCTTCTGCGCTAGCAGCCGTATCGACCTGTTAAATATGTCGTTCCCGGTAAAGTAGATAAGTGCTGCGCCGAGTTCGGTCTGGGGTGCAAGTAAAAGGTCGATACGTCCCCATGTAGGACGGTATTCGCTTTTGGGACCAGGGAAAGCGTGCTTGGGCAGCACACAGCAACCATGCCATTTGCTCCCACCATCGACGTCGTCTACGCCACTATGGTGAGCAGCAAGGGCCACAGTTAAGAACCCTTCGCGAGTCAATGTATCAACAAGCCGATTCAGGAACGGAGCCAACTGGCTTGTAGAGGTTGTGCCCTTCTTGGTCACAATCAGATCGATATCGCCGGAACTCTCGGCTCCGCGACGATAACTACCTCCCACAATTAACTCTATGTGGCGATCAATGGCCGCGGCCGTCTCCCGAACACAACCAGCCAAGGCCTCCACTTCTCGCCGTGGAATCCGGGTATTCAAGTCGTCAAAATGCTCCAGCCCGATTTTCTGATTAGCGTTTAGGTCGGCTCTGTTTCTAAGGTCATCCAGGGTCCGAAAGCCTTGGGCGAGCCATTTATGTGCTTGAATTTGTCCCACACCGTAGATCTGTAGAAATAGGCCTATGGTCCTTCTCTGAGGGTCGTCGAGCGCATACTCAAGTTGCCTGAGTCGGTTCGTATTGACTATCTCCTCGATCTTATCTGCGATTCGACCGATATGAGGTAAGGCGCGTGCTTCTTCAGCAGTACATATTTTCTTCGGTTGTGTTCGCAGGGTTGCGATGGCTAATCTGTAAGCTCGAATACGAAAATTGTCTCCGGTAAGTGTATGCTGATCTAGCATCTCCTGAAGAACCTTTATTGTCTCTGCATTTGGATTATTATCCGTATCGTCTTTGGTGCCTCCCTTCATACAGATAAAATTTTCTTGCCAAGCAGGGCTTTTCCCCTTGGAATTGCCAATGCTGCTCCTAGTTCTTCTCTTCCACTGTCTCCCATCATCGTAATTGCTAGAATCTGAGAGGGACTCCATCTCATCTGTTAGAGTTAGGCCAGCAGTATCATTTCCCACTATTAATGAACCATCCAATATGTCAGTTTTACCCGTAGCTTTTGTCTCGGATATGCATTGTGTGAGCTCATCATCTACATCAATCTCAGCTATCCGTTTTGGAGGCGATACTCCATTTTTGGCCTGAGCTGCTTGACCATTGACCGAGATATCATCGGCCTGTTGCTTCTAGGAAGATGAAACCAGAGCGGCGCTTCTCTGCGAGGAAGATTGGCTGCGTGGCTGAGTACTTAATACAGGCGAATGGTGTCGCCTTGCTGACTTCCTGCGCCTTGGCTTCAGCTCGAGCGAAGCATCAGGATCGTCCGAAAGCGACGGGTCTATTGTACCTGCCGGCTGCTGCTCGGCGACTGTTGGAGTCCCAAGAATTTTATACTGCCTCTGGTCGGGGTTCGCGATTATGCGGTGCTTAAGGCAGTCAATGGGGTAGTTTTCATTGACAAGGACCTTCTCTGACCACTTAGGGTCGTCTTGCAGCTGACGCTCTATATCTGCATAGGTAAGCTTCTTGTCGACGATTATGTGCGTCGCCTCGCTCAGCTTCCTGCACCACCTACATAATGTTCGGTTAGCCGACCGATACGATGAGAGTATTTACGGGTACTTGCTTCTAGCCGCCGGGATAGATTTAACAAAACGGAAACTTACGTGGCGCCATGTTCCCGTGCCTTCCTGATCTGTAATCTTCGCGCCGGGTTGATATCGTCGTTGGGAATGTAAAAGAACGAGAGGTCTTTAAAAATTCGTCGTGCCTCGGGGGCCAGTTTCAGGGGTGGTTCCCTCTTACGCTTTCCCACTCTAACGGAGGGTGAAGGATCACCTTGAGGGTTAGAATGTCTGCTGAGAAGACTTGAGTGCATCGATCGTGTTGTGCGACGCTGTGGCTGTCTGGCTGCAGCTGTAGTCTCGGATACAGTGTTGTCGCCAAGGGACGGGCTTATCCGCAAGCTTGGCTTGCCAGATTTTGAGCTTTTACGTCGCGGAGTAACAGAAATTATTTCTATCTCGGGATCATCTTTGCTAGGAATAGGGTCTGGTACTGGTTCCCCCGAAATAGCATCAGCACCGATTTCCTTTGGTAAAATAGGAGAAGAAACATTCTTGGGAGAGGTCGGGTCAACAACAATGTAAAATGATCTGGTCTTTTGTCTGTATGCTTCCTCATCTGCGCATAAGGAATCATCTTCTCCATCATCATCATTCGTGTATGACTGCAGACATTCAAAGAATGCAACCTTTTCTTCCTCTAGCTGACGCTCCATTGGAGATAGGAAGGAAAACGGGGTATTGTTGAAGTCCGTTTCGGTATTCCGGGTATCAAGGCACATTTTGTTGCACTTTGACAAGTTCATCCGGTAGGCATCAACATCAGGGCGCATGATCGCTGATTAACTTGTCTTAGATATTTTTATTGGTTTAAAATGTTGGTAAATAATTGAAATTGGCAAATTGGTTCAATTGAAGAGCCAAAGCTAAAATCCCTTGAATTTTCCCTTGTATTTCCCTTGATTTGCTTAGTATGCCCCTCCGTTGCACCGCATAATACCTAAAATGAATTAGATACTTTATGCTTACCTGATATAAGCAGCTACCAACACCGTCGCACAAGTACCTTCAAGATATCGTTCGTTGCTAGGTATATGTTAGGTTAGGTACCTCCTACAATACATGCATTGCATATTTATAATGCATATTTGTAGGCAAATATAGTAAAACTCGAGCTTCCTTCAAGGGGCTTGCAGTAGAAGTCATTGTGTTTTAACTTCCGATATTTCGACCATATGAGGAAATATGTCTTAAGACTTATTACCTGATACATATTTGGCATGCTCACATTTGGCCTCGGATGTGCAATATACCGACATCAAGGGTATAATAATAAACTTTCACGTACAACACACATTGTATTGAATTCCATAACGCCTCCCTAAATTCCGTGTGAGCGAGTGAGCGAGATATTAGTCGCCAGTCGATACCCTCCCTAGTTTTCCCCAAATACGTAGACCCAAGCACAAAGCAAAATACATCATATCGTACAGAACAAATCCTCTTATGGTATAGGTGACTGCGACGACGCCTGCCCGGCGTACATCCGCGAATCCATCAGGGGAATGCTGTTCTTTTCCCGGGGATCGAAAGAGGTTGTGCCGTCCCCGGAGTACCGGCTATTAGATTCACCCTCAATATCATTAAGCAATTCCCTGGTGATCTCCACGTAATCGTATGCGAACTCGCCAATTTCCGCGTCGTCAATACCTAGAATCTCAGCGTTCTCGGTTGTTCGTAGTTGGAGACCGGGAATCAGGTTTAAGAGAAAACAAATTATGCATGTGCCGGCGAACGAGTAGCAGCCTCCACAAATAGAATCGGCGAGCTGGTATGCTAACTGGACCCAATGGTGGTTCACCCAACCTCCCCGTATTTGCGTAAAGCCATCGAGGTGTGCAATATAATCGGCAGCAAAGAAGCCCGTGCAGATGTTTCCTACGAAGCCGCCAACAGCATGCACGGCAAATATATCCAAGGCGTCGTCGATTCGTAGGAGAAACTTGAGCTTAGTAGCGTAGTTGGCAAATCCAGCCCCAAAGACTCCGTAAATGACCGCAGCCCAGACAGGGACATAACCTTTAAGGGGGGTTAGGCACGTTTCTGCGATGTTGGTAAATCTAGAACGCTTACCTGAGCCTGGTGTGATCGCGACGAGACCTGCAACGACGCCCGAGCAGAATCCCACCGTAGACCACTTGCCCTCTAATCTATAGTCGAGCACGCACCACGTAATCCCGCCGACACAAGCTGCCAGGTTCGTAACTACTGCGGCCATGACAGCGCGCAAATTGGCTGAAAGGGCGCTACCTGCGTTGAAACCAAACCAACCAACCCATAGAAACACCGTCCCGATAACTATGTGAGTAACATTGTGTGGTCGGTAGTTCAACTCGTGTGTTCCGTGGCCTCGTCGCTTCCCAAGCATCATCGAATCTACAGACTCAATTGTCAGTAATCCGAGCATATAGACTCTTACTAGGAGTATAATCAAGAGTGTGTAAACTAACACGCAAGCGCAGCCGTTCCGGAAGCAATATGGACTGGGGTACCACCAGCGAAGTCAAGGCCTCCCATCTTGTTCGACCACCCGGCGGGATTCCATGTCCAGCAGGCAATCGGGTCGTAGATGATTGTGGACCAGATGAACATAAAGATGACGCACGGTAGCATCCGCCCCCTTTCAGCAACAGCGCCAGTTGCAAGAGCTACGGTAATGGCCGCAAACATGCCTTGGTACACGGCGAAGAGCAAGTCCGGCACTCTCGAAGAGCCGACTGACGGTTGGGCTAACACATTTTTGAAACCAAAGTTGGACAAATCTCCGATATAAGCGGACGCCGTGTGCGAGAACGTTAACGAGTAACCCCAGAAGAACCATTGAAACGTAGTCACGGCCGTCGCCATGACGGAGAGCCATATCAGTGATAAAGCTGATTTACGTCGCGCAAGACCAGAATAGAAGAAGCTTCGATATTGTAAGCCAACGAACACTCGGGGCGGATATGATTTCTTTGTAGCCAATTTTACTTACCCGACTCCGGGAATCATGAGCAGCACGAGAGCTGTGGACGTTATCATCCATGCGATATCGCCGCTCTGTGCTATTATGTTAGAATTTGATTCCTATTCAAGGTCGGACGCGCGGTGTGCTCATCTACTAACCTCGTACCATACATTTAAATCTTCCGTCAGAGAATCTCCGCCAGTAGGACCGGATCCATTATAAGGGATTTTAATGATATAGCCCAATGCGTCCAGATCGATGCCGTTGAGTACGACCATTTTGTCACGTAGCCCAGCGAAGGTCTCGGGAGTGGCTATGACGAGATGATTAAAATGCTATTAGTACCACACATGAGAGGATGAGTTAGGCAAGTAAGTTTAAAGGAGTGTCGACAAGTTGGATGGAGGCCGTCGGGAACTTGCAGTCGAAAAAAGGTCGAGGCGAGGGCTAGATCAAGTACGTCAGATTCCGGCGCGTGGTTTGAGAAGCCAATAAAAATATCAATTCAAACTAAATGGTAGTAAACCCCTTAAACCGTCGGTAGTCGGTAATAAGCAATTCAAAGACAAGAATTCACTCTTATTTAGGTCAATCGGTATGCTTATCAGACATATCAAAGTGAAGTAAAGACGCCTATGAATGAGAAGTCTCGTAAAAGGAAGACAAGACTGAGGCTTGTATCTGACGGTCGAGGTTGGTGGAAAATCAGTTTTATTGATAACAGACCAGACCATCTTAGGGATCAGCGCGTTGTACCTGGTTGTACGTATGTACAGCATACTATCTTACTAGCATTGTAGGTACACCGGCGCCTGATGATATCCCCCCTTCGACAGACGGGAGATTAGCATCAGCCACTCAGGCAAGGGCATGACCTGCAGGTTGCAGGATCTGTGCCCGCCTCAGATCGGTGACATACATACCTACGTACATACAAGCAAGCATAGTACGGTGGCAGTAACCGGCATGAGCTAAAAACTAGCCCATCTATTTCGATAATAAGCAGGGATTGCTCCAAAATGGCCGAGGAGACACTATCTGGGCTGTTCTGGCTGTCTGGTCGAACGTTAGGCGTGGGAGATAGGCCGGATAGGATAATCGGCCGTAACACTACATATCCAATATTAATATCAACAGCATACAGCAGCAAGCTGAACTCAGTGGCAATGCCTTTGAACCCATTCTCTGGTGTAAGATTCGTCACCTAGGTGTCCTATTAAAGATACGATTCAGGGGAACGTAGAAGTCACTCTAGAATGAATCGCTCCGAAGAGCTGAACGGGGGAGGGATGCAAGTCAGATTTTTTTTTTCGTCTAAAATTTTAATAGATGATGAAGCAGCAGTTCGACGCCCAAAAATAAAAGATGATGGGTATTACACAGCGAAACAAGTAAGCAAACACACAGACAAGAGATAAGCAAGAATAAGGCCCACACAATCGACCCACTATTGGGTAAGGCTCACTGGTGGGGTGCGAGTGGGGAGAAAGAGCTTCCAGGGTAGGTGAGCAGGGGGTTTTGGACTTGGCACTTGCCCATCTCGAGTAGGTATTTCAAGTCTGATATCTTGGAGACAATGGAAGCCTCGGTAAGTAGCTCTTACACAACTAAAGCAACTCCGATAAGGGTTTACGATAAAAGCTACCAAGTCCTTTTGGGATTTGTTTTATCTTCTTTTTAATTACCATGCCCAATTTACCTACAGATAACTTCAGTCACATTACCAGCATCGAGAAGCATTCCAAGCAACAACCTAGATCTGGTTCAATGTTGTTGTTACGCACGAGTCAAAGCGTCAATGCACTACGACTACACTACGTACCTTCGTTCACTTGGCTCTCCCATCAGGTGATCTTAACATGTAGGTCATTCTCAGCAAAAGCCCGTTATTACGTAGTACATACATATAGCAGCCTACCTTATCTCGCATCGCGAAGCGAAATATGGCATATTCCTACTGTAACTACCTAGGTAGGCATTGTACGTAAGGTCACAAAAAGGCCAGACATGACATGAACAGGACAACTCGTGTCAGCTGCCCAATGGTCCCCCAACGGTCAGCCATCGTCTTTCCAGCTCGCTGGTATACACATCTATCACATCACATCTTGCTCCGAATCTCTTCCCACCTCTCCCCCATCATATCGGGAAGGTCAGAATCGATGGTTTATGAACACCTATATAGATACCTAGGTACCTAGAACTGTCTAGGTACTACCTAATTGGATGTAGATGATTCGCCCAAGTTGGTATACCTACCTAAATAAAATAGGTATGCCTTAGTTCAGGGGAGCTCATCGCGCTAGTTATGGTCTAACGGTCTAACAGAAACCTCGCATCTCCTAGTATCAATAAGGCTGATAAGGTCTTGCTGTTACGGTAATAGTTATTCCCCGTGTTCCAATCGAGCGGTACTTATCAATACGGGTTACCCCACTGTCTTAGGATCATTCAACAGCAACAACAACATAGAGGCTTCATGCGACTTGTTTGTTTAATTAAGCGTTAGCGGCCTAGGCTAGGTATGGTAAAAGATCATCTTGACATGTTCTATCGAGCGCAAAGTCTCAATATCCATCCTTCTTCTGACACGTAATAAATCTCCGGGGATCGCGAGCGGACTACCACCACCTGCCTAGGAATACCTCTAGGTTATGTTAGGTAGGTAGGCATCTTCCATGCATTCCCGCTCCCTCGATTCCCCTCTTCGAATGGAATGGTTTCTGAAGCCGTTTCGAAAACTGTTTTGACCGGTGTATCATCGGGTAAGACAAACGCCTCCGCCTCCCGCGCATGTCTAGAATAGGGAGGTCTCAGGTCATTGAGAGACGCTGTGCGACCTGAATTGGGTATTCGTAGGAAATCACTCAGATGTCATCAAAAAAAAAAAAAACAACTCGAACAGAAGATCCGACTTTTGAAGCAGCTAGGTATGGATGTTCTCAAGAGCGAACTTGCCACAATATACGGTCACATTCAAATTCCATTAGCCGAACCGTTTAGATCATTCCCAAGGTTAGTATGCTTTAAGGCTTTTTGAGGCTCTGATTTGTTGATAGTAAGACCGCACTCAGGGACATGGTATAGACAATATTATAGACAATACCTAGGGAGACATGTTATACATAGTATAATATAGTACGGTATAAGTTCGGCACCTTAGGTACCTAATTTGAAAATGCCTGCTCCATTTCATTCGACTTGTCAATGGCGGTAATGTTGCAATTCAGAACTGAACTGCACTACAGCACGCCTCTTACTAAAAACACTCAAGCCAAGTTGTTCATACGTAGTATGCGTATCATTTACACTAAGCAAGCCACCTAGATCGACACCCATCTTGTGCTCAGCCAAGCTACTTGGCAATTATCGCATGGGCTCGCATACCTAACAATATCCAAAATAATATATATACATAAGCTTAGCTTAAAGGAGAGGAACTTCCAGATGTAGAAGATGAGATATCAAATTGTAGGATTCATCGGGAGAGGGGGGGAGGGGCAGATGGGTTACCCCCTAGCTTATAACCCAGCCAATCACAGCTTAGCACATGGACGCAATAGGTAGGTAGATACCTACCTAAGGTACCTAGCCTTACTTAATACAATTAGAATTTAAGATCCATTATCTTAACTTAGGTACTCTCTAGGTAATAATGTTATAATCGAGATTGCAGTGGCCTATAGTTGTTGACTTGTTCACTTGTTAATTAACCCGAGTTTGAGTCCTACGTTGCTCGTGAATTCCAACTTTGAAAGTGAACGAGGGGCGTACATTAATTATTAAGGGGTACCTAGCAAAACAGCTATAATCGAACTACATAAAAGTCTTCTATCAGACTTGGTCTCTCAAGTGTGCTATAGGAAATCGACCCGAATACAACATTGCCAATTCTTTTCTGTACAAACCCTCCGAATACATGCTAGGTAAAGCAAGGCGGCCTGGTAGCCTTTTTGGTTCTTATGCAAGTAGATTAAAATGTGTTTCCATATCACCCCACTCCGAAAGCATATTATCCGACTCTGGCGCCTTGACCATGGAACTGACGATGTTGATGCAAAGTCCGCTTACATGGCGAGCATTAATTACCTTGCCATTTGCAAGCGATACTCGTACTTGAAGGTTGGACCTTAGAAACGGCTCTGCATCTTCTGCGTGCAAGCTTGGTACCTTTCCTGATGCTACCATATGCATCAGAGCCGAAGTTATGGGGATTGTACCAGTTACCATTCGATCAGAAACGTGGCCGTGCACGCTTTTGTGAGCGAAGATACCGTGAGTGCCTACTAAGTTGGGTGCTACCGGCCATAATGAAGGGTCAGGTGGAACGTCCCCTAGGAAGAGATGAATCGAAAATGAACCACCCATGGCTTGCTTGTTAACTCTTATATTTGCAATCCACTCGCGGTATTTACCACCTCTGAAAATTGCGCCCAAGGAAGGCCGGTTTGAAGATTGACTGCTCCAAGATATCCCATTTGCTCTATACGATTCGCGGTGGCTTGAACGCTTGGTATGCCTGCTGCTGTGTCGCAGACTCCTGTCTGATCCGATGAATATAGAAGCCGGGCTAAACTTTCCATATAGCTTATTTATTGTTGTCACAAGCTCCGCACGACTCGTGTTTGCTACTTCAGCGTAAGTATAACCAAAGACTTCATGATCCCGCACCATGTCAGCCGTCCAGAAGTGTGTTTCGTTGACAAAGAATGGGGTGAGAGGCGTTTGAGAGTTTTCCAACTGGCCGGGAGACGTCGTATGGGAAGAATAGACAGCAGCTTGGGGGATCACATATGTGTCATTGTAAAGGTGTTGCCACATAGTAAAAATCCTATCAACATTGGTATGATGTAGCCAGAAGAGTGGATCAAATCCAGAATAAGCTATGATGGCAAGGTGCCCATAAACACCACCCCCAACAGTGTGGATTGCATCGTGAATGGACTCAAGGGAGTCATATGTGCCGTTGTTGGGACCGGTAATCCAGGCCTCATTGCTGAAGGTTGTATAATTGGGGTAGTGAGAGAATAAGTTGTACAGCCGCTGTTGGAAACTCGGAAGGTGTATATCTAACGCGTGTGCCACGAAGGTGTTGTTTGAAGTTGCGTTTGCACTATTAATTGGGCGCGGTGCTCGTTTTGTCTCGCGCCATGTGTTGTACTAGGCACGTTACTGTTAGCATATGAGCTCCCCTCACAGGGGAAATAAGCTTACAGGAAAATCTGGAAACGTTGAGCTATTAAATGGCCTGAAGACGTAGCTGAACAGAGGGTTGGCAATAGTTTGAACACCGTTTGGCCCGGTTACATTAATGAATGGCGAATCACCAACACCGGGCGGGAGTACACTGTCTCCTTTAGGGGGGACGGCAGCCCAATCCCAGTACGGAATCCGGAAGGTATCGGCAGCTTTTTGGAACCGGTCTTGGAGTTCTGGCGGGTAAAACGAGGCAATAAATTGAACAATATTATACAAGACTTGCTAATACAGGCCGAGTCAGCATCTTACTTGGAAAATCGCAATATATAATCAAAGCTTTTATGATCAAAGGGGGGTGGATTCTTTCAGTATACCTCGTATAGAGCAAGATATGGTCGATGCCAAGGAGGAAACAGAATGGACACATGAGTACAATATCCACTATGCTCGTTTCCGGGTGTTGGGTCGACATCTTCCCACGTTAACGCGGGTGCTCCATGAATGCCTATCGTTCGTTAGAATATAAACCCATCATTGCGTCTGCCGGCGTACCTGTGATCTGGTACCACGAGAATGGTGACTCCTGATCGGTGAACTGCATCCAGCTAAGGGCCAGGAGGTACAGGTTCCATTTATCCTCGTCTTTTTGCAAGTCTCGGATATCTGGTCTCAGCTGGATTTCTCCATTGACACGAGGAGGGCCGGCTACGATAGAAGACTGAGACGGAGCCCGTTTTCGTAAGCGGAGATCAGCGGTAAACCCATAGTCGTATTGTCCCAGCTGTATGCCAGCAACAGCTACAGAAAAGAGCAATGCGAAAACTAGACAAATCCTATGAATGGATGACATGTCGGGCTGTCATGAAAATGGAACTTCTTGGAAAAAAAGTACGGATGAAGCCGTGGACCACAAAAATGACACACAAGAAAAAGCAGCCAAATAGTACGACACATGTGACGGAGATGAAAGATATCGTTGGAGCTCTGGAGGTGTCGGGGAGAAAGTAGTCAAAAGACGAGACAGGATAGATGAGTTTGTCTTGTCGATAAATGATAAATGCGAATGGACTAAAGGGCTTTTGGTTAGGGCGGTCTTTCCATAGGATATGAAGACGGGACGATGCTTAGATTAATAGAATGATAATCGTATTGTAAGTATTGTAACGGGAGGAAGCCAAAACCTTCGGACGCGTAGTAGAAATTAGGGACGTACACGTCGGTAGATCTCTGTAGATCTCTGTAGACCTTTGTAATTCTTTACATAAATGCACGTATATATCTGCACGTATACCTGCACATAAACCTGCACATGTGGTTATGTGTGAGGTACCTAACCTAATGCATGTGTACCTGCCTAAGGTATAGGGGTCGTAGTAGCTTATCTTGCTTCTTGCTGCCTGCATCCTGCCTTAGTTTCAAACCAAGATTGAACTAGGAAATAACGAGTTGACCCGGCACCATCTCATGATTGCCGTCCTCCTACAGACTTCCTCGGTTTGGTTTAAAAACTAAGTCTCATTACTCTCTTCACTGCCTAACCTAACCCAACCTAACCTCCTAATTAATACTTCTTCCCATGAGTCTCTAAAAATAATAAGAACCTATATAAAAAGATTCCTATAGCCGAACAGGCAATACAAATAAGATACCTACCTAACCTAGGGTATGTTATTGGAAGCATGATGATACACAGTAGTTAGCCGCTCTGAAACTAGTTTCGTCCTATCTTCGGTTACATACATCAATTGCCGTCTTCTTGGAACAGTCACAGCCCTTGTCATCACAAAAGGAAATAAGTCATGCAGATATATCACATGGCTTAGAAATTTGTATTAACTTCACTGTGTATCTCTACCGAAACTATCCATTTTAAACCCGAATCCTATTACCGAAAACCTTTAAACTCCATCTAATGCAACTGACTCCTTTTTTTGAGACTCATCTTTGAGACACTCTACGCGGCCGCAACCACGGGCGGAAGCGCGTTTGTTCTCTTTCCCGTAGAAATTACGTCCCATTTCGCCTGTAAGAGCGGGCCCTTTCGCGGAGCATCCTTCGGGTCTACTCGGTACTTCAACTTCACACCCATAGCTGCTAGCTCCACGTCAAGATACTTGAGAGCACCAGGAACTGCTACTTTCGTCGTGTCTTCACCTCCGATCCACTGGTTCCCCTGTCCATCTTCCCATATTTCCCCGGCTAATTTACTCAAGTCCACATCGTCAATCTGGTCAAGACGAGTTGCACAGTTTCGGCATCGGACGTTGTTCACTGTCTTCTTCCTACCCATGAAAGGAGATACCGTAGGCTGTACCGACAAGAAAGAGCCGCACCGACGGCAGATCCATGATGGTGTATAATCCGAGCAGTTGAGAAGACGGTCTTGTAGAAGGAAGGCTGTACCGTGCGCTAATAAGGCATCTCGTTCCATTTCGCCGACACGAATACCACCACCTCGCTTTCTACCTTTGATCGGCTGTCCCGTCGTAGCGACCACGGGTCCCGTCGTTCTTACTTGATACTTATCGTTGACCATGTGACGCAGTCGTTGGTAATATACGACGCCAATGTAAATATCTGCCGCTAGTTCTTCTCCAGTAATTCCCGAGTACATAGGTTCATTTCCGTGGTAATTGTAGCCAGCTTTCATGAGTTGATGTCCGAAATAGTCGGCGGCTGTATTATCTTCGTCAAAACGGAAAGGAGTCGAGTCTTGTGCGAGACCGTGAAGCGCGCCTGCTTTTCCTGCTAGCGACTCGACGAACATACCGATCGTCATTCGAGAGGGGAAAGCGTGAGGGTTGATAATAATATCCGGTTGAATGCCGGATTCCGAGAAGGGCATATCCACGGCCGGCCATTTCTGCGAAGCGACACCTTTTTGACCGTGGCGCGATGAGAACTTATCACCAATAACTGGTGATCGGGGAACGCGGAACTTGATCGAAATTGTCTGGGCAACCTCGTTACCTTGTTCACTGCCGATTAATCGCACTTCTTCAATGAATGCTTGCTCCGAATCCTTGTACTTTTCGTACTTGGTGACGCCGTCTCGATTTACTAAGTTGCCACTGTAGTCTGCGGAGACTGTGTGGTAAGCGAAGATGATATCACCTTCTTGGACCATTCGTCCGACATACGGGAGACCATCTTCATCTAACATGGTCTGTGTCCATGCCTTGACGACGCTGCCTGGGGCGAAGCCAAACATTTTGGTCACATTCTTGGCCGACCTTGTGCGACTTTCCTCCTTCAGGGTGTACTTTTTAGTTTTGTAGATCGTGCCGTGTCCAAAGCCTCGTTCGTGAGCTGACTTGTTAAGAATCATAGCGTCGTCCATATCGTATCCCGTGTAGGATATCACAGCGACAACCGCGTTTGTTCCATTGGGGAAATTATCGAAGCCGTATGCATTATGGAGTGGAGATCTGACAATAGGAGTCTGACCGGTCTGAAGACGGTACATCTTGTTGTCTGTGCGGTATGCCAGCGACGTTCCTGGAGTTCCCATCGTTTGCTTACCCATCTGACACTGGTACATATTTCTTGGAGACTGGTTGAAGTCTGAGAACGGTGTCATATTTGCCAGAATCGATAGAATATTCGTAGGGTCAAATTCAACATGCGTTGACTCTCCCGAGACGACTTCTTGTTCCGTACAAGCAATAGACATATATGGCTGCTCCAAGGGTCCTACAAAATCTTCCTTCGCTAATGGGAGGTACTTGGTTGGCCTCACCATTCTGGCGGGTTCAGAAGACATGTAGATGCCAGGGTAAGATCCTCCCTTGGACGATGGTACATATCCAATTTCAAGGTGCACAGGGATGCCGTGAGAGCCTTCAACTTTCCAGTATCGGAAAGTATCCGCTATTCTGCGCGACTCGGACGGGTGGCACCAACCAAGGATCCTACCATTCAAGATAACGACAACGCTTTCATCCGTCGCGGCAGATGAAGTGTCGACAACGCCAAGCTCGGCGGCCAGTTGTGGGATCATGGACGTATCGACAGGACTAGTCATAATCTTGCATTTATGTGCAAGATGGTTAAGTAGACCACAGGGCGAGCCATCTGGAGTATGGACAGGGCAGAGGAAACCCCAAGACTCGGGTAGCAACTTTCGTACCGTTGTGGTCTTCAATTGAGCGAAGAAACTTCCTCGATGTACCATTCGGAAATGACTGATAAAACGAAGGAAATTGAGTTTCTCGGCGACAACGGTGAAACCTGATACTTGCTGGAGATCCAAACCGGAGGGGCTTGATAAGTTACCAGTCGATAAGAAATATTCCAGGGCGTTGCCGACATTTTCATTGGTCTTCTGGAATATTTTGATAGGAAAATCTTTTGCGAATTCTTCAGAGGTAAACGACCTCGAAGGGTACCTTCTCATATATTCCCTTAGCGCACCACGGAGTCCTACGGAAAGTAACTCGTCCAGCCGTTCTTTTATGATCATGCCGTATAAGAATCCGCCGAGGAGAATCTCTTGGTTCTGAACCGCATCGGGATTGTCGATTGAACAGTCCCCAGCAACTAGAGCATAGAGCTTCCTGATCATAAACAATAGCATGCGGAACTTGTCTGAATCTTGCTGCTCCGTTACGTTGATATTTCCTAGGTGTACCAATACAATCCGTCGCAAGAATTCAGTGCCCACCTCGTAGTGCGATAGAGTATCAGGTACTCCTAAGACAGGCCGGAATTTCTCTCCAAGATACGATCGGGTCTGCGCCATTGTATATAGTCCGTAAGTCTTATAAGTTCGTAATAAGAGTTCAACACGATCCGTGAGGAATGTGTTCTCGATGCCCTTCGAGTCTGGAGATCCAACTAAACCTTCAAAAATTTCTCTGTCGTTCGTTTCTACGAGTGCCTTCAAAATCATCATAACTGGAACTAAATATTCGTTCTTTCGCCAAGAGAAACGGAAGGTAACATTACCATCGTCTAGGTAATGAAGAACATTCGTTTGCGAGGTCTCGTCAGGTCGCACTGATCTAAGTATAATACCGTAAGGAGTATAGGCAGGGCCACGATTAGTGAAGCTTGGACGGTTGATGGCCAGAGGAAAGTTTCTTCGGTTGACCAGGAGGAGTCGTATAATCTTTTCGATACCGTTGACAATAAAATAACCCCCTAGCTCTTCTGATTCCTCTTTACGCGCAACCAATTGCGCCGGACTGTTATCTCTGAGATGGCAATAAGCCGACTATGAAATGGCTTAGCAAAACACAACTTTTTACCAAAACAGGAAGGGCAGTTTGAAAATCCTACCTTTACCATGATTGGCAGCTGGCCAATCTCTCGCGTGAACTCCTTTACATCGCCATCGTTTATGCTGTACTCAAACGTGGCAGAAAGCTTTCCTCGGTACGAAACATGGCGTTCTCTACACTCTGCAGGTAGGATCTCGCGGTTTTTTACAGCGAACTTATTTGAAGGGGGTAGCTGCGATTTTTGAAGGTGTATTCCCTTGCACCTTATCTTCAGCCTGTTCTTCCCGGCTGGCGGAGCGCGCTCGTCTCCATCCAGAAATAACCTCGTGCCAATATCAGCCAGTCCTTTCGCGACCAGGCCATTGTCGCCGAAGAGGGCATCGAAGGATTCGATATGCGGGTTTACGGCTTCCTGCAATAAAGGATATGCAGACCGATCTGTCGGGGGGTCTCTGAAAAGCTTCTCCCGACGAAGAGTATTATACCCGTGATCCCAGTTCGTGTTAGTTGGTTGTGGTGCCATTGCGACAGGTGAAGGATATCCCCCGTGTTTAGATTAATTAAACTTCACAAGTCTCACTGCATAAAATGGTAGGGTCCAGGGAGGAGCGTAGTAAGTGCTGTGGCGGATCTACGCTCAGAGATTGAGCATAACCACGTTTTATTGAGTGAGCTCAAACCCCTCTGTTTTTGAGACTTGAGGACTTGTTTGAACAAAAAGAGAAAAAAAAGCTTATCAGCCAAAATATTTCAGTTGCTACCATCTGATCTCCTATCGATAAATGCTTATCAGATGCACTAAACACTATGTGGGCTGGTGGGATAGGTACATAGTAGGTACAATACATGTATCGAAGTACCTACCTAGGTACGTACCTAATCTACCTCTATCACTGCACAGTGCCCATTGTTCATCTATGGACGTTGGTTGGACCCTACATTAAAACACGGAAGGTGCCTACAACTCTGAGTCTACAATATGACGAGTATTACAGAGGTTATGTACCTTAGGTAGGCCTTTAGCGTCATTATCTACGGACGTCTTATTTCCATCTCTGCCAACTATCTCTCTCATTGGGAAAGTTTTTGTGATCAGATTGTCTACATAGGGAGCTAGCTTGCTATTACGATAGCTACGATAGCTGTCCTCTTTGAATTGAGAAAAGCCATTTCTGGTGCTATTTATTCCACCTTGGGACAGATTCTCAACCACTCATCTCATCAGGAAGCACGAGGTGCAACGTACATGGTTGTTGTCATCTTGCACCGGTCTTGCAGCCCAACCGACGTCTTAAAGCTGTCTGCCGTGCATACTTGCATCCCGCAGGCTGCCTGCCTTGGTCCAGTCTAAATCCGCCTAGTAGAATTTTTAGTAGGGTTAGGTACATACCAACTTTGAAGTCTTTGGTCCTGGATTTCATTTTATCACTACCTACCTCATACATACATACAATACATACGTCTTCTATCTCTCTGGGCTGTTGCATCTGACCTCACTCGAGGTCGTTCATTGCCTGCATATTAGAAGACCTGACCGCTTCTAGGACCTTAAATCGCAACCTACCATTTCCCACTTGGGTCTTTCGTTGCAAACAAGCCGGTCACTGTTCAGGGCTCCGGTCATCGCCACTTAGGCTTCTTACTCGCACCGTGCTGTTTCCAAAGCTGAATTTACGACGATATCGTGCCAAGAAATCTAGTCGATTCGGCTCTATTCGATATCTAACAACTACGCCCTCAAGAGCGAGGGGTAACTTCATAAAAATAGCGTTGGGCAGAGCGAGCTCTCGGTCCGGCAAAAGAAATACGTAAGGCATAACTTAGCCCAATAAGCTTAGCTGCTGATGGTGGTGCTGCTGAGTGTGGGGGAGCGACTTGGATACCTTACCCGCCCGAGCAGGTGATGGGTCTTCCGACGCGGCCAGAGTAGCAGTTCGGGAAAACCCTCGAGGCGCAAAGCTGCGAGCAAGAGCAGAACAACTCTCTCTGGTTAACCCTTCTCTCCTACAGAGCTCCACTACAGAAACAGAGCATAACAAGCCCCCTTACCTTTTTTTCGTTCTGTCCCCGACTTCTGTTACGGTATTCCATCTATCCTACCACCATCCGTAAACTCTTTAGATCAATCTCACAAGCTTACATCGGGGTTCATTAAAGCTAACAAAAGTCTAAGCAACCTGGGATTTGGGACCTGGCGCCTTCAGGTGATACCTCCCAAGGTTGTGCCATCTACGAGACGCTCGCAACGGGCCGGTCAATAGCGACCATCTTAATTCCCCATACTCGCGGCTCCAATCCGTTCCCGCTCGTTAAGCTCTCGTGCGGCACGTCCATTATTTATCTATCTCTCTCGGTGCAGTCTCCATCTACAGTGCACTAAGCTCAGATACATTTTAACCTACCTGGACTATTGTGGTTCGAAATTGAATGGCCTTGTCGAAATAGACGAATGAAACCCCAGTCTTTCTAGCCGCTGTCGGTTCAGATGCAAGGTCGGCCTTCTATCCCTCCCACCTGGTCACGTCCCAGTTGAAGGCACGGGGCATCATAAGTTCATAACTGCTTGTGCGATCTTCCGTGGTGGGGAATTGTGACCCTCCGTCCAGGCGTCACCGTTCATCCCGCTTCTATCTTTCATCAAATGCTGCATGTACCTTCACCACCGTCAAAAAGCTACCTTTTGATAGATCGCATTCACCGAGCTCAATTTTGTACCTGAACCGACTCACCCGCTGTGAGCGCTACGAGCGAAGACATCGCGGCTTATCCTTATACGAGACATTTTTATTCTTATTTTCACCACGCAAATCGCAGCGCAAACTATTTAAACTTGTTGTTTGAGACAAACCCCCAGTCCATCTGTCCACCGCGTTTTTTTAACTGGCTAAGCCTTGCGTGGAGCTGCAAAATATCTTCGTCAATTTTTTTTCTTCTTACGATCCTGGCGATTCTGACAATTACGGCCTTTGCTACTCAATAGATAGAAACGATTCCTAAGTTGAATACGATGGCAGGGATATTCCGGAAGGTATATGACTGGCTACTCAGGACTTTCTGGTGAGTGCGAAGCTACGCTCAGCGCGGGGTCGCAGGTCGGCGTCGCTCACCGCCGTACCTGCGTATGCCTCTGCATCGCGACGTCGCCGACCCTTGCCGAAGTGCGCTATACTGATAGTTCTCTCTAGGGCAACCGAGATGGACGTCACGATGATAGGTCTGCAGAACGCTGGGAAGACGTCCTTGCTCCGTGTCCTATCGGTAAATAACCCCAGTCATGAATCACCGCAAATATCTTAAGCTTCCACTAACGATCCGTTTTGTTCCAGGGTGGTGAATTTACGATCGAGTAAGCACGAGACCCTTACTAATAGCTAGCTTTTCAACCTTCTGTTATGCCGCAGGATTTTCAATATGGTTGTCGCGAGGTCGGCTAATAAGTCATGCAGCTCCATTCCCACCGTAGGTTTCAATATGAAGCGCGTACAACGTGGCCATGTGACACTTAAGTGCTGGGACTTGGGTGGTCAACCTCGTTTTCGGCCGATGTGGGAAAGATACTGTCGGGGAGTGAATGCGATCGTATTCATCGTCGACATCGCAGACCAGGATCTGCTGCCCATGGCTAAAGAGGAGCTCCATTCCCTTATGTCGCAACCCAGCCTCGAAGGCATCCCTTTGCTTGTGCTCGGAAATAAGTCCGACCTTCATATCAAACTAAGCGTTGATGAACTCATAGATGCTCTGGATCTGAAGAGTATAGGACATCGCGAGGTTTCCTGCTATGGGATTAGCGCGAAGGAGGAGACCAACCTAGACGCCGTAATTCAATGGCTCATGAAATGGGCCAACAGATAAACTGATCTTTGCCGTCCACAGCACTTGGTTTTTTTGTCCCTCTTACCCCCTCTTCTTCGGTTGCCAGGAAACTTGAGCCTGCCCCCGGGGAAGGCTTTTCCCCTCGCCGCTCCTGAGACACTTCGGATGCATTTTCACGACGCTAATGATATCATGGGATGTAAAAGACGGTTCAAGTTCCGGCCGGCGACGACCTAATATATAAAACATCTCTCGCGAGCTTAAGTATGGAGGTGACTGTATCGTCAGTGTGCCTTCATCTCGATTCTCACCTTGGAGTATTTCATTTTCCTTTTATGTGCCTTATCTGCTCGACCCGGACAACTGCATGGGCTACTGGGAAACGTAGTCGACGGTTTCAGAACTCGACGTTGCTAGAAGGGTCAGGATAGCCTCCACAATACGTTTATTTCCATTGGTCGGTCCATCACGTCAACGTTAAGGAGGAGATTTGACAGTGAATATTGGTAGATGTTCGAATATGCAAGGATGATAAGCAAGGAAGCATCGGTGTAGTTAGATGCATTTATGACCGAATCAATCATGACTTCACGACTTCACTGGAAAGCCTCTGGTGATATTAAAAATATCATTCATATGTGCATTGCTTCAACGTATCCAATGTCCGCAGGAAACGAATGGTTGGTAAAATTTTTCGAGGAGCGCAAAGGAGATGCGCCCAAGGCGACGCTGAGGGAAATCCTTTAGTAGCCCCCCAGTAAAAAATAAGAAAAAAGGTGTGTCACAAGTGCGCGCAGCTCGACAAGACGTCTGTCGCTCGACAGGGACTGCAGCTAAAAAGCCCAACCTTTTAACAGGAGTAAGGAAAATGGGGGAAGACGAGATTGAGACGGGTCAGAAGTAAAAAAACAGAGAAGGTGAAAAGAAGAAGAGAAAAAGGCATTGGTGAACAGGAAGAAGAAGAGGTGCAGGAAAAGCGATAGTTGAAGGCTACACACAGACCACATTTGATGCGATGATGAGTTGGCAAACCCTCCCAGGCGTCTCGACGAGAGAAGGGGGGGGTTGATTGGTTCGACAGAAGCGACCACGAACAGCGCAACGTGGACTTCAGGTACCTCAACAGGGAGCATGTGGGTAGGCAGAGGTTAGGTGGGTATGGAATTGGGTATGGAATTTTTTCTTCTTCTTTTTCTTTGGAACGAAAATACTTAATGCTGTTGTTGCTGGTTAACCAAGTTCGAGTTCCATGTGTGTGTTCCATCTCTGGGTACATCTAACAACGCATGTAATACGCATCGCATCTGGTACGCATATATTACATTGCAATAACACAGCCGAGAATACATTTTGAATAAGGGATAGAAACACGGGCGAGTCAGTCATGTATTTGTATCCTTCATATTTCTTATTTTGATTTTCTATTTGATTTTGTGTTTCTTCTCTTTTCTTTTCTAACTCGTAACGGGCGAAGGCGCCCCAGGTAGCGTAGCGTCGTGTTTTGAAAATGGGCGACATGCCATGGGCCCATGATATGAAATTCTACGGAGATTTTTGACGTGGCCGCATGTCATTAGCTCGCCGGACCTGCTGCCCTCCGTCCCCTTTTCAACTTTTAGCAACTGATCGTCCGTTCTCGGGTTCTAGACTAAGCTGAACGCGCCCACGAGCAACAACGGATCTTTCTCCCTTCTGGCCTTTTGTAACTACCTAGTAGGTATTGTAGGAGGTAATCTGTGCTTTGACAATTGTAACGTAAGTATTTAGACGATTGAATTTAATCGATTCGCCCGAAAGGGAGTTGAGTTCCAAGGTTGCTTAATAGTAGGTACCTCTCTCTATCTAGTATCCATGTCGCAAAATAATACCACAATTTATATCGCAACGTTATGCCGAAAACGGTATTTATTAGTCTAGAGTCTGCTTATGTATTATTGGTAGAACTGGAACGAGGGAGGGAAAACCTATACACAAATACAATAGAACTACTATTATAGTATAATATAGCATGATATATATGACATAATAAAGAAATAAGGAAAGGTTATAGGAATTAGAAGTTTACTATTTCTTCAAAACCGAGAAAAGGTTAAGCGGAATTAAGATATTGAGATACCTAACTTAAATGTTGAAAATAATACCTACCCCGCGTCTGAAGAGCTTCGGCTGTGTCGGTTGCGCCCTGGGGTACGTACAATACATAGGTACAAGGTAGAAAAGAAGGATGTTGTGTCCGACGCCCACGTTGTCGAGGTCATATGAGATGATGGGGTGGCTTTGCTTGATCATGGATAAAAGAAATTGTATAACTAACACTACATCTCGAATTTGTTCATTTGTCAATTAGGTAGGCATTTACTATTCAAACGTGTGGGGAGAGTGCGAGGAGGATTTGAATTTTGTATTTTGAGTACCTATTCTAATATCATGACGAAATGTGGAATGTTCTTTGAATACCGCGTATTTTTGGTACTAGGGTACTTAGCCTTGATTGCGGAGCTTCGTGATCTATTCGTCATCCGTTATCTTCCCAAGCCACAATTTGACAACCAATAAGACGGTTGGGATGGGATACAGGTCGATGCTTTTAAGGCTGCGATGTCGCCAGCATTCCCACTATTTGGAATTTACCTAGGTACTTACTGCTTTTAGGTAAGAACTTAGTTTCTCTTCCACCTAATGTTGTAATAGATTCACTTTAAAGTTTGCACGCCTAAGCTCTAGCTAGTTGGGAACATACATCAAACCCATTAAATACAAAAAGGCTGAGCAGGTTAGATACACGTATTAGGTTGAAACTTGAAAGACGCATTGCGCTAAGACAGCTACCTAATGATACACATGTACTCTGAATTACTAAGATACATTTCTTACACAGCCACCGCGAACGTACTATGTAAGTCCTAGCATATACCCAATACAGTGGCCAAGCAGGTTATCCTACTCGAATTCGGTAATCGGCAGCTTCCAAGCCATGCCGTGCAGCGTGTTGCGTGTTCATTGTCTTAAGGGTGCATATTTTCAATAAGAAGAATACAATCGACGCCTCTTTCCTCTTCTTTCCAACCTACTCCTACATTCTTAATTCTTAAATGTTTAAAACATTTAACTAATTACAACTTTTTACCAAACCTTTACATTAGGTACATATACATTAGGTATCAACATACAAAACCGCGTGCATTTGTCCCCACGTCATTTGTACATTCACGATATATTAATCAGAACCCGACGTCACTTAGCGTCATACCCTTGACAACGACATTTTCCCTTTTCGGCCACTACTGTGCATCCGGAGGTCGCCAGAGCTGAAGCTTTTGCAACCTTACAACTTCACGCTTCATCACACTTTACACTTCACATTTCCAGTATCGCGCATCATCTTGTCGCAATATCACCAAGTCAAAAAAAAAAAAAAAACATGGCGCCGCTTATCGATATAATTGGCGACGAATTGGCAAAGCGAGCCTACTGCAGACAGAATGAGTATTACAGATACGGCAGGTGCTACAGCGCCTGGTACTGGTACGGTCGATGGATCTTCGCCGCCGTGATCATTGTCCTTATCATCGCCATTCTTTTCGTCATGATGTAAGTACTTTATTTGAGCTACCTACCTAGGTTCCGATAAAATCACGGTGTCTAACATTATTCGCAGATGCGTCAACTCCCGCCGTCGTAAGCGTCGCGGTCTCCAGCCAATGTACGGAACCGGCTGGATGGCTAGAAACGCCGGTCCGAACAACAACGCCGCATACTACAACAACAATCCTCAGCCGGGCTACCAAAACCCCCCTCCGGCATACGGAGCGCCTCCCGGCCAGTCGTTCCCGATGCAAAATCAGTACACGGGCACTACTTTCTCGCCTAACGACGGCTACTACGGCCAACACGAGGGTGTCCAGGCACCGAAGAACGTCTACAATAACAACAACCACAAGGACGATTATGCTCCCCCCGAGGGCCCCCCGCCTAACCGATAAACTGGTAGCGGGATGAGACGAAGGGGGGATATCGGATGAAGAGGAGATGGAGTTAGATACGAATCGGACATACCCTTTCAAGGCTGGTGGTTCAAGGTGTTAGAAAAAGGGTTTCCTGACTATTGATTTTAGGGTTGGTAATGAGATAGTTCACGAAGGGGAAGGGGGAAACGTGTATTATGACAACGGAGCCCTGCGGGTGTCGCATTGCGAATGAATACGGGTATGAATTTTTCTAATTCTCTTGCGTTATTTGTGGATGGATGGCGGATGGCTTTGCCCGTATCTTGGCTACGATACTGCTGAGTTTAAGGTGTCTAGAAATGCTTTACTCTCGAGGTTATTACTATTCAAGTATATGATAGTTCGCAATAATGGATTTTCGGTATCTGATAGTTTCGTTTTCTGCAAGGAGTGATTAATACGAGCTGCCCTTCGACTGAATACCTAATAGGTACCTTACTAGACGGCTATGGAGGGTTAATATCAGAAAATTTCGAGAATCATGATAGATCAGATGTAATTCAGCTCATCTCAGCCCACACCTGGTCCCACCAGAGCTTCGAACGAATCAATTGAATAGATTGAATAGCGGCCCTCGTGAGAGTCTAGAGACCCTAAAAGCGGTCCTGACTTTACCTAAATAATGATTTCGACGATGCAGCAACTCCCACTTGTGGGGGCTTCGTATGCGCGAACCCCGCGAACCGTTTCTTTTCTCGCACTGGTAAAGTCGAGACAGCTCCACATGGAAATGCTACACGATAACGATGTAAAAATATATAAATGCATTTCGCAATTATACGACATTATCGTATATAGTAGGGGCCGGGGGCGCAGCTATAGAAGCGCCTGTATGACCTTTCTGGCCCAGGCGCAGCAGATGCCAATGTTCAAACAAATATAAAATGCACCAGTTAACAAAAATAGGAGGAGTTCAGTTGCCACTTGGCTGAAACTCTTTGCCCTTTGCCCTTTTCTCGATTGCATCATTGCGTTATTTTATTTTGTTATGCCATATCAAAGTTAATTAGATTAGGTTTAGGTAGGTACAGGTACCTTAAGGTGACATAACGCTCTATCGAGACCTGCAAAAGAGTCGCCAATCATGCTACCGTTAGGGGCGTATTGGACGATCTCTTTGGGCAATCACCCCCCGCTCTTAGTGACTTGGCTAATGCTGCAGGCACAATCTAGCAGTGGACTTGATTACGACTCGTCCCTGAAATTGCCGTTCTACATCCGCGCCCCCACAATTTCAGGGACAGACTGCCTTTCAGATTGCGCATTACAACATTGAGCAAGCATTTTCTCTCTCTCTCTCTCTAATTCCCTCCAGCCTTTTCTCACAATTTCATTTACACTATAGGCTGGGATTTTCCTTTTTTTTTTTTTTCCTTTTTTGGTCGAGGCATGTTTCCCCATGCCCACCATTCTTACTACTACTTCTTTGTTTTTTGTAAAACACACCTAGCTTAGGTGTATTCTTCTGACGCTCCTTCGAATACCAATTCGCTTTGATCCTTTCGTCCTTTCATTTTTCCCAGGTGGATAGACCGGCGGTCAGGCTTTAAACGTGTCCCATCTGCCAATATTCATTCGAAAATATACCGAAACGGCGACCGCCACGAGATCGAATTTTTGAGTTCCGCGTGGATTCAAACAGAGTGATTCACGGGTTGAAAAAACGACAATCAGGTAGTTTGCGTTGTATTTACGGCTACGCTAGGCGAGGTGCTACTCCCACGGGTTAGAGAACATACGACACGACTCATTCTACTACTTCGTACCATGGATCTTTAGCAACAATTATTCCTTCCCATCATTCTTTATTTTTTAGCAAAACAACTACGAAATTAGTCCGGTCTCTTTTCATCCCACATCACACGAATTGGGGCTGCCTGACATTGAGGAATTAAGCAATGCCGCACGTCGGCATTTTGATGGAGCGTAGTCTCCAAGAACGTAGCCTTAGGGGTGCGTTCATGGACCTCTTCGCGCGGAGCGCAGTCGCTGCGCTGGGCAAGCGAGAATCGGCTGGTTCAATTTCGGGCGGAATTCAAGACGCCAAGACTGCCTTCTCCAGTTGGGATAACTGTATGCAGGCCGACTTTTGCAAGTACGACTCAACCCTACGAGAAATTTCACCAGGTTCCAAGACTCAAGAGGCTAACATCTGATAGGTGGCCGGTAATTGCCGTAATTATCATAGGCGGTCTCATCATCTTCTCTATCGTCTGGTGTATCGCGCGATGCCTTTGCTGTGGGCTTTCGTGCTGCTGCGAGTGTTGTCACTGTCTAAAATGCTGCGGTGAATGTTGCGGGTGCTGTGATCCCCCTAAAGGAAGGAAAAACAAGTATCTCGACGAACCATTTGTTCCACCACACCATGAAGAGAATCAAGCCTATCGCTCGCAAGCGCCAATGAATCCAGCATTTCCCCCGGCACCTTCGCCTTCCGTCCCTCAGTATGCTGTATTCGATGACGGCGACAAGAAAAATGCGGATGCATTGCCTGCTATGCCAAGCTGGGAGGGCGCAAAAACACAAAAGGTTTTTATTGAGGAAGAGTCTGTCGAGATGGAACCGTTGAAGAAGCCGGAGAATGTCCAGAACAACTCCTTCCCCATGAGCAATTTACCACCACATACGACCACCCCGAGCCCAGTTGCTCCTGAGAACAGAAATCCTTACGGACCACCGCCTGCACAGGGAGGTCCTAATGGATATATGGCTGCAGCACGAGCCGGGCCAGACCCATATACTGCTAACGGGCAAGGCTATGACAATTATAATGATTACAATGGGTATGGACAGGCTCCGCAGGAAAATATGAACCAGGGATATGGTATGGCAGCTGGAGCAATGAGAAGCCAAACACCTCACCAGGATTATAATAACGGTTATGGAATGGGTGCAACTGAACAAGGCTATCCACAATCGCTCTCCCCGAGGCCATACGAAGATGAGTACGGCCGCAGTGCCAGTCCTATGTCATACGGTGACCCGCCTAGCTACCGTACGGCGCCGAGCAATAACGGATATGACAACCCCTCACGAATGGGTTCGCCTGGCCCACAAGCAGGTTACGGTTATGGTAATCCCAACGGAGCTCCATCTCGTATGCGCACCCCCGGTCCACGACCAGGCTACGATTACCCCCAGAGATCGCAAACACAAACGCCCAGCTACAACCGACAATATCCCCCGGTACCCCAACGACAATATTCAGCCGACTCTGCGCGACCGTTGGTGCAGGCAGCGCAAGACCAGCAGTATTCGGAGGCGCAGGGATATTTGGAGATGCCGAGACAGCAATCACCTGTCCAGAACAACGGCGGGTTTGACTTCAGCTCCGGCTATAGCCGCCCGGAAGTTCATTCTCCGGCGCCAGTACAGACGCAAACAGCGAACGGTGGTTCGGCTTACCCCGGCTATCGCACATACCGACCTCAAGGCCAGGCTCAGGCTCAGCCCCAACAGGATAACTGGAACGGAATGTAAATGCGACGAGCGTGATGGGTCGGTCTTGATTAGCGAGGGGTACCAAAATATAACCAACCAACTATTGGCGATCCGACTAATAGTAATAACATAGAGCGGATCGGACGCCAACTTCGGCGATCTCATGGACTTTTTCTGTATTAGTGAACAAGGCGTTTTCAGGAAAGGGGGACGGGGCGGCACGATCATCTGCATAGCATGACGACGGGATTCAGATATACTAGAGGACTTGCTATTACTGTTACCAGTACCAGGTATTGCGGTTTGCGATTGAATACCCCAGAGTTTTATTTTTCCCCGGCCGAGTTGTGCTTATTTATACCTAAGGGATAGACAGACAGGACTGACTGATGTACACACAGAGGTACGCTACGGGATACCTACCTTATGTATCTGTAAATAGGTCCTACTAAGTCTTTTCACTTGTAGGACAGGTGTAAATATAAAGGAACGAATTCGTTTATGCGCGTGTGGATGATTCTTTTATAAGTGGTTAGTTGAAATAAAAATAAGTACAGTTGCGCGGAACTACGATCCTATTTTGTTGGAAGACATCGAAGAAGAAAAAGGGGGGACGGGGGAGAGAGATAGAGACGTGCGTTGAGGATCACTGATTATCAACAAGCAAGGAAGTAAGTAAGTAACTTGTGACTTTGACTCGAGAATTTACCAGAAGCTAATGGGTATATTTAAAGTGCTAAGGTGCAATCATCCATCAAAGCTCTTTATGTTCCATGTTCCAATGAGAGCAACGTAACAATAATAGGCTCTCCCACCCCCCTTTTTTTCTTCCCCTCGTCCAATATAACGAACAAATATCTCAACTCAACTCATCTCATCGCAACCGCATTTCAGCGAAAAGCGTGAGAGTAACAAGATAAATTTCAGACCTGTCCATATCTACCTAGGTACCTCTAAGGCACCTAATATTACCCCTAAAAACCCGAACGAACATCCTCGTAAATACCCATCAATCATAATAATTTTACGGCGACTTCTCATCGCAAAATCATTTGCCTCGTCGCATATGTACATCGCTTCACCACCTGCCCGACCACGCCGGGAGACCCCCCGACATGACGAGCTCCTCTTCGCAATTCGTTTCTCTGATCTCGAGTTCGGTCACCGTGCCGTCCTCGTCGACCGTCTCGTGGACGGACGTGATGTCGCATTTCCCCATCGCCTGGCCCGCCTCCTTTATCGCTTCGTCGCGGGACGGGACCGTCCAGCTTTCTCCGACCAGGATGATTTCGCCACGTTCCGAGAATGCGAGAGGTTGTTTTCCGTGTTCGTCGTCCTCGACCTCTTCTCTTCCCATCTCGGCTTCCTCTTGCTCTGGTACCTTGCGATGGATTTCGGCAAGGGCCGGACGCCTGCCATTGCCCCTCCGCGATGGGAACGCATGTCGGATGGAGTCGCTAGCGGGTCTCCGTCTCTGTTGACGACGTCCCGGGGACCTGGTCGTATCAGGGATGGGAGCGTAAGGGATGGGAGTTGAGCGACGACCGGGGGGTAGGGAGGATATAATTTCCGAGGGCGAAGCATACCACTGCTGCCCGAGTGTTATACCACCACGAGGCACCTCCAAGCCATTCAGATAGGGGTTTGTATAAAATTGTGAGCCGCCGCTTTGCCTCGTCCCATACGGTTCGTATGTCGTGGGAGAATCGTAGGTATAACTGGCAGGCGGGGGCTGACTAGGCTGCTGGAAACATTGAGTCGGTGAGTTCCAACCGTAGGGCCTGGGTTCAATAGGGTAAGGAACGTTATTCATGTAAAAGGTCCCAGTCAAAGATGCCGTGTTATATGGCACTTGGGCGGTTGGTGTTTGTGGAACTGGCGAGAAGTACGGCGTATTGTTAGGCACATTCGGAAAGTAGGCGGGAGCCTGGGTTCCGCAAGCGGTACAGAATGCAATGGGATGTCCATATGGCAGTGAGCTTGTTTGTAGTTGTCCCCCACAGGGACATGCCATATAGACGGGTTGATCGTGCTGCGAATAGCCCGCCTGGCGAAAATCGTAAGGGGCCATTGTCGTGATGTCTTGGCTTGCCTTGCTTCGTTCCCCACGAGTGGTCTTGCTTGGAGATAGAGAAGAACCCATAGTTTATCTCTATCACAACGGCTTGTTCGAGGATATGATTCCAAGGTTGAAGTGATAATATATTGATGATGTCTCACCACGAATGCTGCTCCAGTTCTCTCGAGTATGGCAGAATATTATTTTCATATAAAATTGAAAAGAAAAAAGGAGCGGAGGTTTATCGTAAAAGTTGCTAGAGAGGGTGTAAAGAGCAATATCTCCTTAACAATTATATATTAAATTCTAAAATGGGTACGTAAGGTAAGTTTTAATAATGATTGCGTACCTCATAGATTGGTGTGGTGGCGATGACTTGAGTCTAGTAGAGGGCGGCAACGCGTGTCGATTCAAACGTTGATCCAAATGTTAATTCATAGTGCTGAGTAAAATATTGTCCATTACAGCGCCGATTGCAGCCTCGATTCTGCAGCAGCCTCGATTACAGCGTCGCTAGGGCTCGTTGTTGTATTGCTAAAGAAGCAAGAGCAACCTCGAATCTTAAAGCGACAGACAGCCTGACGGTAAGAGCGACCAAAATTTGGAAGACAACCGGCAAGAGCAAATTTCAGTGCCTACCTACCTAAGGTACGTACACCTAAGGTAAGAGCAGTTTTCTTTCAACTTCCCAAGTCGACTTTTGAATCAGGCCGTGATCGAGAAACAACACCTTTTCAAATACAACAGCATTGTCAGGTATACACGATATACACGACAACGAGGCATATGACCTTCTTATCTTTCCTTTTCTTCTCCGTCCGAGCAACCTTTTACGTTTAGCTCGATCATGTGAACCTTCAACGTTAGTCAAGCAACTCGTCTATGGTCAAAGTGCAACTATGGCTCTGACCCAAGAGCTTATCGTAAACCGTGTTATGTATGTTGCCCACTCAGGCTGCCTTAGGATCAAACGTCTGCGGGACCACGGTTCGTGTCAGGGGCATGAAAAGAAGATGCCGTGGCCATGACCAACCATAGTAGTCATGATCGCGGGTACGAGTTAGAACAAATACACAAACTCGCGCCGCACCGGCTACACCGTAATGAGTTTAAGGTGGAGGCCAACACAATATCTCCTATTCGTCATAAGTTGACTCCAGTTTCACAGTCGACAAAGAAATGCGGTTAGGCTGTCGCGACACGAAGGCTAAGTAATACCTTAGGAGGTAGGCATCATATGCAGCTAACACTTCTGCATATTTGCTTCTGCACATTTCCGATAAGGCTATTGGCGGCAACTGGATGCCTTGACTAGTCCCACCGCCTTTCCAAACTTTTGCCGCGCCCTCTGTATAATACCCTATACCTATGAAATCAACCCTATACCTTGGGTAGGTATTCTCCATAACCTAAATTGTCCCTATATTGCCCATATCTGACATCTGAATCACCGCAGTACCTACTAACATTTGTGTATAGCTTGTATATCATAACATAGAATTTGCAGCCGCAGTATATTTCGCCAATGCTAAAATAAAGTAAAAAGGAAGGAAGGGGAAAACCCGCGTTACTCTGGAGGAACTAATTCTTTCGGTAGTAGTGTTCCCCTTTCTTGACTCCTTCCTATTATAGTTTGACCGTCTAGGTCCGGATCATATTCCTCACGTCCGCTATCAGGGCCCCTAATATCTGCCTTCTTGAAAGTTCTCGAACTCGACAATCTCATGCTTTCGTTGCTTTCCCCACTAATCGACTCGTCGTCGTCGCTGTCAAGATGCGCGTCGTCAAAAGAATCTCGTCCATCTCCTTCCTCAGGCGACAGGATTTCGTGGCCAGGTTCTTTTAATTTAATAAAACTGTCGATGATGTAGTACTGTAACCCGTTCATAATAAGCGGGAACAGCATCATGACGAATACGATCTGCACGCGCTCGTTGCCTTCGGTCCACCCGAGTGCCCAATCTCCCACACGTGATATCCATGGCAACATCAAGAATATGATGAGAACGCAGATCTTCATGCCAAACAGGCCGCAGAAGTAGATGACGGATTGTTTGAACCACCACCAGGCGTTAGGTGGGTTGCCGTAGTTGCCGGACAGAATTGACTCTGGCGGCTTTCCCCAAGGAGTGAGAGCCACAAGAGCCGTAAAGACGCGGAGGAGTAGAATAAGGATAGGAATACCCAGAGTAGTCTACTAGCGTATTAGATATCCATACCGTCATAGAACAGGCGTGAGCAAACAACAACTTACATCGATAGCCAGATTCAATAGATAAAACGAACAAGGGTTCGGGGTATAATCGTCTCGACGCAACAACCTCTCCGCCGTCTGGACGGTAGCCGCATCCAACTTCATAGAGAACCGGCCGCTCGTGAGCATCGACATGAAGACGTTGGCGATGTGCACCAGGACGGATCCGAACACCTGCTTCGACACATCGAAGAACCAGATCTTGACGGGCCGCTGGGGCCTTTCCCGCCACCGCTTGTAGACGAGAGATAAGAGCGCCAGCCCGCCCAGCGCGAGCTGCACGATCAAAGCAAACGGCCCCACGAGCTGGCAGTCCCCATCTCCTCCACCGCGATCATCCTCGGGCGCGGGCATCGTCGTCGCTGTTGCGGCGGTAGCAGCTATCGCTGTCGCTGCTGCGGTGGTGGTAGTAAGAAGAAGTGAAGCCACGTCGGTTGTAGCAGAAGGAAGGTCAACCCCTATAACTGCATCAGGAGTGGTAGCGGCGGCGACTGTTGCGGATGAGGTTTCGAGTACGAGAGAGATAATGATGGAAGAAAGCGACATAGACTTTCTGCGCTCTCGAGACACTGATACGATATGACACGATACGATACGATACGAGGTTAAGGGAAAAAGCAAAGGAGCGAGGATCGACGCCTAGGATCCAGCCAGGGTTTCGTGTGGGATTTGTTGCTGCTAAAAAAGGAAAAATACGGCCTCTATGCTAATGATTTGAGACAACGAAAAAATACAGCGGGGTGCGATTCTGTATTTATTACTTAACAAGGAGAAATAAGAGAGAGAAAAAAGGGGGTGTTTAAAGGTTAAGTTGTTCCAGCAAGAAGTGAAGAATGGAAAGCAATTGTAGGAGGTTAAGGTGGTAGTAGAGTGGAAGATGGATGCATAAGCCCGCTTCAGCTCTCTCACAATCCTTTCACAATGAGCATAGAGAAGCCTCTATGTAGGTTAGGAGGTAGGTACATATACCTAATGATGCCATGGCGCAGCCGCGAAAATCAGGTCGCGTTCAGGTACCTTATTAGTAAAGGGAGGTGTCACACGGGCTGAGGGGCTAGGATCTAGGCTACTGCCTTTTCTAAAACCGCTAGGGTAGCCTCCCCTCTCCACCTAACACCTCCTAACTTGGTACAATACAGTCCCTTAAGCGCTATATTTAAGTCACCTAATTAAGGGGGTGCTTACATTATCTTTATTATATAACTCGCCAATATACACATCGGCCTCAATACCTAATTGAGGCCGATGTGTACAATACTAAGGCATCTATATATAATTTTCTTAGTATTAGTATTGGTATTTTCAAATCGTCAGCTTGCTTATCCATATGGATAGGAGGTAGGTACATAGTTCAAATTTAAACTTCTTACTTCGCTTAGTTAAATCCAGATTTTATCAACTTGCGTCTATCGGAGCATTCCAATACCACCCGTTCTACGTTTCCGCTTGGCCTTGTTTTCTTCTCTAATTAAAGGTGAACTTGATGTAGTACGAAGGTGGAGAAATGGCCGAGTGGCATCTTGTATTACGGGCATGACAATAATGGTCACAAGAGCAGGTTGCGATCACAACTTTCACATGGAAAAAAAGGTGCCTACGGTTGGATAGATAGAAATGCATTGAGTTAGGATTAAGACACAATCTTGAAGGGGAAATCAATTCACGAGCGTCTTTTGCATTCTCAAATAGGAGTGGAAAATCCTCAAAGCAAAAACCCCCGAGAATAATAACATATTCTTCCGCATGAACACAACGCCAAATAACTATGTGGGCATAAAGAGTATGCCGTAATAAAAATAAAAAATAAAAAAACCACCGAGTAACCATGAATCAATCTGACCAACGTCCACCGCGTTCCGTAGGTGTTTTGCTAAAGAGCGACTCGCAAGTTGAAAAAGGGGGTACCTAGCACGCCTAGCAGCAAAACGCCAACACTGCGCGTTTCGCGAATTATCGTTATGCCATGACCCGAATGCCTTGGGACATCCGCGCAGATGTGATGTGATGATCCGTTACGATACGTTTTAAGTCATGCATAGCTTGTTCGATTTCTGTGGAATAATGCCCCGCACGAAGTTCAACGCGATCTTTCGTGCGTGTCGGGCGACGTCGTCTGGTCTGCTCCTCTTGTCCTTCGCCACCGAAGTCGGCTCCTTCTTGATCGACGTCGTAGTGGAGGAGGAAAAGCTCGAGCTAGATGAGGTAGAAGCTGGAGAAGACGGGACTGCAGACGGAGCACGGGGACGGGCACGGGTCTGGAGCCTGTCTGCAGGCCCGTCTAATTGTCAATCGATCCCATGCTTCATCTTGAGCTGCGCTAAATTGTCCTTGCGAGCCTGGAGGTCATCTTTTGACTTGAGGGTCTTCTCTGGTTGATGCCATAGAACTATATATGATGATATGTTAGATAATATACAACTACAAAAGGGTAGTCCCGACGACGGTGAGGTTAGACGTACCGACAAGATATCGGTTCTGGAAGTTGTAGCCATTTAGCTTCTCGAGGGCGTTCTTCGCATCCATAACGTTCCAGAAGACAACATAGGCGGTTCCCTTTGCCTCGACTGAAATACCCTGTCGGATTTGACTGGGATAAATGTTAGTGAGAGATGATTTTGATATCGAATCAAACTTCGGAACGTACCGGATGAGTCCGTCCTCGCCGGGGTCGAAGAGTTTCCAAAGCGCGTCAGAGGATACTTCGTAGCTATAACCTTGTTAGAGGAAGGTTGTGGGATAGATCATAGTGTGACTCGGGGGGTAAGGTGACTTGACTAACTTAAGATTCTTCACGAACAAAATTCTAGACAAAGAGGTTAGCAGACCGTATTAACAACGATTGGCACGTAATACCCGGGGGTGGGAGGCGAAAAGGGAATTGAAATTTGACAACTTACGGGAGCTGCTCGGGGGCAATCTTGCCGGCGCGACTCATATCTTGATGAAGCAACTATTTGATGTATTCTCAAGGCTTCTGGATGGCTGGTTGTTTTGGATTGTTAGTCCAAGGGAGGTGGTGGTATTGATGGGGATGATTAAAGGTAGTCAAGATTGGCGAAGAAGCGTGTGCAGCTTTTGGAGGAGTCGATCTGATTCTGGGGACGGGTTGTTTCGTTCTGGGCTAACGGAGCAAATCGGATTAGGCCACGCTAAAGACCGAGTCTTTAGGAAACCACGTGACGCGATAATGACTTAAGACCAATTTCACCGCCTAGCGACCGTTTTTTTATTAGCCTAGTACCTAAGGTGTGATACACTGATAAGGCAACACCGTTGTTGTATAACGACTACGTACTGTGTGGGAACTGATTTATTACTTTGGAAATTTCAACAGAAGAGAAAGAGCAATATTGGTCCCGTGATAAAGTTCTTAGTGAGATGATCATATATTTACCTAAATCGTAAGTAGACAGATTTATATAAGTTTGGGCGACAATTTAAAGTTCAGCTATTACGGTCTTCTTCTCCTTAATTCCGACCATCAAAAAAACACAGTATATGGCACGCTGTACGTTGTAAAACGGGATTGAATGGACTTATTACGTCATTTTAAAATATGCTTTATTGAATACTCTTTGTACGGAATAGACAGCGCTCCAGTTTTCCATTTCCCACTTCCGATACCGAGTCGGAGAGGTATGCACGCCCACAATGAAGCCCAACAAGACTCGAAGCTGGACGATATGGCCTTATTCCACTGGTCTTATAAGATATCGATAGATACTGTGAAGGATGGTTCAATCATGAACTAGGTAAATAGGCTTACACCACGAGTGTGAAGATACTCGATCTACCTCATGTGAATTCTTCAGGTACGCATCTGGATTATCAAACACATGGCTGAACCGTGTCTCGTAGCAGTTATAGCTACCATATATCCATAGTAGGTATAAAAAGCATCATGTCCGCAAATGAATCAACTGCCCTCTCATATCTAAGTCGAGTACCTACCTAGGTACCTAGATAGGTGATACGAGGCTACATATATGAGATATATGAGGTAGGTAGCATGGGGTCATTTAGAAGTTAGAACCGCGGAATGGCGACATCCCCTGCACGTCTAACGGTTATATTCACTACTCTGGATTCTTCCGTTATTTCATGTCCGGATCTTCATCAATTTTGCCGGTATCACGGAAATGCCATGCGTGAAACCGAATTGGAGATACATGTGGTTTCTTCTGAGACAAGGTGCCTCACGGCGCTGGCTGTTTGTCATTTTCGTGCTTCCCATATTCTCAGCATTTATATACGACCACTATATCCGATCGAAGATGGCCGAAAAGAAGCCTAATTTCCTGATAATCGTCGCCGATGATTTAGGGTTTAGCGATACGTCTCCTTATGGAGGCGAGATCGATACCCCCAATCTACAGAAGCTAGCCGACGAGGGAATCCGCATGACGGGTTTCCACACAGCTGCATCATGCTCTCCTACGAGAGCCATGCTTCTGTCCGGTACAGACTCACATATCGCCGGGTTGGGCGTAATGGCTGAGAAAATAGTAACTTATAATCCTAATGAGAGTCATTTAGCCGTACGTCTAACACTTTTCGCTTAGAAAAAGGCTCCGGGCATCTTTAAAGATAGGCCTGGCTACGAGGGATACCTTAACTATCGTGTCGCTGCTCTAGGGGAGATTCTTCAAGATGCAGGATACTTTACGCTCATGAGTGGGAAGTGGCATCTGGGTCTAAAGAAAGAGCTTGGCCCTCATGCGAGAGGGTTTACAAAGGTCCTCTCTACACTTCCTGGGGCTGGAAACCACTTCAACCACGAGCCACAGTTGTATGACCTTAAGGAAACCCCGTCGGCTATTTTCAAGGGCGACGGAATATGGATGAAACATTCAGAGTTTATCAACGGGAGTACAGACCTACCTAAGGACTTCTATTCCTCCAACACATTTACCGACTATTTCCTGGATTTCTTGAAGGAAAGGACCGCAGAAGAGAAGTCCCGACCCTTCTTTGGCTACCTCCCATTTACGGCTCCCCACTGGCCACTGCAAGCACCGCAAGAGACAATCGCAAAATATCGTGGCAAGTATGACGATGGACCTATCGCCTTACGGGATCGTAGACTTAAGAGCTTAATCGAAAAGGGGCTCGTGCCCCCTGATGTCGAGCCAGCACCTATGCACATGCTAAAGACAAGACCTTGGGACGAACTATCGGACGCAGAGAAGAGAAAGTCATCTCGAGCCATGGAAGTTTTTGCAGCCATGGTCGATCTTATTGATGTCAACATCGGCCGCGTACGAGCTTACCTAGAAGAGACAGGCGAGCTTGATAATACCTTCGTTGTCTTCATGTCCGATAACGGGGCAGAGGGACAACTGCTTGAAGCCTTACCTATCTTGGCTGGCTACACGGTAGAAGATATCGTTAAGAAATACTACGATAATTCTCTGGAAAATATTGGCAATCACAACTCCTTCGTATGGTACGGACCTCAATGGGCCGGGGCGGCGACAGCTCCAGCACGTGGGGCAAAATCACACTCGACCGAAGGAGGGATCCATTGCCCTTGTATCATTAGATATCCACCCGCACTGAAACAGGTCGGGCTAGTCGCCAGTACGTTTACTACGGTTATGGATATTGTTCCGACCATACTAGACCTCGCAGGCTTGAAACACCCGAGTCCCATCTTCCGCGGCCGCGAAATCGTACCCGTCCGTGGAAAGTCTTGGAGACGGATCTTAGAGCATCCGGAAGACGAAACTCTGCAGATATATAACGGTACGGACATAGTCGGCTGGGAGCAGCTTGGAATAGCAGCAGTCAGGGTGGGAGAATGGAAAGCGCTATTCCTCCCTCCTCCCAAGGGTCCTGGTAAGTGGGAGCTCTACGATTTATCAAAGGACCTTGGCGAAGTCCACGATCTAGCAGAAGGCCACCCGGAGAAGCTGAAGGAAATGCTTCGACACTACGAGACGTACTTCCAAGAGACGGGTATGTTCGATTCATATACGATGTACCAGGAGGCGCTGAAGCAGAGAAAGGCAGAGAAAGCGAATGCGAAAACGGACAAGGATCAGTAGTATGTACCTACCCAACACGCACCCAATATATCGGAGTTAACACCAGCTAACTTGGATATGAATTAAGCAGCACGCCATATGTCAAAGTCATCCGCGAGGGCTTAGCTTTCGTACAAGAAAAGTTTCACCAGCTTATAAAAGGGTACTGGGGCGAGGAATAGATGGATCTCTCACGAGTCTGAGCTGGTCTCGGATTGATACGAGAGAGTATTTCTCTAGTTATATGGGAGTTGATTTCCTTTTATTGCTCGGTTTTGCTGAGGTACTCATCAGAGATGCTGATGTTCTGGGCTGACTTTTCACTGCTACTTGGGCCACAAAATTTACAGGTTTTCTCATTGAGTTTGGGACATGATGGATTAGACCGACGTACGCCTATTATTCCAGGAAGGCGAACAGCCCACATCGTCTGATAGAGTCTTCAAGGCCTAGGTTAAACAGTTTGTAAACTGAAATAGTAAGTTAAAACCCAAACTCATACTTATGCCATACAAAGCACGATTATTAGGCAGGTTCTTCCATTTGTTGGGTCCACCAAAGACAATATATAAAGCGAATGGAGTTTATGTAACCTACAGGGTTAAATCAGCCAATATTGAGATAATGTCCCTTGCATCGTGGGGGATCGAGGAGGAAAGAAAGAGTCCATTGTACCTAAGTAATCATTGGTATGCCAGCTAAAGCGGATTAAGCTGAATAACAGCTGCTACAAGGTGAGTTCATTCGTATCCTGAACGAGAATAGTTGGAAAGAAATAGATTGCCTCGCTTTTTTACACGTGTTTTACCAGAGAGAGGTTGTCTTGGTTAAAGACGACCTGTTTGGTCAAAGTTGCGCCAAAGAGGGCATTATTTTATTTAAAACGATTTCTTTTTTATCCGTGTTTAGGAGGTACCTAAGGTACCTAAGCTTAGGTGCATGGTGCCTATAACAAAACAAACATTTTTCACTTTTTTTTTCGTCCAATGTTATCAACCGAGCTAAATCCGCTAATGGGAAATCAAAGTTTAGGCGTTATCCAGGGCAGCTCTAGCGTCCAATACCCCTGAAAGTTAGTTGATCCGAGCAAGATAATCCGCCATAATCCGTACCTAATCACCTGCAGGCTGTCTCTATCTCACATCACCCTAATAAAACAACTTTGCCCTAGCCTGGTCAACATGCAATACCTCCTCCTCCTCCCTTCCATCTCGTCTCAGCTCTCACCCAGATTGCTTCATCCTCAACTATAATCGCTTCCTAACTCTTCTCCATCCTCCTCTCCTCCTCTTCCCTCCCCCGATCCAAGGGAAAACCCCTCGTAAACGTGGAAACTCGTATCTCCCGGGGGGGTTTGTGTGATCCACACAGTTACCTGCAGATGCCATCCGTAACGCCCTTCGAGCTACCCATGCTCTCCCCGAGTAGGAAGAGGAAGCATGATGACGACCCCAGCCAGGTGCAGGTGCAATTGTACGGCCCACCACTAGTAGTATCTCCCTTCGGGAACGTATCCGCTAATTACGAAACCCGTCTTAGAACTACTACATCCCAACCACACGAGCATGCGAATCTACTGTCCGCTATCAACAACAATGAACGGCTCATATTCCCCACGCCCGGCCGAGGCCCTGCTTCTTCTATGCTGAATATGCCCCGGAAGATGATCCCTCTACCTGTGAATAAGAGGTTTCGGCTTGTTAATAACGACGACGGCCATCATCCCTATTTACACAATAATAGCTCCTACACCCACGCTCATCCCGAGCCGCCTACGCCATTGCCACAGTATACTTGGCTGGGAACCGGCCTCAGAATAGGGACAGCAAACTCCCAACCACTGCTGAGCCCCTGCCACATCTGCCACCGGAAACCGACCAAGAAATCCGACCTGGACTCGTTCGCCGACTGTCTGGGGTGCGGCCAACGGTCGTGCTTCGTGTGCCTGCGCGCGTGCCGGGGGTGGCTAACATCTACTGCTCTCATCGCAGCAGCAACAGAAGAAGAAGAACAACAACAGCAGCAACAGCAACTACCACAAAAAGAGGAAGACGACGACAGCCTATCCACGTCGTTCACGATGCAAGACGTAGACGACATCACACCCGAGACCCCGCCTCCCGAAGAGACGGACCGGAGACAGCGGAAGGGAGGCGGTCCGGGCTCGAGCTGGATCGGCCGCGGCCACCGGGAGCTGATCTGCAGCCGGTGCTGCGTGGAGCGCGGGCCCGAGGGCGACGTCGTGTGCTTGGGGTGCTTGGCTGGCATGGAGGGGGCGTAGGACGTCCCGATGTGCGAGCCGGAGCAGGATTAGTTAGTAAATTGCTCGATTAATTACTCGATTACCCACTACTCGCTATTCGCTATTCGCCACTTACTATTTACCATTCAACATTCACCATTCATCGCTCATCGCTCAGACGAAACTGGCTATCCCCCACTAACAAGAGACGTCTTTGAGTATAGACAGACTATCTGATATCCGATATTGGGAGGGAAAAAAGGGGGGCATGGATGATATAGTATAGTGTTTTGATGAGTTGGACAGCGCTTAGAGAAAAAAGAAAAAGAGAGAGCCCCTTTGTTTGCTTTTTGTAAGGGGGGTTCACGGCGCTACGAGGGGGTTAATATGGCATGGCATCGCGTTTTTTTCCATTTATTTATTCAGGTCAAGCATGAGTTTGTAAAGATACCATAACCCGCGAAAAGGCCGCGGATTCGTTTCGTTTTTAAGTTAGGTATTTTATTCCTTTTGGCTTTGGAAGGGAGGAAGAAAGAAGGGGAGAGAAAGGAAGAGAAGGTACCTACACCACATACAGGTAGCCTGGTGTTTTGGTACCTTAATTGTAACTTGTAATAACTCAACTATCTACCTAACTAAGGTACTTTTAGGTACATAATAGGGACAGGTAGACCCGGCTGGCAGGACGAATGGCTACTTACCTGGTACGGGATCAGCTTTGGTGAAACGGGGGCCCGGACGGCACGGAACGGAACGGGAATTATGGAATAGGGCTGTTTGTATGTATCGGCGCCCGCACATCATCATGTAACTAGTAGACACGAGACGAAACAACCCAAAACAACTTCGATGACAACAATACGATTTACGTTTACGTTTACGTAAAGGATCTAACGTAATATACTACAACAGCACAAGGCGGGTGGTGAAGATAGCTAGCTAGCTGTATGACCTATGCTGGGGAGCTAACTGCTGAGTCTACATATCAGGATCCCGGCCGCTGTCCATTATCTACCAGGTAACTATTCATACAACAACAACAATAACAACAAACACACGCTTCCCTGCCCTTCCCTTCCTATTTTTCCTCCCCACAGTTGGTCCTACCTAGGTAGCTGAGAATGGTGCGCTTTTTCTAGTTGTATTGCATGTACGTAGCGGTCGAGTTGAACTTGAGGTTGCCCTTGATGACCTTGTCGACGGCGCTGAGGAAGTCCTTCTCCGAAGCGACCTTTCTCCTGGCGCGGATGGCGAACATGCCCGCTTCGGTGCAGACGCTGCGGAGCTCGGCACCGGTGGCGTTGGGGCAGAGGCGGGAGATGAGCTCCCACCGGATGTCGCGCTCGACGGACATGCTCTTGGCATGTATGCGCAGGATGTTGGCGCGGCCCTCCAGGTCCGGCAGCGAGAACTCGATCTTGCGGTCGATGCGGCCGGGCCGCATGAGCGCCGGGTCGAGGGTCGAGGGTCGGTTGGTGGCGAACATGACCTTGATGTTGCCGCGGGCGTCGAAACCGTCCAGCTGCGTGATGAGCTCCAACATGGTTCGCTGGACTTCGTTGTCTCCGCCGGCACCGTCGTCGAATCGAGCGCCGCCCACGGCGTCGATCTCGTCGAAGAAGATGATGCAAGCCTTCTTCGTCCGGGCCATCTCGAACAGCTCCCGCACCATCCTGGCTCCCTCGCCCACGTACTTCTGTACCAACTCGCTACCGATGACCCGGATAAACGTAGCATCCGTCCTGTTGGCGACCGCTCGGGCGCAGAGCGTTTTACCGGTACCCGGGGGCCCGTAGAGTAAAGCACCTTTCGGAGGGTCTATACCCAGGTTGACGAACCGTTCGGGAGATAGCAGGGGCATCTCGACAACCTCTCGCAGCTTCTCGACCTGGTCCTTGCAACCGCCGACGTCGCCGTAGGTAACGTCGGGCTTCTCCTCCACCGTCATCATGGTGACGCTGGCGTCGATCTTGGGTGGCAGCGGCAGCAGGATCTGGTATTTGTTCCGGTCGACGCCCACGCGCATGCCCTCCTCGATGTCGGTGGGGGACACGCGCTCGCCGAGCTGGACGACGAACTTGGCGATCTGCTTGACGTTGATAACGTACTTGCTCTTGGTCTCGTCCTTCTCGTCGGCGATGATCTTGGTGCACCGCGCTACCTGTAGCGGTTGCTCCTCGGACATGCGTTGACGGTCGGCGGCGACATCCCATAGGTGAGGGGGCGCGAGGCCTGTGTCGGATTCCTTGACCCCGATCTTCTCGTCGACAGCTTGTTGTTTCTCTTTGATCTGCTTCTCGAGGTTCTTGATAGCCGTGCCGTAGGGTGCGGCTCCGTAGGTCTTCAGGACTTGGATATCTCTGGATAACACAGAGAGAGAGGAGGGTTAGCTAGCTTTCTTCGCGGGGTGGCAACGACAACAAAAACAACGAAACGAAGATTGGGTTGGGGACGGACTCGTCTGATAAAGGTGTGATCTTCTTCTCTTCTATTTCATCGTCGGCAAAATTCTTCCTGTACTTCTCCCAACTGGATCCGGTGGCGGAGGGCTATAAAGTAGGGTTAGTTAAGAGAGTGCCTATGACGATAAATGTAAGGTTGGGTTGGCCCATACCATTTTGTTTTAGAGCTTCTAAAATCGAGAAGCTCGCTGATGTTCTTATTACTTAAGGAGAGGGAAAATTAGTTGGAGGTAATTTTAAGGTTAGAAAGTTATTCGGGTAATGTTCGTTCGGTGGGGTGGGCGGAAAGGTTGGGAGAAATGGATGGATATTATGAAAGTTGAGAGTTGAGGCAAACTGAGAGAGGTAGTGGTTGCATAAGCTCGTTCATTGCCTAGAGAAACTCAGGTCTCAGCTCCCGTCCTCGACCAAGAAATCTAGAGGTACGTACTATAGATTATATATAGACTATACTATATTGGGTTAGCTGACAAGTAGCCTCGCAGCTACCCCGGGAGCATTTTATCTGTATTAAACCACAGGTACCAAAAAAATATCATAGCCTAGGCGGGGGGGAGCTTTTGTCACGTCCCTCATCTTTCCTAGCCCACCTACCTAGCTAATATTTCGGTCTATTTCTTCAACGAAACTCCTGAAATATTTTCCCATCTCTTTCCCAACCCTTTTTTATCCTAATAAACCGCTGTTTTTATTAATTATCAAACAGCTGGTCCGTCATGGCTACCGCAACACAATCCGCCGGTGGCGCAAGTGCCAACGCTACTTTCAGGGTATGATCTGGTCTTAGGAGTAGGAGCTCTTATATACCAGGTATCTAGGTAACTAACGTGTAAAACAGGATAAGGAAAAGCCCATAGCCGTGCGGTCTGCAAATATCGTTGCTGCTAGAGGTATGTATTTATTTACCTACCTACCTAGGTAGTATCTACAAGCCCTCTCGACACACTTACTAATACCCAAAAAAGCCGTTGCCGATGCCATCAGAACCTCCTTAGGACCTCGAGGAATGGACAAGATGATCAGGAGTGGAAAGGGCGAAACCATAATTACCAACGACGGAAACACCATGCTCAAGAGCATGTCTGTCATGCACCCCACAGCCAAGATGCTTGTCAACCTCTCAGCAGCACAAGATGTCGAGGCAGGAGATGGTACGACGTCGGTAGTGGTCATCTGCGGTGCGTTGCTCGGTGCTGCAGACAGGTTACTATCCAAGGGTATCCACCCCTCAGTTATTTCCGAGTCTTTCCAGAGAGCGGCGGCGGCGGCGGTTCAGACCCTCCATGATATGTCACAACCTGTCTCTTTATCCGACAGTGCCACACTACTTCAAGCAGCGAACACCTCCCTCTCCTCTAAGATTGTGTCCCAATATTCCGGCCTCCTCGGCCCCATGGCAGTCAACGCGGTCACAAAAACTATCGATATCAAGACGGCCGAGAACGTAGACCTGAGGAACATCCGAATCATCAAGAAGGTGGGAGGCACGATAGAGGACAGCGAGCTGGTGGATGGATTAGTCTTGAATCAACCCGTCATCAAGGCGGCTGGCGGACCGGTGAGGATGGAGAAAGCTAAGATTGGCTTGATCCAGTTCCAACTAAGTCCCCCGAAGCCAGATGTAAGTAAAAAATAAGCAAAGGTCTCTCGTCTACAATTTTCTAACTCTACGTATAGATGGAAAACACCATTCAGGTAAATGATTACCGTCAAATGGACAAGATCGTCAAGGAGGAGCGTCTCTACCTTCTTAACCTCGTCAAGAAGATTAAGAAGGCCAAGTGCAACGTCCTTCTCATTCAAAAGTCTATTCTACGTGACGCTGTCAACGACCTCTCCTTACACTTCCTTGCCAAGCTTAACATTCTGGCGGTCAAGGATATCGAGAGAGACGAGGTTGAATTTATTTGCAAGTCTACCGGCTGCAAGCCGATTGCTGACATCGACTCCTTCACCGAGGACAAGCTTGGATCGGCCGACCTTGTCGAGGAGACTCAGTCGAATGGCGCGCGGATGGTCAAAGTGACGGGCACTAAGTCCGCGGGAAAGACGGTGTCTATAGTCTGCCGTGGTGCCAACAGCTTAATCTTGGACGAAGCCGAGCGTTCGCTCCACGACGCGCTTTGCGTCATCCGCTGTCTGGTTAAGAAGAAGGCTCTCATTGCCGGTGGTGGTGCTCCGGAAATCGAGATCGCAGCCCAACTCTCGAAGCAATCACGCTCTCTCACCGGCACGGAGGCGATCTGCTGGAAAGCGTTTGCAGATGCTTTGGAAGTGATTCCCACAACGCTAGCGGAAAATGCTGGTCTGAACAGCATCAAGGTGGTTACGGACCTACGACATAGACACGAGATGGGAGAGAGGAACGCGGGAGTGAGCATCAAGAGCGGTGGTGTCAACGCAAACATTGCTAAGGAGAACGTGCTACAGCCGCTACTAGTAAGCACGAGTGCTATCGAATTAGCCGCGGAGACGGTGAAGATGATTCTTAGAATCGATGACATCGCCTTGACAAGGTAGTGTGGGTGTATATTGTCAGCTAAAATGAAATGTACGTGATAGCAACGAAAAATAATAATGTATCAATGTGATGCAAGCTTGCCATGAACATCCATCCTAAGTAATAAATACCACTACAATTTCCAATGTTGTGATAAGATTATAGGCACTCGGAACAAAGAGATAACTCCATTTGTCAGGCATACATAGTAGATACTCGGATTTATACAGCTCTTTCTAACCTTTGCGGACTTAAAGCTTCGGAAATGACGAGGGCCGGGCTTGCTATCACGGATTTAAATTATGTTTATTTTGGAAAGGCGCTGCGGGGCATCTGATGGCGTTATTCTTGCGATAAGTTTAGACGAAGTGGTGTAAGCGAGGAGGAGCACATAATAGAAGCTAAGAGTGAATAGGGAATAGGATAAGAGGTTGTGTTAGTGGTAGTTCTAGGTATATTTTTGAAAAGGGATTACACAAGCGGGGCCGAGGCTCATCCTGCGTAAAGGATTTATAAAGAAATTTATAATTTACCTAGGTAGGTAGGTAGTTAAGGTGAATGAAATAGTTAAGATTTATTTATTGTGTGTGCTTTTAAAAGTGTACATAGTATACTTTTCAAGTATGAGATGAACCATTAGGTGTACCTATCCTTCATCTTTTTTGAGGTCAAGTATAAGCATAGCACTTACTCTGAACCATCCAAAACCCCGCTTGATTGGTTATACATACCTACCTCATAGTAGTACGAACCCAAACCACCCCAAAAAAGAAAGAAAAGGTGACATCGTTTCAACCCGGTTTAGCCTTCCGTTGTACAAGTCAAGTCAAGTACAGTTCATTAGTACCTAATTCATGTCGGGGCAACAGCCTTGGAGCCATAGCTCTTTCGTCAAGTTTACTAATAAAACAGCAACCACTACCATTGCCACTTCTCCTTCGATTGGCCATTCTCAATCTAATCCCATGTAAGTTTTTTAGTTTTTTTTTAGTTTTTTTTTCCTCTCTCTTATACCCGTAAGAAATCAAATCCCACTCGGCCGAGTCCCGGAGCCGGAGAGGACGAGCGAACAACAAGATTTCCCCCTTTTACAAACGTTTGGGTTTGTGTGCTATCGTGCCATGTGTTATGTTTTACGTGTTGTGTGAATGTCTATAAGAACCGCGTCCGCCCGCTTACTGATTTGTAGCTCTGGAAGAAGAGCAACAGCAGCAACAGCAGCAGCAGCAGCAGCAGCAGCAGCAGTAGCGACATCAACATCAACATCAACTACAACAACTCCTACCTCCTCCCATTTTAAACGCATTCAGAATAATCCCTTGATCATACATATCCGCAACATGGCGTCGTCTATTCCTGCCACCCAGAAGGCCGTCATCATCGAGAAGACGGGAGGCCTCGAGGTCCTTCAGCACAAGACTGATGTCCCCGTTCCCGCGGTCGTCGACGGCCAGATTCTCGTCAAGAACGATTACACCGGCGTCAACTTTATCGACACGTGAGCCTGCTTTTTTTGTTTTTTTCTATTCTTACTTCTTTTATTCCTAAAAAGGAATACTCATAGTTTATATGTGTACCTTATATATATATATATAGGTATATATTGTTACTCTGATACTAATCAATGGGTTAAAATAGATACTTCCGCACGGGCTTATACCCGGCATCACACTTGCCGTACATCCTTGGACGCGAAGCAGAAGGCACCGTGGTGAAGACTGGCGGCGGCAACCTGTACGGATTGAAGGAGGGCGATAGGGTTCTCTGGTACGTGAAACTATGACCTGTGAACTGTGAACTTTGTGAAGCGTGTGAACGAATTCGAATTCGTTCATTCGGACCCCGCATTGCGACATGTGATAGCCCCCCACCACTTTCCCCTGAGCCCCTTTTCCCTATGCCACCACCCCTACCACTACTACTACTACCACTACTACTACCTCTTCAACTCGGGTGAATTTCAACGAAACGCCGGTTATTAATCAATTCCTTCCTACAGGATAAGCGAGGGCGCGTACGCGGAGTACACCGCGGTCGACGCATCCAACGCGATCAAGATTCCCGAGGGCGTGGCGCCCAAGATCGCCGCCGCCTCAGCGATCCAGGGCCTCACGGCGCTTACCCTCGTGCGCGAGGCCCACCGCGTCGAGAAGGGCGACTGGGTCCTCGTGCACGCGGCCGCCGGTGGCACAGGCCTCTGGCTCGTCCAGCTGCTCAACGCCATCGGCGCCAACACTATCGGCACCGTGTCGACCCCGGAGAAGGCCGAGCTCGCCCTCAAGGCCGGCGCCACCCACATCGTCAACTATAGCCACGAGGACGTTAAGCAGAAGGTCCTCGAGCTGACCGGAGGGAAGGGCGTTATTGCTGTCTTCGACGGCGTCGGCAAGTCTACCTTCGACGTGAGCCTCGAGGTCGTCGCCCGCAAAGGTACCCTCGTCTCCTTCGGCAACGCGTCCGGCCCCGTCCCGCCCTTCAGCATCGCCCGCCTGAGCGCCAAGAACGTGCGCCTGCTGCGCCCCAGCCTGTTAAGCTATATCGCTACTCGGGATGAGTTTGAGTACTACGTCAATGAGCTATTCGGCTTCATCACGGGTGGAAAGATCGACGTGCGCATCCACGGAGTGTACCCGCTTAGCGAGGTCGCGCGCGCTCATGCCGATCTCGAGGGTCGCAAGACTACGGGTAAGCTGTTATTAGATCCCTCAAAATAAAGGAGAGCAAGGAGGAGGAAGAGGGGGGAAGGAATGATACGATGAATAGAGAAGTGGAGTGGAGATATAATATCTCGGTCTTTTCGTATGGAGCCTCTTCGAAAGAAAAGGGGGGAGACGCCCCCAAATTCATTTTCAATGGAAAGAATAAACAAACACCAAAAAACTAAAAAATAAAAAAAATAAAATATCTAGCTTTGACTAGGTCTTATTTTTCATTTGTAGCTATGCTAATAGTCAATATGTGTCGTCCTCCCGCTACTTACTATATCTAGTGCGACTTCGGCGACGGACTACACGCTTCACTAAGCCAGTAAAATAAACAAATTACTTAGACGAAACGTCGAGGAAACCAACCAACCGCCGAATCAAGCTAGCTAGCATCGGTTTCCGGGTATCCCTTCCTCGAGTTGAGTTATCGACATAGCCAGGGCATGCATGGCATGGTATGGGTATGATGACGCCCAACTACGTCGGGAAAAAAATGATGATGACGATGATGGTGATGTATATGTGTATATCAATCAACCATCCATCGCATCACCCCTTGCGTGTAAGGTAAACAAACAAACCACCTCAGGCGCCTGCCTCATAAGCCCTGAACTAAAAGAGAAAAAAAAACCGGATTAAAAAAAAAATACAACCGCCCCCCGTCCGTATGAGACTTTTCTTTTTGTCTTTCATGACCGTAGAACGCCGCTTTTTAAAATAAGAAAAGAAAATAAGAAGAAAACAATCGTCAAGAAGAAGGACAGGACTAATTGGAATGATGCTCTATGATTAGATGGGGTGACATAACGTTTCTTCTTTTCCTTAGGTACCACCTAAGCCTTTATCCTTCCGACGAATACGAGTTAGTAGGTACGAACGCAGGCGTATTTTATTTTATTTTTTACGAAGAATCGTTACCGAGCATCGAGTGCACGTGGATGAGCTTGGGGCCGTGCTCGCTGTGGTGATAAGTTGTTAGTGGTTTGGTCCTACTAAATTCTAGCTTATATATATAGGTAAAGAAGAAGAAGAAGAAGAAGAAAACTTACTTGTAATCAACACGATTAAGACTCATGGTGCGCTGCGCCTCCAAGGTCTGAGCATCCATGTTGTGGATGCAGAACGCGAGGCGGGCGGCGATGAGGGAGCCGAGGAACATGGCCTCCTCGAAGCCGTTCTTGGTCCACTCGGCGAGGTAGGTGGGCAGCGGGGCCGCCTTGATGCTCGTGGGCGTCTGGGCGTGGGAGTGGTGGCCGTGGCCGACGTCGCCCGCCGTCGAGCCGGGGGCCTGCACGGTGCCGGGCACGCCCAGCGAAGCCGTCGTGGCCGCTTGCAGGAGAGGGTTCACCGAGCTCGTGGTCGGAAGTTGGCCCGTGAACGAGCCCGTAGGTGTCTGGGAGCCCGTTCCGCTCGGCGTTGCCATGTTGGAGGGCAGCTCGGACGTGAAGATGGTGGCGGTGCTGGGAGAGATTAAGTGGCGGGCAGTAAGCGTCTGTATGATGTTCTCCTTGAGGCCTCGTAGGCGACTGCCGTTGCCTACGAAAACAAGGTTGTCCCAGCAGCCTGGTCGCTTGTAAGGCTCGTCGATGCTCTGGATCGCGCGATAAATGGTATCGGTGATTCGGTTGATTTCGTGACGATCCGCAAAGAGGAATCGCTCTAGACCAATCTCAATATCTCGTCGCACTCGTTTTGTTCTTCGCTCCGTGTTCTTAGCGTTGTTAGAAGTAGACTCTGTCGCGTCGCTATTAGCGTCACCGGTACCCTCTGGCTTCGCCTCGGGTTTTATCTCAGGTTTTGGATCTTGGCTGCTAGGCGTAGCATCAACCATAGACACGTCGGCCGCGGGTGCATCACCATTTGCGGCAGATGCGGCTTCTGTGGTTTCTGTAGTCTCCGTGGTCTCTGCTTTAGGGGCACCGTTCGAGGCGGAAACTTCTACATCCTCATGCACCAATTCCTCATAATGGAACACATTGGTCTTTCGCTTGGAGTTGGGTAAACGAACTGGCTTCGCCGCGGCAGGCTCAGCTTCTTGGGCTTTGCCCTGCTTCTTCGACTTGACCTTTTCAGCCTTCTCCTTCTCCTTTTTAGCAAGGAATTCTCGCGTGTTACCACTAGTAACAATATTGGCTACGTCCAGTACTCCTTCGTCGTTCTCTTTGCCATCCGCGATTCCGTCCTCGGTCTCCCCTCCAAATGCAGTAGCAGGTTTCGGAGGCTCTACGGGCTTTGCGGGATCCGTGCTTACTGGTGCATTATTGGGAGCTTGGGCTGCAGTCGGGGGAAGGTCATCCGTAGGGAGTTCCATAAGGTTATCGGAATCGGGGGCGTAAGGAAGGACCTCGCAAAGAGAGCTCTTCTTGAGTTGCTCGGCCATTTCGTAGTTAAACCCCTTGTCCTTCAGAAGCGCCAACAATTTCTGCGTGAAAACCTCTCCGCCTGATATCTCTCGTTCTGGGTTAGGATAGCCCAGGCCCTTCTCACTGACAATGAGGTACTCGTGAATGCAGGTGACATCGACTTTCTCGTAGCCAATGTCTACAACAGTCATAGTCGGCCACTTCAAACCGTATTGCGCCGCAACGGCGCTGTGCAGTAAACATAGAGCAGGAGTCTTAGTCTTCTCGAATACGTAGCGCGCGATAGCTTCGCAGTCTGGCCGTGTCCACCGCGGTGATGCCATCAACACGATGGGGATGTTGTGGTATGTGGTAGTAAGGAGACTGTGAACGTGATCGAGAAATGCTAAGAAGGCGGGCATGTTCACAATTCGGCCACCCTGTAAAGGGTAGATTGCGCCCTCGACGCTATCGCGATCCTCGACATATTCCCACTGATCGTCAGCCTTCTCGGTCTTCTCAGCCTTATCACCACCTTCTGCGCTCCCTGATGCGACGGTCTTCTTGCGCTTGTAAATGCGGTAGGGGGTATATTCGTCGGACTCGGGATCCTTAAACATTCGCGTAGGTATGCGGTGAGCAGGCGGAGTGAGCTCGTTGCAACCGAGCTGGGCCATAGTAGTCTGACTGCCGGGACAGACTACGAGGATTTGGTCCTCGCGCCACTTACCCTGCTGGCTCGCCATGTTGTTGAAGAGCTTGCGGGAAGTTTTGGAGGGAAGCTCTTTCTGGCGTACGAAATCCCGGTGCGATGCTCTATTTGCTCGAGGGGTTGTCGAAGGTGAGTTTTGTGGATTTCTTGGGTTTCGTGGGTTTCGTGGATTTGGGAAGGATGTGGAGAGACGTCTAACTGCGGCAGATTGACCGATCTTGAGGCTTGAACCCTCGTCGATTATTGGAGCAGGATGGTCTAGGAATGGTTCAAGAATTGCTCCAAGCTCGCGCGAACCAACGCGTTTAGTTCGGCTTCCATTCTGAGGCTGAGGAACCCCTGCCTGTGGCTGGGACCTGGAAGAAACGTTAATCCATGCTACATATGTACAATACCTACATAACCTTACATAAATGGGGTGAACAGGGGGATGTGATAGGGACGTCTCTTACTGCAATTGGTTGGTGCCGGCAGGGGCCGAAACTGTGGCTAGTGGGCCTTGGCTCCCCCTGCCTTTTCCTTTTCCTTTCCACTTATATCCCATCGGGTCCTCTTATTAGGTAGTTCAACAACGGGTTTTTATTCTTCTGATCTCAAAAAATAGTACCAGGTGGTGGTATAAAAATCCGTCCGTAATCAACAATACCGAAATTTTGATTATTATTTTTTTTTAAAAAAAAGTTGTTAAATGAATTAGCGAAATGTTTGGAAATTGGCGTTGTTGCTAGGTAACAAGAAAGACGAATTATAAGTTACAAGCAACGACGGCTGGCAGACATATTCACTGCTAGGTACACATTTACTAGGTTAGGTAGGTACGCATTTCCTACAACAGAAAAATTCACTTCCAGTATCCCTGGTCTATGATTACTAGTAATTGATGCATTGTACCGCTATTTTTGGGAACTTATGTCCCAGTCCTATCACCAGGTGCTGACTTCCAGCATGATTTAGCTGCTTGCTAAGTGACTATGTTACTCGCTATCATATACCTACCAGATAGGTAGGCAAAGGTAAGAAGATGGATGGTAAGCCACTCCTGTCCATAGTGATCCCCCATAGAACCCATTCCTTTAATAACTCTTATCCACGCGCCCTTCCTCTCGCCAGCTCGCTCGATGATTGCAGATTGGTACAATATGTTAAACAAACAGTAGAAGTACATGTCAAGGGTATTATTCAGCTCGAGTACTCCACGTCGCTCTCGAAACACTTGCCTAATGTTGATCGCAGCGCATCGAGTATAATGCAAGATAGTTTCATACCTATAGCCCGATCATTCCTTGATCATAGTGGTATCTCGTCCTTCCTGTAATCGTTCCTATGCTTTCCCGATAACTCCAAAAATTCCCATGGCTGTGACTGGAGAATAAAAAAAAAGTGAATATTGCAGGCTGCCACGTTTATGCAGCGGAGACGGAGACGTCAGGGGTAGACTTAAGGCTAGTATGCTCCCCTGTGTCTGTCGATGTCTCAGTCATGACCTTCTCCTCGCAAGAAGATTTGTTCTCTATTTTAGTGGAGTGGCCGTTAATATCTCCCGATTCTTGAGTGGGAGTGACTGCGTTCTCGGCTTTCTCGACATCGTGCTTGGTCTCCTGGGGAACACTAGCCACTTTCGCTACCAATGTCTCGTCCAATACCGCCAGATGCTTGGTGGGGTCTTCTTTAGCCCTCGGCGTCGTCGCCTCCTCACCCTCACCTTCGGCTTCGAACTCTTGCTTAAGTGGGCTGCCCATTAAACCATTCACATCTCCCATCTGGCTTCTCCTCTTGGATGTACGGGCGGGGCTTCTGAGAGGAAGTGGAGGTGGTACTCTTGCGGGGATATTGACTCGAGAAGCCACCATTGCTACACGAGCAGGTGCTTGAGCTGTGGCAACTTCAAAAACAACGGCCTCTTCTTCAGCATCTGATTCGTCCTCTTCCTCTTCCTCGTCGTCCTCTTCCTCTTTAGCTTCATCCTCCTTGTCGGCGTCGTTCTCATGGTTCTTAACTGATACCTTGTCGGCTGCGTCACCACTGTCCTGGGTATATGTAACTGTGCTCTTTGCTTCTTTACTAACTTCCGCCTCCAAATTGTCCTCGTCTTCCTCCTGAATAGCAAGCGTTGTTGTTGGTTCTTCATCTAGATCCGGGAAATTTGATAAGTTCCTCAGAGCACTGATATCAATCTTCGTATAGTCGACTTCAACGGGCTGCTTTACTACCGGAATGTCTTCGGATGTTTGCGGCTGGTTTCCATCTTCGCTTTGGCTTTGACTCGAGCCCGGAGTCGTCTGAGGTGTTGGGAAGTCGCATGTTTGTGTGCCGGCGTCGGTCATATGGCTTCGCTCTGTAGCCATTGTCTTGTTGGACATGTAGCTTCCCCTATTGCTCCGTGATAGATAAGTATCCATACTTTGGCGAGAAGCTTTGGCAAAGAAAGGACTCGTCGGGCTAGGGTTAAACTCGAATTGGCTGCTGTCGGGTCTTAGTCGCGTTCCGGCTTCACGGATACCCATACCAGCCATTTCCAAAGCCATGACGCCAAAAGGATCTGGATCGTCGAAATCGGGAACTCCAAACCCTGGTGATGTGCCTGTAGAAACCGGAGATTCAAGCGTAGCATCCCCCGGCGCAGGTTGGGAGGAAAGCAGCTCAACAAGAGCTGTATCATAGTCGGTCCTTCCTTCAGCAGCCTTGAGCACCTCAGTAAGAGGCCGCATTTGGGGTAGACTTTGATTGATATCCCCAGCTAAGATTTTTGCGACGCTGATTTTCATACCATAATACCTCTCGTTCTCATCAGCTCGCTCAGTAATGACTATTCCGTCCAACTTGACCTCTGCACTCTGCCCCCTTGCTTTCACGTACGCAATTGCCCTGTCGCTTAGATCGGCCCACGTAACGTCATTTTCAAGCAGCCCCACGGCGACCAGAGGGCCGGTGGTCAGACTGACATCGGCACCGAGTGTTAGCCGTGGCCTCGCAAATGCTTCTAGAACCGTAAAATTATTGATTACGAGAACGCAATCGTAAATGTCAACGCCGAAAACGAAGCGCAAACTAGCTGTATGAAGCATTAACCCAGATGGCGGGGACCACGTCCCATCTGTCTTGCGCGCGATCAAAATACCACTTCCGCCTGACCCCGACCCAGCACTCCATATTCCAGATCGCATGGAAGTAAAAATCGCTAGTCCTACTGCATTTTGCAATATTCTCGGGGGTATCTTCTTTAGAAACTTATGCGACGATTGTGTGCTCGAATAAGTCGACGGAGTCCCCGGTCGGTCATCCGGGGTTGAGAAACCATCACCTGTCGTCAGACGTTAGTCACTGGATATCCCTTACTTGCGGGCAAGGGCAGTGAGATCATACTACAGAAAGATTTAAGAATGCGGGCGGCCTTGTCGCATTCCTTATCCAAAGTCGCGGGGTGAAAAGCATGACTACTTAGCCTCGAGGTGGTATGGCGGTTTACAGGTGATGGGATTCTGTCGGCCCAACCGCGAACGAGGTCGACGCTGTTCTTGCGGACAATGGTCTTGGTATGGCCATTGTTGCTACCAATGACGGGACTGCTCGCTCTATTGCGATCCCATGGGAGGAGGGCGGAAACTCGCTGCATCATTAATGGCTACCTGCAACTAACAAGTACGAATCGTCAGGTTCCGAAGGAAAGACGAGTTTGCGCCCTCCGGGAAAGAAGGCAACAGCGTCTCGTCGAAAACAAAACTATAGTAGGTCGTCGGATTAAAGACGGGGAAGCCGGATCTGGACATTAGACATATGCTGGGCCAACGGCATCGATGAGGGAGAGATGGAGGGTCCAGAGGCTTGGGTCGTAAACTCTGATGAGGAGGGGGAGTAGTAAAAACTGACGACAGTTCATGCAAATGTTGGCGATCACTCTGTTTTCTTTCTCCGTTGGATACATACATAGTACGATGGGAACGGGCTGGCGGGATGGGTTAGAGAAAGTGACGTTTTGACTGGGCAAGTCGAAACGCTCAAGCAGGCTTAGAATGCATGCGTAAATGCATGTTTAGTGGGTCCTAAAGATCGAGTTAGGGTAGGACAAGTCTTAGCCTAGGGACAGCCTAGGGACAGCCCAAGACAGCTACGCTAGACAGGGAAAAGGCAAGCACGACCGGCTGCACCAAACGGCCAGGGGTAAAGGAAGAAACCCCGGCAAGTTCGGGCAAGCCTTAAGGGAGACCTTACCGAATTAGGGGTAGCCGGTAAATGGCGGGGAGTGTCGTCGTAGCGTAATTAGGTAGTGTTCATAGGTATGGCAATAAACAGAGTGTTACCGCACTGCCGGCCAGTTTTAATGAATTCAGGAACAAAATAACAAAATAACAAATTGATTCAGGTACCTGCCTATTTGCTATGTACATACTATCTAATTGCGTTAGAGGTAACCAGCGCACATGGATGCATAGTACATGCCAACCACTATATTATTATCTCGGTACCAAGTAGGAACGGGACCGACGTTTCATTTCATTTTATTTTTAAGTACGCACGTCTGTCTGTGCATAGGTACTTTAAGTAGAGATTGTTTTCGAAACAGCATTACTTACCTTAGGTTAGGTACCTAAGGTAGGTACCTAGAGTACGAGTACGAGAATACTTCAAGGTCCGTGGAATTGGATTCACTTAAACGATCTCATCTTTGCTATCTTGAAGGAAAACAAAAGCAAAAGGCAAAAGTCTAATATGTTTAACAAACGTGGCTGCAGAAACTTTATGTGCTGCAGCTTTGCAATTGGCTAAAATAAAATACAGCACCTAATAGATTCAACTTACACAGTACAAGGGTCTCGGGAGTAATATACCAAATGAAACAAGCAAAACGCTTTCGTACGCACCTAATATACTACATAGTACGAGGTACGTTAGACATCTTATATCAATTCATTTTAGTGATGGCTTCAGATATTATGTGATAGGTATTTTAACTCATTACAAGATCATTAATAAAGAGAAAGAGAAAACAAAAGTTTCACATGTAATTAAGGATCTCCTTTACCGTATCCGATAATTTCTAGCCGATCTTTTCAATCGCTAAGACTCTATAAACTAGGACTCGGGAATTCGAGTCGATCGACAAGGAAACCTTGCTTAACCGTCATTCAAGACTAAAAAAAAAAAGGCCAGAAAGGCTATTCCCCACACTACCAAGTCCTTCATTGTTTTTAGGTCTTCTCAGCCCTCTTTTCTCTTTTCTCATTCCTCACTTCCTCATTCCTCGTTTTACACTATGTAAGGTCTGGGACCAATTATGCACGTACTATGTACATTAGGTTGTGGATGTAGCGTTGAGGAATGTTTTAGATGACCATGTCCTTTTCACGTACACCAGCATCACGGGCATGTATGTAGTATGTACTGTAGGCTTTGCTGGCTCGTCTGATGTCGGCCGCCTTGCCACCCCAATCATCTGTGGAGATATAAGCCTTATATATGTACTACACTTCATCATAATATTATGGTACTAGTGTATAGGTATACATATGTGCATCGGCGGCGGTGGCATACGGGCAGGTATTAAAAAAAAATGACACCGCCAAGCCCGCCCCAAAATCCACTGACACATGGGTGCTTGCAGCATTGCAGCTTGCACCGATCATGAGCACGACATGAACTGATCTCTATTCACCCCTAGCTATAGTAGCGACAGAAGTGGAAATCCCTACGTACCTGTCTGGTTGGATCCTACCTAAGTTAAAGTTGGGTATGAGGTGACAAATGGGCTCGTAAACGGGCGATAGCGAGTAGACGGCGATGATCTCGCAACAACTTTTCAAGTTTAAATAGTCTGCATACCTATACCTACATATCTGCATTATGATGGTACGTACCTAACATAAGAAACAGAACCGTTCTGGGGTTTAGCGGGACGGAAATCCTTTCAATATGTTTTTAATCTACTGCTTTAATCTACTAAGATTCCCCAGGACCTCGCCGTCTGCAGCTTGCTGCGCCAATCCAATTTATTCGCGGGATAGTCCATATAAGAGCGTCTTCATCTGACTGCAGCTTCTAGTTACTTTATTGCTACGATGACGATCAATCCCGACATGTGGCCCCCATCACCAATTATTATGTACGAGGTAGGCTCTTCTTTCGTCCAAGGATGACCCCATTGCTACGTATGTAGCACCTGTTTGTACTCTCGTGATACGAGGTCAAATTCCCATGGTGTACGATGTACGAAATATGTATGCATGTACAAAATACCGTACAGCTACTGTATATCTTTAAGCACATACCACAGTAGTGGACTCAAGTACCTAAGGTAATTAACGTGCCAGGCGTGCTTAGATCTAACCAGACTTACCTAGCCCTGGGTATCCATTTTTGCCTTACGTACCTACGTTACAACTTTCCCAAGCCGCTGGAAAACTTCTTTCCGAATTGAAACAAGGTTACCCCGGTCTACCTTCAACGGAGACCAAATTGGGTGCGAGGGCGAGACCGAGTGGACCTTATATAGTGTATATAGGGGAGGAAAATAAAATAATAATCTTTTAAACCAAATGAGGAAGATCTCCCGGGTTTGATACTAATATGAAAATGATAGAAAGAAGGAAAGAAGAGTAAAAAAATAAGTAAACCGAACTGAATATAGGTTAGGTAGTAGTGTAATTAGTTGCTAAATCACGTTGCGCCCTGCTTCACCGAAAGAACTTCGTGCAGCACACACTAGTACACATATGCCATCGCCGACTAGAAACGTCAAATAATAAATATCCGACTTACACCGCAGCACCCAAAAATACGCCATAGTAAGCGTAGCGTTTGCGAGCTAGGCTATGCTAGCCCACTAGGTTAGCTCTATATATCCACCTGCATTATTAAGTACATTATTAAGTACATACATCTCAAGGCCAAGGCTTATCGATTTGGAACTTCTAGCCTTCCAGACCCTGATCGTGACTCCATGTGGTACAGACATAGGTACCCTTTGAGAAACACCGGCGTTTGCGGAACGAAAAAGAATTAACCTAAAAGCGGGCACCCGGGAAGCGTTCGCGGCCAAGGAGCTGGGTTAGGTACTTACTTATTACTTGTTGGCCTCCTTTCTGGGGTTTTAATAAATAAAAAGTCCTCAATACATAGTGTATATCAAAGTTGTTGACTCCGCTACCTACCTAGATGTACTCTTCTGTTTACCCCCTTGAAAGAGTACTTACTAAAGTAGCCCCCTTATAATCATTTATAGGCGGTAGGTAGGTATATGTATAGGGAAAAAGCGGACTCGACGTGAATGGATGCATGACGAAAGCATGCAGATGGGACTCGAAGAAAGAAAGAAAGAAAAAGTAAAGATACGCTGCGTAATCGCGTTTTAAACTTTAGTCCCACAAGGAAGAAGAAGAAAAAAGCCATAAACTACCTATTCATGCAGCGAATAGGCTGATAGGTAGGTAATAGACCTGGACCAGGAATATGATCGACGACTAGCATAATAGTTTAGGTACCAACGTTAAGACACGACAGGTTTTCTAGAAGGCCCCAAGAATCTCAAGGATTTCTTCCTTCGTCGCTAACTACCTAGGTACCTACCTACATAGTACCTGGTAGCTGTTTACAATACATAGTACACTCGACATAGGTAGCTCGCTCACCGCTTGAATGGTGATACCTTACCTTACGTAGTTGTACTATGTACAACCCAGCCAAGGCTTCGCTGGCTACCTAAGTTAGCTAAAACGCGAACGGAGTAGCCGAGAAAGAGGGAGGGAGAGGGAGGTGGGGGGAATATACCTATGATGAATTGGCCAGTAGGTTAGGTACCTATTATCTTTTATCTAATAGTCATTAGTTTATAGAAGCGTAACTAGAAGGTAAGTTCTTTGGACTTGGATGCGAAGGTAATTTGTAGTGACGATAATATGATGACGACGATTAGGTACGTATAGGTTGAAGAATATAGGTATGAGCATGGGATATTCCTAAGTGATTAAAGAAGACAACTATACAATATAATGAAGAGTTAAAATAATGGCTACAGCTGAGTCATGAATTTCCTGATTAGATTTTCACCTTAATTTAGGCACTTTATATAGTCCAACAATTCAAAACAAACATGAGACATCTAAGAGGCAAGTGGATATAGCAAGACGGAGCAAATCTAAAGCATACCTGAGGTACTTAGGTAGTTAGGTAACCAATCTAATACGTGATTATTCATTCGTGAGTCTATCAATTCAATACGGTACACAATCTGCATATTCTTTCATTCCTCATGTCATTACAAATCTTCATCTTCTTCCCTCCACTGAACTTCTTCAACAATCTCAGCAGCCAAAAAAAAAAAGAGTAAGAAAGAAAACCCATAAATCACTCATATTCCCTTCTCTCATACCCAACCCCGTTTATCAAAAGATAGCATAACATTATTCGTGATATAAAAACCCCCCCAGCTGCGTCGTGTCCCCGTTTCTTGAAGAAGGCAAAGCAATTTGGAACCAGGTGTGTGCGTGTGTATAAACAGGGATGAAAACGCCGAAATGTGTGTTTGATATGATTGGTTTGCACCTGGCGGTGAGACTTCGGCGGTGCGAGTCCTCTATAATGTAATTTGCTTGTCCCTTATCCCCTTTCCGTAAGAATGAGATGAGAGAAGAGACGTTAGAATAGAAAGAGAAGAGAAGAGAAGAGAAGAGCAGAGAAGAGAAGAGCAGAGAAGAGAAGAGACAAGAAAGGGGATATTCGTATTCGTTGCATATGCGTGATAATCCGTTATTTGTTGCCCGAGAAGTGAAAGTCGTAAATGTAATACCAAAAGAACCAAAAAATAATCGTAATCGCAGGAATGCAAGCCATATGCTCCCTCGACGCCGCCCCTTGTAACCCGCCCTCGCCGCCACATGACCACTCCTGATTAGTACCTAGGTAGGTAATGCAAGTTTGTCCGTGGTGATACAAGTTGAAAATCGAGGAAAACGTTGCTCGTAACGATGATTTATGTATAGAAATGGCGGCCGCGCGTCGCCCAGAAAATCAATCTGACCCGTCCCGTGCTGCCGATAATCTATAACCTATGACCAAAAAATAACTTCATCCTTTTTTTGACTTAGTAATTTTGCTGGGCCAAAGCGGTTCCGGGATACGGTCCCCCACGGAGGACATACTGCTCAAAAGGGGAGCAGCTGATGGTCTTCCGGGAGCTGCGGACCCATTTGGGGCGTGGGACCTCCTCCCAGTCCTCGTTTGTCAGGGGGTAGAAGTTGTAGGCCTCGTGGGAGGGTAGGTCGTGGTGCTCGCACTCGAAAATGCCCTCGAGGTGCAAGCGCTCCAGCTTCGGGACCTTGGCGCGGAGCCCCGTGAAGAGCGACTTGAAGGTCCCCTCGTACATGTGGATGCCCCCTAGCGAGACCTCAAAGGGTTTGGCTAGCCCACGACCGCCGAGACGTAGCCGGACGAGAGTCGCGCCGTGTCGCGCGAGGAAGTATTTGAGGTCCTCCTCCTCGCACGAGACGCCTTCGAGCGTCAGGTCCGTGAGCTGCTTATACGTGAAGTCGTAGAACAGCTCGCGGAACGACAGGGCGAATTTGGAGTTTTCGCTAGAATAGGGGTGAAATGCGAGCTTCAGCTTTCGCAGGTTCGTGGCGAGCTGAAGGATGCGACCGAGTCCATTAACGGCCCTAAAAGCGGATCCGGGGCCTTGCAAACCTGATGGGTCGAGGGTTAAGTTGAGGGTCTCCAGACTACTGAAAGATTGAGCATGCGTGAACCAATGGTTGCGGTGATCTTTTGAGCGGAACATCTCAAGGGGGAGTCGATCCACCTTGAAGGTGGTTAGAGGCACGCCATGGAGTGAGGAGATGATAGCATCCAAGTTGCTATACGTCTGAGGTCGATCCAGTTTTCTACAGCTAGGGTAGTCAAATACCTCCTTCAGGAGTTCATTGTTGAGAGGACATTGGGTGAAAGTGATCTCAAATTCCTTGAGATTTGGAAGGTTAGAACATGCTTCTCGCAGATCGTCAGCTTTCAGATGCAATGGACCGACTGCCTTGCGCCCCCTTTCAATTTTGTCGAATTCCTGCCTAGCCGATCCCATTATCTCATTGCGGTGAGCTGGAGGCGTGACGAAATGTTGAAACCTGCTGGATTATGTGAGTAAGTCCAATTGCATCAATTGAGAAAGATTGGGCAAAAATATCAGCCTATAGTACGCGTATAGTATACGTGGCCGTCGTATTCGCATATACGCATGTAGTATTATGATATAGGTATATATTATAATAAATATAATCAATACTTATATGTGCGGAAAATGCGGTCTTGGCGATACGATATATCATAATCTCAGATATCGTAGCATGTCGTAAGAAAAAGAAACGAAAAGAGAAGGGAAAAAATGAGAAGAAAATAGGAAGAAAAAGGAACTTACCATGAGGTGCTCCAAGCATCGTAGAAAGAAAGTTCGCCGAGGAATATGCAAATAGATGTGATGCTGCCTCTCAATCGTTCGTGCAGCGCGATAGAGTGTAATCGGTCGATATCATTTCTCCAACCAACAGCGGTGAAGTGAGAAGACAGCAAATATTCGTAGCCCACATCTGCTAACAAGCGAGTGACCTCTCTCAGATTCCTAACTGACTTGGGATCGCAATGAGAGAAGACAAGTCTCATAAGCTCGACCGGTAAGGTATCCATAGGGGGAAGAGCAGTTAAAGGAGGGGAGGGCGTAACGTATTGATATAAGTTTGAAGTTGTTGAGAGAAGGAAAAACAAAAACAAAAAAAAATAAGATAAAATAAAAAGGCTAGACTGATGTGGACTGATGATGATGATAATGATGATGGGTGTAAGACGAAGAATGGGTTTAATGAATTTCTCTCCAAATTCCGCCAGTTCCAAGAGCCTTGAAAATGAACAAAACGCCGCAAAGGACAGAATTCTAGACGGGATTTCTTAAGAATGAAAATGCAAGACCTCGTAGACGTTCTCGAGGAATTTTTCTAATTGGAAATGGCGGTTAGTTAATAAGGCACCAAGAACGGCCGGTGCTCGTACTCAACGAAATGGCGGAGAGATGGATGTTTGGGTGCATTTCCTTTCTGCAACAAGCCTTTCCGAATCTAGGACAAAGGAAAAAACCGCACCAACTATCGGTGAGAATGAGACACACATATACAATGTACTAATTTTCTATCTGACGGACAACAACATGAACTAAAAAAAATCTATTCCCCAAATGTTTCGTTGCGAATGGGTCCCGCTGAACACCCAGCTCAAGGGGCTGAAAGGATTTCTCTCAAGGTGAGAGATGGCGGTAAGGCAAAAAAATGCCCACCCCTGTAACGACGGCGAGAAGATATTGCTAGGTACGGTGAAGGGGGTGATTAAAAAAAAAAAAAAAAAAGTACCTGTCGGACATACATGCATACATACCTACATACCTACCTAGTGTATACCTAGATAGGTACCATATACACTATTAATCACCTATAGGTATGTAATGTAGATACCTAAGATAGTATATCTATAATATATCCAATAGCTGAAATACCTGTGCGAGAACAACCCAGAATCCAACTATGACTCAAAGTAAGAGATACCTACTTAGGTAGTTTACGTAGTCCCCAGTTGTAATTCCAGTTGTAGTCCCAGTTGAGTCCCAGGACCTCCAGGTTCCTGCATTAGGCCTTTCATAGGCATCGTCCTGGCCCCCGTCCAGGTCCGTCCAGCATTAATCTTGGCGGGACTGCACCGATCCCGAGCCATGATTCGCCCACCCGACCCTGGCTTGATTTAGCGGGATAATACAGCTCATCAGTGGCGTTTTTTTCTTCAACATTTATCCTCGAGCTGGAAAGTTCCCCTTGTATGTATTTGTATCGAATTTGTAAAAATAAATGACGGGAAGATGATGAAGTGAAAAGAACCAGTCATCATTTTTTTTTCTTTATCCTTCCCCCGTCATGACAATTCTTTTCCGCTTGGTACAGACGACGGGAGCTGAGTTCCGAATCTACCTAGTCTTACGTTCGCTCAGTGCTTTTTGAAATTCATGTGCTCGTGTCTTAAATGAGAACAGCCTTGTACCGCACAGGTCTGCTCGAGATTTTAAATACAACTTAACAAACTCCAAGCCTTTGGGGGCCCCGAGTCATACTTCATAGCCTGCCGTGCCTCGCCTTAAATATGGCGACTTTGTCATCGTAAAACAGTATCTCACGTAACCGGAGCCGTGCTGCTGACCCTACTGTATCGTCTTCTTGTAACGAGTCCATCTCAGACTCAGCATCGTCAGACAAATCTGTCATGTCATCTCCAGCGCCCGCCGCGCCCGCATTGGCATTATCCTCGTTCTCGTCATCCTCGTCATCCTCATCGTCGTCGTCGTCCTCTTCCGTTTCTTCGTCAGCCTCACTACCGTCATCATCGTTGCCGTCGTCCATATCAATCACGATGGGCACGTCCTCATTGTGATTGCCACCCAGTCCGACATCAGAATTACTATTACTGCCCTCGCTCGAACGGGTCTCTAGTATCTCGAAGCATTTGTTGCCTATACCTACGTAGCAAAGCTGAATCTCTGTCCGTAAGGTAATAATATCAACTAGCTGCAAGGCAAGCTCTTTGGGGTCAAAATTTCCAGATATATGCCCTAATATATGAGTTAAATGCAGGGAGCGAAGCTGCGAGATGTTCGGAAGCCGTTGAAGAAATACATGCTATAAGTGTAGCACCGGTTAGTTTCCACCGTCGATACTATTGCGATTAATTCAAGCTAGAATGTTGCTTACCCAGTCCTTGTAATCAATTGCCACAGCAAGTTCTCTGAGATTCGGCATTCGCCCACTAGTGATGTAGGATATCATTTCACTACTAAGCACCCAGCTCTCCCACCGACGGCCCTCTCCTGACTCATCCGAACTATCGAGGAGGAGCTTCTTGAGACTTAACCGATGACGCTTGATCGCGCCTTTGAATACCTGGTCAAGTTTCACAGCTGAATGAGGCACCCGCCGTCGGTCTTGCAAGAAAAGCACGTCTAAGCTATTAGGTGCAAGCGTTTCCTTAATGAAACTAATTAGAGTATTGGAAGGTGTGTTGGTATGTATGTGCTTCAATGCCAAGTGATACTGGGTCGGTGTTCCAGGGGGTGAGCCGTGAGCAGGGGGGGTAGGGTGAAATTGTCTTTTTAGAGTCCTCCAGAGGTGCTCAACAAACATGCAATCCAAGATCGTCAGATTTGTGAGGACGCTCCAGTCAAAGGCTTTTGTGCAAACATGCAATGAGAGTGGCACTCGTTCGAGTTCTAACGTTTCTAGTTGGAGCTTTCCATCGAGACGTTTCCTTTCCGCGAACGATTCATTGCTGTCCTGGCCTAAAGCTGAAGAGACACTAGGCCGAGGCTGGTTCAGGGGCGGCATTTCCCTAGGCGAAAGACCGCCGTTAGAACTTGAACTAAACCCGGTCTCAAATTGCGACGCAGAGCCGTGTTCTAGGGCGGGATCAAGCGATTCCTTTATCTGAACCTTCGTAGTAGGTTTTCGCCGTATATCATATATCCTGCCAACTAGTACCCCGAGGACACCCCCCAGTCTCCTTTCTCCAATCCGACTTTCTCCGGGCCAGCGAGCATCGTGATCAACTTGCTGTAAGGTGTAGCTATCCCAGGTCAGCACAAATTCCGCCATACGAGCCCTCTGTGATATCCCGACTCGGAGCTCGCGGAGACAGGACTTTGAACGCTCGATGAGCACCGACATCTCGTCTAAGTAAGCAAGTTCGTCGATGTCTAGAACTGTCAAGCTTTTGAGGGGCGGAAGGACGCTGAAAGTCGGATATTCGACATGGCTTTCGGAGTATTTAATTGGCTGCGTTACAGACGGATGGAAATCACTAGGCAAAGTATTCCCGACAGGAGTGACTGTACTTCCAATAGGGACAGAAAGAGGCGGCAAGGGGCCCTGGATTGGACTAGAAACGGACGACGACGCATCTTGGATTTCGGAATTATCGTGCCAGCGAACCCAAACCTTCTCCAGCTTGGACTGGCCCTCCGGATAATGATCTTGGAGGGACGCTAGGGCCATGAAAACTTCGGATATAACCCCCGTCGGCATATCCCATACGAACGTTTCCAAGTTTACCATCTTGCCGACAGCTATTGCCACCAATGTTCCTAGCATCTTCCCGCTCTCTTTAGTGACCATGTACTCGGATGTCCAGTCCTTAGGTCCGTTGCCGAGCGAAAATTTGCGAGTATATCTCGCATACTGGTTATTGGAAAGCCTCGAAGAGGACTCCAAATAAGGGAGAGAGCTTCCTCTCAGCCATCTTGCCCGCTGAGCGAACTTGCTACCCAGACACAAGGTGGCCAGCCCATAAGTCAGTGCATCGACGTTTTTACTGTCGGAGGGGGGGACAGTATCATCTGGCCAGACTATATCGAAGCGGGCGTATATATGAGGTATGGCGAGATAATAGAGTGTGGAATTCGTTAAAGCTAGCGATGTTAGGTCGTTCGTGTGGGTCACCTAGTATTTAAACGTTAGTATACCTTAGATAGGACCTATTTGCGGGTATCTCCAGCTTGCCTCCTTGGCGATAAGCCTTAGAATGTCGACTGGAAGGTCTAGAAGCTGTAACGGCCTGGGCTTAGCTTTTAGAGCCTCCCATTCTCGTCCCTTCCCCCTAAGAAGTTTGGATAGGTTCGGCACAGGCGGGTCGCGCGCAGGGATATCTGATGATGAGGGTGATGATGATGCTGACGGTGCAGATTCCGACGGATAGTAACCATTCTCGTGTCTCGTCTGCGGATGCGAATTTAATAGGTCCTTCAAGCTGGAGTGGCTTGAGTCCGCACTGTTGGCCATGATACTTCGTTGATGCTCGGCCTGATTTTGTGATATCGCTTAGAGCTAAAGGCGCACTGAAGCATCTAAGCGCATGCTTGCTACCAGAGATACTGGACACTAGGTACCCAATGATTTGATGTTTAGGGCTTATAGTTTATGAGGTGGAAACAAGTGGGAAGGTAGCGTTACTGGGTCGCGCGAACTGGCGAAATGGATGGATGCTATTAAGAACAACTCCTAGCTACTTTAATAAGTATCAGTAAGGTTAGTAGCCAGCCAGTAGTAGTATGATCATCGATGTACTGGTCGCTCTGTAGCACCGGATCGCTAAGAGAAGCTATGCACTAAGTGGGCAAGGCAAGTCAATAGATATTTGATTAAATACCGTTGCGTGGGTAAGCAAGCGGCTCAACATCGATATCGTATGTATTGTACGAAGTAAAATAAGGGTGGTAAAACAAAAGTCTTAAGGCGTTGGTCCTAGCCGTGAGTCGTAGGGTATAAATGATTAGGTATGTAAAAGATAAGGTTATGAAAGAAGTAAGTTACTAGTTACGCATTTCATCAGTTTCAACTCAGAACGAGGCTTGCACCTACTTGACTTGACGCCTTTGACAGAAATGCATCCAACTAAATTCTGATTGGTCCATCGCTCGGGGTAAGTATGAGCGCTGGGCAGGCGTGGATTAGGTACCTAGGCTTGGGGCATATAGTGCGTAAAGCATAAGGTTCGCACAGAGGTATAGGTATAATTAGGTAGGATCAAAGTTAATTTATCGTCATCCCTTCGTCGTTAGGTACCAAGCTTAGGTACCTAGAATAGAGTACATGCAGATAGGTACCTAGAAACATTAGGTACCTACCTATTTAGGTAGACGTCGCACCGATTAGGTGATTACCGGTAGGTAGGTACCTACTGCCTTTTGAATTATAAGTCATCAGTGACAGTCATGGGGGGACATTGACTGGAAGTTTGCCAACCTGATGAGCCCCTCCAAAGCCCCGCCTCTTTTGCATGTATTTCGTACCTCCCCGCGACGTTAAAATACCTAACCTAACCTTTTACAAGTTACAACAGGTCCATCTGCTTTTCTTCTCCTTATTATCCCACCGGTTCTTTCCCAGCCTCTTTCTTCTTGTATATTTCTAACGCGTATAAAGTCTTGTTTCCTATTACATACGAATTATATTTGCCGTCAACTATTTTAATTTTCTTTTCCTTCCCGAGAGTACCTACCTAGGTAAATAGGTAAATAGGTAAATAAGTACAATACCTATACCTAAGCTCACGTTCAGCTATCTCCGACGCTATAAGATCTAGGGTAGGGGATAACCTTTCATTGCCCCGCTGTGTTTTCCCCCCTCCATTGCTCTCTTTGTGTCGTGGCTAAAATCACCTATACCTACCTAACCTATGACTACTATTACATTTATGACTGCCTAACAACACACTGGCCTTAACCAAAGTCATTCAGGACACATTTCAGAGCTTATAACATGTCGTTCTCATATTAAATATTTAAACTGACCGCCTCCCAACCAAAGCTAACTCTACAACAACTCTAGATTAATCTGGTGCACACGAAAATTAGTATCCACCGTCGCATATCGATCCGAGCCCAATAACGCTCGCTTGTCGCATCTACATCTACACTCCGAGTTTTGTTCTACGTTGGAAAACATGTCGAGCTTCGTAACAGATCTTTGGGAATCTATCTTTACCCCGGGAACGACCCCGACTCTCCTAGTCGCTACCAACGCTACCTTCGCCGCTTTACAGCTTGTACTTTTTCTCCTGTTAGTTGGGACATATAGTATTCACTTCGTAATACTCTCCTTCTTGTGCGGGGGCCTCTGGTGGGCTATCAACTGGTTCGCGGCCGAGTTGAAAGTGGCGCAGGACAAAGAGGCCCGGGAAAAGGCACGTTCCGAACAAAGAGCAGTCGTGCAATCATCGGACGACAGCGAAGATACCGAAGTAGAGACTGCATTTATCGCAAGAGGGACACCTACTACGGGAAGCAAGCAGGTAGAGGTCATAGAACAACCGGGAAACCTAAGGCTTCGAACGGAACCTTCATCGGGAACGAAATCCAGCGTTAGTACGGAGGACGAATGGGAGAAGGTGTCTGAGAATGAGAACGAGAAGGAAAAATAAACCATGGAGTTGGTGAAATATAATATCCACACATTTAACCCGGGGTGGCATTTGCGGAAGCATTTATAGCGAGGTTGGGTCAGTAGCATAGATACCTTTGCATTTCAGGACTTCAGCGATGATTATCAAGTTCACTCTCATCTACCTACGTCTATACCTACGTCTACTACCTGTATGCCTATCATATTGGTGAAAGGATAATCACGTTTGTTCCTAGGTACTTACCGTAGGTATTTACCTGAAATTTAGGTACTTAGGTAGCTGTCAACATAGCATCGCTAGCTAACTCTAGGTAATTTTACGAACACGGTCTGAAATATACCTAGTTTATATATGCTCAAATGAAGCTTTTAACTGAGTTACAAAACGTCAACTCAGATTAGGTACCTAGGTACATGTCGATTAGGTTAGGTACATTGGTACATATATATGATAGCTCTATATCACGTGACCGTACGCAACCTGCAATTGGACTTGCCTTTAATTTTCACCAACCCCAGAACCTCGCCTTTGTAACCAAAGCTCACTAAAACGCGCCTTGTCCGACCTTAAAGCTTCCCTCCATAACGGAATTGCAAGAGGAAAAAAAAAAACCCAAACCCTCTATAAATCCAACCAACAAACAAACAAAAAGACGCGAATAAAAATTCAGCCAACATGAAGCTCGTTAGGTAAGCTCAACCTGATCCCCCTCGAGGCGCATAATAAATTGTGATTGTGTGCTAAATCAAGTACTTTTTCGTCACAAAAAGAAAGCTATACGTGTACTGCGGCTCCGGTGCTAATCGTGATGGTTTCCCAGGTTCTTGATGAAGTGCGTCAACGAGACGGTGACGATCGAGCTGAAGAATGGTACGCACGCGCTTATTTCATAGACTCCCCTCCTCCCTTCCTCCCTGTCCCTTCCCCCTCCCCGCCGCCATGTCACTATTCTCCATGTGTTTGTTGTACACCTAGCCTAGGTAGCTAACGTTGGGAACTTTGTTTTTAGGAACAATCGTACACGGTACCATCACGTCGGTCTCGCCGCTGATGAACACGGCCCTGCGGACGGTCAAGATGACCCCCCGCGGCCAGGACCCCATCTCCCTGGACACCATGAACATCCGCGGCTCCACGATCCGCTACATCATCCTGCCGGACTCGCTGCCCTTAGACACCCTCCTGATCGACGACTCGGTGAAGCCCAAGAACAAGGCGCGCAAGGAGGCCGCGGACAGGAGCGTTCGCGGAAGCGTCCGCGGCAGAGGCCGAGGACGGGGCCGCGGTCGTGGACGGGGCAGGCCGTGAGAGATAAATAAGAGGGGTGACTTAGTAGCTGCAAGCTTGCTTTAGAAGTGTCGGTGATGCTATGTTAGGGCAGAATTTGCACCTCCAGGAGGATGGACAGCGAAGAAGACGGAGGAGGAGGAAGGAATGGCTGCATTACAGATGTTAAGGAAATGTCATGAGAGTCCAGTCGAGAGGGGAGAAGAGAAAGCAAAGTACGGATGACCAAGTTGGTGGTGGGCATTACTTCTAACGGCGTTAGGGGGGTAGGCAAATGAAAAACGCTCCATGAAAGAACGGCAAAGCTGGTATGGCTCCTTTGCACAAAACTACCTATTTAATTCTATTTTTTTGATTCATGCAGAGCTGAGAAGAAAAAAAGCTCACGAGAACATACCAACAAATATAAAAGTCTCATTAGCAACCAAACCAAAACCCAAAGGACTCTCTCTCTCTCTCCTTCGTGTTGTTCCTCTACTCTACCCAGATCCTGATAATCTGCAGCTTCTCCCACCCGGCCTGCTTCCCACTAGATCCCACGGTCGCGACCTTCCACGCTTCCCCGAAGCCGAGGATCCGCTGCTTGACCTCCTCCGGCTTGTTCTGCGCGCAGAGCAGGACGTACGCGCACCCCCTGCTCGAGAGCACTCGGGGCAAGCTCTCGATCAGCCGATCGGTGGTCTCCATGCCGTCCCTGCCGCCCGCGTACGACAGCTCGAGCAGGTACGAGTCGTCGTCGAAGGACGGCTTGGCGTCCAGGCCGAGCGGGCGGTCCGCGTGCCCCGGCAGCTTCGGCAGCGCGGGCGTCGGCACGTACGGCGGGTTGAAGACCAGGACGTCGACCAGGCGCTCGCGCACCGGCGCGACGAGGTCGCCCTGGAAGGCGCCGACGAAAGTGCCGTGGGTCGCGGCGTTTTCCAGCGCGGCTTTGCGGGCCGTTTCGCCCGTCGCCTGGCACGCGTACGCGTTCACGTCGACGGCGGCGGTCAGGATGTTCCGGGACCCGAAGAGCGCTTGGGCCTGCGCGTTGACGAAGGCGACGACCACGCCGGAGCCGGGGCCTACCTCCACCACCAGCGGGACATAGCCGCCTTCTCCTCCGAAGCGGGCCTGGAGGAATGCTGTCTCGGAGGCGGACGAGAGGGTGTCTAACAACAAGAAAGAGTCCTCCGCCGGTTCGTATACCCTCTCGTACGCCACATGCGAGGTATCAGGCGTCGGAAGCATACCTTAAAGTAACATATGCTATGTATCGATCGATCGTTCGAAGAGGATCGCGGGTTACGATGTTTATTATATTATTTAACGGCGGCGAAAGAGTTAAACCGAACTAATGAAAATAAAAATTTCCAAGCAAATAACTTAAAGCACGTGATACGCCCATCTATGATAAGACAACGATATATAGGTATATTTTGATTCTTTTGCTGAACGAAACCCAATGAAGACCGGCGGCGTTCTGTTACCTGTTCGATGCGAATAGATGTAGATGTGTTTCAATTTGATCATGTCCCAGGTGCTCTAACATATTCGTTTTGCCGGCTAGTTTCACGAGCGGCACCATCGTCGAAGGTTTTTCAAGCACCTTTTTCTTTTTTACTCGACCCTGACTAATGCGCAGCGGTAACAACTCGAGCTGGATGTGTGTCATGTGAAGGCGATATTCCATGTGGATAATGATATTTACTTGATCTCGCTAGCTAGTTCGATAATCAGTTCATGATAATCCATAACATTACAAAGAAGGGACAAAATTGTCTACGTACGTACCAGGTATCTGTCGAGCAAAGGCGATAACAGCCCTTCTTCTACTTCTTCTTCCAGGCATCTTCCCTTCTACTCCAGGATAGGTATACGATAGGTGTGCGCCCTCCCTTTTTCTCCAAACAAAACCCATCCGTATGCCGCGTGCCGTGTGCCGTGTGCCGTGTACCTTGTATCTCGTGCCGCTCCTCAAGGCTCATCATACCTTAGGTATTCACATGACAGCGCACTCGCACCCGGGATCGCACTTACTCGGGCCGAAGCCCCAGCGCCAGCGGCTCCTGACGTCGACGACCATACGGATCTGGTTCTTGTCGTAGGCGCCCGCGAAGCGGCAGGCGGGGCACAGGCCTGCGGCGTCGGCGACCCGCGCGGGCTCGCGCGCCACGCCGTCTCCGAAGCTCTCGCACCGGCTGAACCCGTTCCCCGGGTACCTGCACGGCTGCCAGATCTGCAGCCAGTGGTGTCGGCAGCAGCGGCTGCGGAAGTCTGCGACCCGAGGAAATAGATGGTGGCGGTTAGCATTCGTGTTCCTAATATGCATGCATGGGTTGGGAGGAAGATATCTCTCTCTCTCTCTCTCTTTTTCTTAGATATATCCAAGAGAGAAGGGGGAAAAAAGAAAAGAAAGAGAGAGAGCCCAAGGTGAGATGAAAAATAAAATATACATACGTATCGTTCTACACATATCTCTCTACCCAAGGTACTTTGTGAGTGAGGATGGAGGAGCACTCAGCAAGTAGGGATTATTTATAGTTGAATATGCGATTAATATTGGTCTTACTTTAAGTACCTAAGTTTGTAGATCATTTTTATGCAAAATTGTAGCTTTTTGACTTGACTTAGGGAGCTCAGTGCATTTGTGGAAAGAGAGAAACAGCGAAAAAAGAAGGCAGGAGCATTTCCTTCTTCTACACTCAGCACAGCATCAGGAGTGCAGGTGCCATACTTGACTCAAACAAACACCTGCAGTCTTCTACCTAAGAGGTACCTAGTTGATCTGGTGTACGCCCTCTGTATGCCTACAAATTTTCTCTTGTCATCCCATCTACACCATTAATGAACCAATAGGACTAGAAATAAGACTGTAATGGTATTGTTCACAGTGGATTTTGACATGAGTACCGTACCTAAACTACCTAAGCTTAGACTGCTAATCTCCTATCTGTCTAAGTGAGGTACCTAGGTAGGATATCTGAGCACATCTTGTATACCTTATTATTTAAAGCATGAAATTTAGCTCGTACGCCTACGCTTTTGCTGATCCGGAGAACGAGGTACCTGGGTAGGCACCTAAAGTCAAGACATTGTACCGCTGTTACTATCGTCGGCCCCCCTCTCCGACGTGGTTCTGGCATCATTACCAGTGCTACTTCCGCCGCTATCGTAACATAATCTTGCCAGCATTTCCTCCATCCTTGACGCTGTACGCTCCAGCGTGTCTAAACGGCTGCTTAAATCCCCAATTTCCGACGACTCACTCATGACCGCTCGTATCTGCTCTGTCAGAGCACCATATGGAGCTATGGAATCTCTGCGACTCGGCGTTTTGGGTTGTGGTGGCTGGTTCTGCTCATTGTCTTGACTCTTATTCGACTTTACCGTCGAACTTTGTTGTCGAGCAAACTGCCTTCTAATCATATGGTGTGTCAGCTCATCATCGACAGCAATGTCGTTCGTAACCGAATCCGGCGGAGGAATATCAAAAACGGCTTGGATGTCCCCGTGGCTTGTTATCCTCCACTTCTCCCAAAACCAGCTTCGGTTACGGCGTTTCTTTGGTAGCTGCTCTGTAGGGTATCCCACCAACTGCGTATCCGACCATAAGAGCCGCCTCTCTACCACAGCGATGAGTAATAGCACTGGTAGATTGATCGTCCTGACTGTTGCTACATGAATCTTATGGAACCAACGAGGGCTAACCAAGAATCTCATTGGAACAAATACGAACAGTGCGATTATATTGAACGGGGGTTGGTACGCGAATATAGCGTCGCTTTTAACACCTTCGAGCGTCAAGACTGATTTTCGAAACTGGATCTCGGCGGTAGCGTTGGATACAATGGTGCTGAAAGTGTTCGAGAGCATGGAAACCAAGATCGTCAAAAATAGCGTGTTACCCAAGAATGCGAATGTGACTATCAGGGTTGGCCCTAGGAGCCAGTGAAAGTCCGTCTGCAGAATACGGCATTAGGAAACCAGTAATAACAAACACTTTCGACTTCACTTACAGAACGTGAGATACCAGTGCCGTCCAAGCCAAACCAAATCCAAAGCATCCATTTACTGATGACACTGGGTATCGTCAGTTTATGAAGTTCCCGAGTGATTGGAGCACTTACACGATATTATGGCGCCCTTCTGCTAGCCACACCATGGAAAGTAAGAATCCACAAAAACACCTAGTCATTATTAGTTTCCCAGATTTCATCAAGTATTAGGGTACTGACCAGGCTGCCAATGCGGTAAGCAGGGTGAAATCGGCCATCATAGATCGTAAGGACAAGAACACTAAATTGTCTGATAATAGGTTGAATGCTAGTCGAGGTACCAGCACTGGTGCCCCCATTGCAAGCACGTCAAGAGCTTGTTGACCAGGTTCTGGCTGGCCGGTATTCCAACCATATATCCTCAAACCCAAATACACCCAGTATACCAGCGTGAAAATGACATCCAGAAATGACCAAAGATTTTGTGTGTATACGTTCCTGTTGTCCTCCTTAGTAAATAATCACGAGAAAGGGTCCGAACTAATTTACCATCCATGGGCTAAAATTGTTGCAAATTGGTCAAGAACCCAGCCGAACGCGTAGACTGAAAATGCGATTTCATAAACGCTTAGATAGTTCGGGTTCCGCTCAAGCATGAATAGGAGATATAAAGTGAGGAGGACAATGAACTGGGTTATTTCCAATGTATTCCTAGTACGGGGCACTACCAGTCGGTACTGGTTAAGCAAAGGCGCTTCGCGTGGTTCGTATAATGAGATGGGCCTTTGCTTGTATCGGTCCGGTATCATATCCAGCTACTGATGTCAGTAATCATTCAAGTGACCGTAGACTTGATTTATAATAAACCATCATCTGCCGGAAGGGTGACCGATGGCTTAGACTGAACGAGGGGAGGGGTATCGATCACATACTGTTCATATTGTTAGTCCTAGCAAAACTGATATGCGGAAAGAATGAGTTAACGCAACGAGACTGAATCGTTTTCATACGTACCAAAAGTGGTTGGTGTATAAATGACTTGTCCAATGTAAATTGCGTTGACACTAATATATGTGAGCTTCGTAACAAGTCCCTAGCTGGCACAACTTACACTTTCTGGCAGTGTGTGGAACTAAGAAAGTGCTTGCTACTACTTAGAATAGCTACCTCCAGTGCCGGTAAAGTTCTATTTTGGCTCCACGAGGGCCCAAGATAGGCTTGTTCACGAATCTCCTCCGGGGCATTCTGGAACGGCCCGAACCCGGTAACTAAGATATTGGCTAAAAGAAGGAGTCCTTCGGAGCCCGGATTGTCATCACCAAAACGTCTCAGAATGCGAGTGGCCACAAGCTCGCAGAGAGTTGCACGTGTGAAATAAACATTTTGCCTATTGGTCATGTGTTCCTGTTCATGAAGAAATTGAGCGCGGTTTACGAGCAAGCAATAAACTAGGTTTACTATTAGTTCAGTTTCCACAATCTATAGCAACGCATACCGGGAACAAAAATGCAAGGTATAAGAGAAAATTTCATATGGCGAGTTAGTAGTACACATACCGATAGAAATGTCATTTTGTTCGTACAGCTTGTCTACTAGCGGCCGAATGACTGAAATATTAAGCCGAATGTCTGATAACTGCTCAGGAGTGAGAAAGTCTTCAACTATACTGATGACGTCCCTTCGTATCCGATGGATGTTCGTATATACTGGTAGGTGAGCGTGGGCATTCGTTTCGCTACTAGACAGTGGCTCTTGTTCTAAGGGGTTGCCGAAAATATTGTGGCTTAAGAGAGGCTGGTTTTCAGACTCTTGAAGTCGAACTGTCCGTCGGCGAGTGTTGGACATTATTTCGCTCTGGCAATTAATACTTAAAGAGAATCTCAGATTTGCATTTAGTCCATCAGGTTGCAATATCTCGAGGAGCCTTAATCGCCGAAGTTATTGGACATGCGCAAAATAACATCCAATTTCCTATCTCAAGGCCGTTGTTCCTACTTAGCCATGAGAGAAATAAGACTCTAATTAAGATGCTGCGTAGTATCCGAATGCCTATTTGTGATTTGTGGACTGTTGTTGATGTTGTTGTTGTTGTGGTAGTTGAGAAATAGTGTTGTTAGTGAGGCGAGAAGGATTGAAGCCTGAAAGTCCTGCGAATTGGCGTGATAGGTGTATATTTTCGTAGTGAATACGGCGCAGACAACAAGTTGGCTATGACATAGTTAAGTGTTTACTTTCAAAGTTTGTAGTTTGTAGCTATCATCTAGACTTGGGATGGTTTTGGGCTATTTGGGTTTTAGTTTTCACTTGTCACGGGAGGTTTATTCGCTAGCCCCTTCTTCAGATGTATCGGTATAACTTTTTAAGTTTGATATTAGCATTGATGCATTGATGGCTGCACATTGACGTCGACGGGGCTTTTGTTTCACAAAACAAGGTATACCTTAAGTACCTAGGTCGGTATGCAAGATGTAATATCTAACTTGGCTTGCTTATTTATTAGGGGGCCGAGGTGGTACTGCAGCAAGTAAACAGCAAATAAACAGCAAATAAAATGATGATAAGATAAGGATAGTTCGTGCTCCATTAGGGAAAGTCGGCAAGGCTACCAATTGTTAATTAACCAGTTCAATCTTAGGATGCTCAAATAAGCAACAGCTCCTCTCCTCAACGTAAGGATTGGTTACCGACCTCTCCAAATTACAACTATAATGGTATGGCCGTTCACTTCTACCTCTGGAAAGGACGGTGATTCTTCGAAGCGACCAGTCTCTTGGTCCGAAAGTCTAAACGGGACCGACTGGGAACATTATAAAGACCCTAGAAATTGGGTTCCAACTTTACTTGTGACAACAACCGTTGTCGCGTCCCTTCAAATCTATCGGTCATACTTGCGTCGCATTCCCGGCACCGTTCATATCCGACCGAATTTTTTCAGGAAGAGAAGCATTTTTGGCCAAGTTACGAGTGTCGGAGATGGAGATAATTTCCATTTATATCACACGCCTGGTGGTCGTCTAGCGGGGTGGGGTTGGCTTCGAAATGTCCCAGTCAAGAGAAGCGAACTGAAGAATAAGACAGTAAGTTGGCCATTTACCCTAGGTATCTATGTGGTGGCCTTTCTGTATCTGACTCTTAAATAATTTAGATTCCTATACGTATCGCTGGTATCGATGCACCGGAAGGTGCTCACTTCGGACGACCTGCCCAACCATTCTCAACAGATGCACTTGTCTGGTTATCCGACTATATACTCGGGCGGAGGGTGCGAGCTAAGATTTATAGGCGCGACCAGTATGATCGTGTCGTCGCTACCGTATATGTAAGACGGTTCATCTTTCGCCGCGATGTTGGATTGGAAATGTTGAAGCAAGGTCTGGCTACAACATACGAGGCTAAGACCGGTGCGGAATTCGGTGGTCTTGAGGAGAAATACAAGGCTGCCGAGAGCAAAGCAAAGGCTGCGAAGCGAGGGATGTGGGGTGGTAACCCGCAATTCTTTGAAAGCCCTCGCGATTATAAGACCCGAATGGGCGTAGGGGAACCGCAAAAATAGTCGCACCAAGTTATGAGATATGAATGTTTTCAATTGAATCGGCTCTTCCTGACCTTCATACTCGGTGACTTAGGTTATCGAAGAGACTTAAACATAAAGCGGAGTTGGAGGAGTGCAATAGGAGATGATCCATGGGCGGATCTCCGTACTGTATTCTCTCTCGGAGCTTCTCACAGCAAGTAATATAGTGTGGTATTACTACTTGAGTTGAGCCCCAACCTGGGGTTACGTTAATGTATCTTGCATCTTGCATCTTGCATCTTGTTTCGACGAACCCCAAATTTGCGCAGTCCCAATTTTCTCTTGTCTATGGTTTTTATCATCGATATTTGTGACCTACCTATTATCATGTTCCCGTTGCCTGTATACCTTAGGTACCTAAGTACCTAAGCTTGATATTACGATGGCGGCAAGGTACATAATTATAAAAGATCCTATGGGCTAAAATTGGAAGGAGTTCTTGCTGAACAAGTCTGTCATTGGTCCGCTTTTCGATACTAGAGGCCCTCCGAATGTACTATGTAAGCCTCTAATTTATACTTAACACTGGACCTACATGCCTTTTACGATGTACATGTTTATTCTAGGTACCTACTCAACTAGGTAAGATGTCTTGCTCTATTGAACTATCTAGGTACGTACATGTAAGGTCTGGTTATACGATGAAACATTTCCTTATTCTCGGGGATTACGCAATTGTCATTCTCGCTACCGAAGGTTATCTTGTTAAAAAACCTATCGTTATGCTGCATAAATACGGGATCAACTGGTGTAATGATGAGAATAGCTAGGAACACGAGGAAACCGCCTGTGGGACCTTGCTCAGACCAGATCCCACCTTTGGTCCTCATTTTATCGGCCACTTGCAGTTGGTCGATGAGACTAAGCTCGTTACAGATTTGGAAAAAGATGAGATTGTGGCTTCCCTCAGGAATAATCCCTGTAAAGGCCCCTTACGGACAGCATGTGGATTTATTTGTGCAAGGCGTGCATTTGTACATCGGGGGAGCCAAGCTCTAGGCTGCCCGCAGAAATTGCGCTACTGCAGGTGCTGACCTCCCAAGCCTCCCTTTTTTGAACTTTCTGTTCTTCTTAGCCTTTTCCTATTGTTGCATGTTGGCTGTTTTTTCTACTGTTCGACGTTGGACAGCGAAGACGGAAAAAACACCAAAGAGTATTGTCACTCCTTTTACCTTGTTATTACTCTAGGGTTAATACGCGAAGCGTGCAACAATATCTTGTTGCACTATTCTCGCCCATACGGCATTTCCTTTTTTTCCCACTACAATCGTTTTCATTTTTAGTCACTCGTTCGCGTTTTTCTGACGATCCAATTAACACACGTCCCCCTAATAAACCCCTGATCTGAGGAACAGCATTATCCGGCAGACTACGTTTGACGGCAATAAATTCTGGGACAGTTAAGACAACAAGTACGATCGCGTCGTCAGCGTTTCCCATATTCACTCATTTTACTACCTATAGGATTAATACAACATCCCCCACGTCGCTCGTTTCCGAAGACTCACTGCTAGAAACACTTGCCAAAAAAAATTAACTAGCCCTAGCATATTGACCTAAGCTAGTTCCCTGTCATTGTCGAGTTTCTGCTCCTGAAGCATCTAACTAAAAACAAAAATCAAGTTAAACAATCCCGTTTGAGAAATCGGGATTTGGTGATTGCCTAGCAATAGGATATCATCATTACTTCTACTTGTCGCAGTAGCACAGCTGTCAGTACACATCACTCCTGAAGTGATACCATCGAACAACTGTTACATTGTGCTTTGGTATCAGTCGAGAACTGGTTAGTGATAAGCCTCCCTTCGTTCTAGTTACACTTCATAAATGTTTTGAGCGAGCTTGGGGTTATCTCGTTATTTTCGTGCTGCAGAGAAATTGTTTGCTTGTTGTGTTGATATCGTCATTTCTTCCAATGACAAGACTTGCCTTGATCTCGATTTGAATTCCTTTTTCGAAGCAAGGCTACTTTAGGTTAAAATTGGGGGAAATCTTAGTGGTTGACGTGAGCTAATAGGGTACCAGTGCAGGCATCACCCCACCCTAGTGACAACACACTTTAGGCACTTGGGTACTGGAGCACAGCCCATTCCACTTATTACTTACTACCTCTAGACCCAGGTACTCGCTAAAGCACCACTTTCCCCTACATCTTGGAACTCGAGGAGACGACGCAATCTACCCGACGACGGCCGAGTACAATAATAAAAAGTCAGTTGAGAGTGCAATCTTAATCTTAATTGATTTAACTCGTCGCCTCGGGATCCCCGTCAGTCCACTCATTTGGTTTTTGTTTTCGACGCCGAACTTGCATTCTCAAGAATTAATTATTTCGCAACAACACAACAAGTCGCGACATCTTAATCTGCACCTACCTATTAACCTCTAATTTTAGTTTCGTTTCCGCCCGCGCACTGTATATCGCTTTCTTCGAGGTTATGGACTCCGTCGGAAAATAGGACGTTTGCGCAGTGTTGGAGACCGAGGTTTTCGTCAATAGGGAATCTCTAATTAGGGCATTGTCGAAACACGGGCACGTCGCCCTTCCGCCGGACCCTAAGGCAAACGAACAATGAAAATAGCATTCCGTCTAAGCAGCGCTACGCGCGGTCATACCACGATATCATCGGCATGGTTCCTTGCTCTCACTTCTTTCGCGTCGCTATCGGGAGCGATCACCTTTAATCAGATACCTGATGCGAATCTTGATACAAGTCAACTTGGAAGGGTTGGGATCGCTGGTGACTTTAGCGGCATTTCTCTCTACCAATACGATAGGCAGACCGAGTTGCCTTTCAGTTCTAATGGATCTGAACAGCTCTTGACACGCCTTCCAAATGGGGTATTTGTCAACCTTCTAGAAGCGGACGCATCTATCCAAACAATGTGCATGTTTCAAGGGCAGCTTATCTTGGGTGGTAACTTCACAAGTTTAGGAGGAGTACAATCGCCGGGAATTGCATCTTTTGACCTCGATACCTCCAAGGTGACTCCTCTAGCTAATCTTTCAGGTCAAGTTAACAGCTTGTTATGTGATGATGAAGCTGGCAAGGTCTATGTTGGTGGTAGTTTTAGGGCGGTAGACTCAACCAACGCGATTACGTGGCTTGCGTCGAAAAGCTGGGCTAGCTTGCCGTTTGCAGGTTTTAATGGGCCCGTCAACTCCATTACGAAGGCGCCCACAGGTCATATAATCTTCGGAGGAAGTTTTACGGGCCTAGGAAATACGAGCACGCCGAGCACACCTGATGGCCAGGTTATCAATCTTTCTACCGCGACCATCGAAGCCGATCAGAGCACGTCGGCGGCAGGTTTCAGTGACCCAAAGAACATTGTTTGCAAGACAAATGGAACGGATGGCTCTGGTGATACTTGGCTCTTGCAGGATAATACACCAGGGGCATGGAGGGCTACTTTTAACTACGGCTTTGAACCTACCAAGCTTCGTCTATGGAATACTCACCAGGACGGCCGGGGAACTCGGACCTGGAGGTTCACAGCGCTGCCACTGAATGGCATCATGAATTTCACATACATCGACCCGGTAACTAAGCGCAACTCTACATGTACCAGCGAGTGCCCCCTTAGCGATGATCCTTCCGTCAAATTCCAGGATTTTCATTTTGTAAACCGACTTGGGATGAACGCATTCAGACTTGACATTTCTGCTTGGTACGGTAATGGTGGGGGGCTAGCTGGTATCGAATTATTCCAAGATGATATCTTCGCCTTCGCGATTAATGACTTCAACGAACCTAGTTGCGCTAATACCTCAACTCCTTCGACGGCAACAACCACGGGAACCTGGACTGTGACTCCGTCGGGACTGAGCAATGCTCAATATCTATCAGCCCAGTTGTCGAAGCCGGTCTCCTCCGATGCTGCCTCCGTTGTCTTCTACCCGGATATCAAAGAATCGGGAGAGTATATCATCAAGTTGTATACGCCTGGGTGCCTCCAGGATAATACTTGCTTAAGGCGTGGTCAGATACAGGTATCGGGCACGTTGACGTCTAGTGGTGCCAATCGGACTATGGACCCGAGGGTACTGTATCAAACAAATGAGTACGACAAATATGATCAACTTCATATCGGTTCTGTTGACGCTAGCTCGAGCTCCTTCAAGCCTAGTATTACGTTGTCACCTGTTGCCGGTCAATCGCAGTCTATTCCCGGCGACGATTTCGTGATGGTGGCTCAGAGAGTTGGATTTGAGCTTCTGAACTCTACCAGTGGCCTGAATGGGTTATTCGAATATGACCCTAGTCAGGCCACAGTGGATACCTCCGACTTTTCCAATTCCGCTTTCATCAAGCTTAGTTCTTCGTTTGAGCCGAAATCTGCGGTAACGTCGTTGGTTGCTAGCAATGACCGAACTTATATTGGTGGTAACTTCACCTCGGATGATGACCGTAACATTGTTGCTATTGACAATAACGGGAGAACTCTGGCCCTTGACGGTGGTATTAATGGTGAAGTCCTATCGATGTATTTGGATGGCAGTAGTCTATTCGTTGGCGGCCGGTTCAGCAATACTCAAAATGGGTCAACGCCAGGATTGGCAAACGTAGCAGTTTATGACAGCTCAAGTAACCACTGGTCGCCCCTGGGGGCCGGCGTGGATGGAACCGTTACGAGTATTGTGCCGACAACGTTGAACATCAGTGGGAATGCAGCAGAAGACGTCATCGCCTTGGCTGGTCAATTTACACACCTGCTTGCGTTCGACAATAACGATGCTGCTGAGGTGCATGGCTTTGCCATCTGGGTCAAATCGCAAAACAACTGGCTGCAGAACTTGAATACACCAGTTCCATTTTTGGACGGCGTCCTTACTACGGCGGTAGCGGTATCGGGTAATGAAACATTATATACTGGATCAATATCCTCTCAGGTCCTTCGTGCATACGGTGCTACAACCGTATCTAACGGATTTGGCAGCTTTCCTATCAAAATCCACCCGCCAGCTAGTCAGTCTAGCATCTCTGCGGATGGACTCTCAAAGCGTGCGGACCTACAGAGTAGCACCGATACCATTTCTGGCGTCGTCACGGGAGCATTCTATGAAAACGATGGGAGAAATATCACAGTCCTTGGCGGGCACTTCATCGCCAACGCGTCTAACGGTTCAACTATTTACAACCTAGCATTCATCGACGGTGCGGATTCTAACTCTGTGACGGGGATGGGCGCTGAGATATCCGAAAGTTCAACATTCTTATCATTGGCAATTGATGGCGACAACCTCTATGCTGGCGGGCGAGTCAACGGCACTGCTCAGGGATCTTCTGTCAATGGTCTCGTTACGTATAACCTTGCATCAAAGTCATTAGGCCCGCAGCCCCCCGCTCTTGCTGGCAACAACGTAGTTGTCACCTCTATCACTGTCCGTCCGAATACCAGTGATATCTACGTTGCCGGTTCTTTCGAGAGGGCAGGTTCACTTCCCTGTCCTAGTGTCTGTCTTTTTAGCACCGGAACTAGTCAGTGGAATCGACCTGGGTTTGAACTTGGCGGCGATGTTAAGTGCACGATGTGGTCCAGCGGTTCAGTTCTGCTTGCGGGCGGCAATCTGACCGTTAATGATAACGTGGCCTTTTTGGCTTCCTACGACGCCTCGAATTCTCAATGGAGCTTATACACGGGTGCCTCGGGCCTACCGGGCCCTGTAAATGCTTTAACTGCTGCAAGCAGCGATGATACGCAGATTTGGGTTACCGGCACGCAGTCTGATGGTTCCACCTATCTGATGAAGTATGATGGTTCGTCTTGGAAATCTGCTAGTGTCACGTTCGATCGGGGTACCGTAATCAGCAGCTTACAGATGTTTACTGTAACTCAATCTCATGACTCATCTGATCTTATTGCGTCCGACCAAGTCCTCCTAATGACCGGCTCCATTGCGATACCAGGATTTGGCACAGCATCCAGTGCCATCTTTAACGGTACGGAGATCCGGCCTTATGCACTTACCTCGAAAGTTGATGGCACAGCTGGATCGATTTCCCGGGTCTTCGTACAGAGGGAGAACTTCTTCACCTCCCACGGTAAGTTCGAATTGTAAATGCGCATTTTGGTATGTACTAACTTTATCATCAGGTGATAGTGGTATGCCAGTCGTGTTCGTGGCTCTCATCGGCTTAGCCATTTCCTTAGGCCTCATAGTGCTTATTGTGCTTGCTGGTCTTGCATTGGACCGATATCGCAAGAAGCGCGAGGGTTATGTCCCAGCTCCAACATCCATGTTCGATCGCGGTAGCGGTATGCAACGAATACCGCCGCACGAGCTACTTAATTCCTTAAGTCAAGGTAGACCGGGAGCTCCTACTGTTTGAAGCGTCTCGTCAACAAGATTACTTTGATACTATGGGATTGGTATGATTGAGCACAAGATGGAGGCATTTCCTTTGATCCAATAATCTTTATACAAAACGTATTACAATGTTTAGAATCGAAAAAAAAAATAGACCCAACTACTACGGGAAATCAGCAAATCGATAAGATATCGGAGATACCCAATCGACAAGGAGACCTGTCGATGCAAAGAAATTAGGAGATTGGGGAGGAAGTAAAGAGGGAAAGAAAAAGATCCGCAACGGATTTACTAATCTTTGGCGGCTTCACGAATGACGACAACGCCAACAATTTTAATGTTTACATGCCTAGTTATCTTCACACACACATGTGTTACTAGCCTTCACTACCGTCCTTTGTATATTTTTTTCAATTACCTTGCAGCCCCGCCCCCCGGTTGCTATGGAAAGGGTCTGTACCGGTGCAGACTCGGAGGACAGTAGGTTGGTGGTATTTTTGATAGGAAGGGTGAACATATTTCACGGAAGTTCAGGGTTGAGTAAACCAAGGGGTGGGGGTGTTATATCTCAGAGTGAGAAGAGATGATGGAAGGATTCGGCTGAACTTGGCTTGATGCTGAGCAATCATTTACACCTTATGTGGGTGATAAAGTTACGTAGTAGGTAATCTACATAGTAACTAACTGCTTTCAAATTGCTGTGTGAATTTTGCTATGTGACACCTGTGCAAGTAGGTATATGTAACAAATGTAGGTATTATAAGTTGTAATAAAATATGAATGTACTTCGTAAACCGTAATGTATGTATATGTCAATATATGTAGGTATGTACAATATTAAATATGCATAATACTAGCCACGGGCGGGTTGCCACATTTTCCAAGTCCGCCACTTTTCCCTAAGGCGACAAATCAGGATTAGTGACTAATGTAGCTGGTGCAAAGTGGAACCTACCTAATCCAACAATTACCTTTTCCCTTATCACTCACCATTTAGAGCCTCGTCAGTGCATGAAATCTTGTTCACCTTCAACCCCAGCCTTCCCCCTTCGCGCTTTCATCTAAAAGAAAAGGTCAAGACAGCGTCCGGCTGAACTGTTCATCATGTCAGACGCTGACTTTGACACCGTTAGAAAGCTCCAAGCTGAGCGGAACGCTGCTGCAGCTGCTAAACAAGGGTCGCGCGGTCGAGACCCCAAGAACCAGCGATCTGACAGTTCAACTAAGGCAAAGCTTACCGAGTCCTTCGACACCGAGCTCTACGACCGCGACGGAGATGACAAATATGCAGGATATCTCACATCTATCCCCGCCGCCGATGGGGAAGATGAGGAGATGGAAGATGCTGATAACTCGCGTCGTTTAGTTGGCCAGTACACCGCGACGCGTGCCCAGATCGACGAATTCGCCCACGGCAATGGAGTCGAAGAGGATGACCCCTTCGCAGGAAGAGGCGAAAACAGCACAAGGATAATCGACCGCGAAACTGACTACCAGAAACGTCGCTTCGATCGTGTTCTTACCCCAACCAGAGCCGATGCCTTCAATCGCCAAGGAGGTGCAGCAGAAGGAGACACATATCGAGATATCATGGAACGTAGAGAAATAGAAAGAGAAGAAGAGAGGGTCAAGCGTGCTATTCAAGCGAAGCGAGAAGGGAAAGAAATCGACGGCAGTCACGAAGCAACGCTGAAGGATGGAGATAAAGAGAACACAGACGCTGGGTCTACTGAAGCAGCGACAACTGGGCGAAAGCGCAAGAAGAGGTGGGATGTTTCTTCAACTGCTGTAGACGAACCTTCATCTGAGTCTACAGAAGGGAAAGCCAAGAGATCCAGATGGGACCAAGCACCATCGCTTCCTACCCCCGGCGCGGTTGACGGTGCCAAAAAAAGATCTAGGTGGGATCAAGCACCCTCTGCAACCCCCGTCGGTGCTAGCGGTCTAGCTACACCAATGCACACATCCTCACTTGGTGTTGGCGCAGTGAAGTCAGATATATCCGGCCCTGGTGGCGTGCTCGGTGATGAAGAATTGAATGTGCTCCTTCCAGGTGAAGAGCAGGGCTATAAGATTCTTGACCCTCCGTCAGGATATCCTACCGGACATGCCCCTCTCCATAGAGTTGCGGCTACACCGCTTCCACCAAATTACGGTGGTTTCATGATGCAGGATCCGGAGAGCACAAGATTAGGAGGAAGCCAGATGCCCAAAGAAATTCCTGGCGTTGGTGAGCTACAATTTTTCAAGCAAGAAGATATGGCATACTTCGGCAAGTTAGCAGACGGCTCCGATGAAAATACTCTCAGCGTCGAAGAGCTAAAGGAGCGAAAAATTATGAGGCTTCTTCTGAAGATCAAGAACGGTACTCCTCCTATGCGAAAGACCGCTCTCAGACAACTTACAGATAATGCAAGGCAGTTCGGTGCTGGGGCTCTGTTCAACCAGATTCTCCCTCTTCTGATGGAGAAGACGCTAGAAGACCAAGAACGCCATCTACTCGTCAAGGTGATCGACCGTATCCTATGGAAGCTCGATGACCTTGTCCGTCCTTATGTACACAAAATCCTCGTCGTTATCGAACCGCTTCTTATCGACCAAGATTACTATGCGAGAGTTGAGGGTCGAGAGATTATCTCTAACCTCAGTAAGGCCGCCGGTCTCGCCACTATGATCAGCACGATGAGGCCTGATATCGATCACGTCGATGAGTACGTACGTAACACGACGGCGAGAGCTTTTGCTGTCGTGGCTTCAGCACTCGGCATTCCTGCGCTTTTACCTTTCTTACGAGCAGTATGTCGAAGCAAGAAGTCATGGCAAGCCCGACATACTGGTGTCAAAATTGTGCAACAAATTCCCATCCTGATGGGTTGTGCCGTACTACCTCACCTTAAAGGTCTTGTGGACTGCATAGGCCCGAACCTGAACGATGAGCAAACGAAGGTACGGACAGTTACTAGTTTGGCCATTGCTGCCCTTGCTGAAGCGTCCAACCCTTATGGTATTGAATGTTTCGACGATATTCTTAACCCTCTGTGGACAGGTGCGCGGAAGCAACGTGGTAAGGGTCTTGCCGGCTTTCTCAAAGCTGTCGGCTATATCATTCCCCTCATGGATGAAGAATATGCCAATTACTATACCTCACAAGTAATGGACATTCTTCTCCGAGAATTCTCGTCTCCGGATGAGGAGATGAAGAAGGTGGTACTGAAAGTTGTATCTCAGTGCGCGGGTACTGAGGGTGTAACAGCTGGGTACCTTAAGGAGCATGTTCTAGATGAGTTCTTCAAGAGTTTCTGGGTGAGACGAATGGCCCTAGATAAACGAAACTATCGACAAGTGGTACGTGAACCTCCTTGAACATATCTTTATTAATTGATGGCTAACATTAAAAATTACAGGTGGAAACAACAGTTGATATCGGCCAGAAGGTCGGCGCCAGCGAGATCCTGGAGCGAATCGTCGGCAACCTCAAAGATGAGAGCGAGGCTTACCGCAAGATGACTGTCGAGACCGTGGAAAAGGTAGTTGCCAGTCTAGGTGCGGCAGACATCGGCGAGAGATTGGAGGAGCGACTAATCGACGGCATTCTCCATTCCTTCCAGGAACAAAGTGTTGAAGATATCATCATGTTAAACGGCTTCGGTACAGTTGTTAACGCCCTAGGCACCCGGTGCAAGCCTTATCTACCTCAAATAGTGTCAACGATCTTGTGGCGTCTAAACAACAAATCCGCAACAATCCGTCAGCAAGCCGCGGATCTTATCAGCAGAATTGCCATAGTCATGAAGCAGTGCGGCGAAGATGCCCTTATGGGTAAGCTAGGTGTTGTCTTATACGAATACCTCGGAGAGGAGTACCCTGAAGTTCTCGGTTCGATTCTCTCGGCACTACGAAGCATTGTTACCGTAGTTGGTATCAGCCAAATGCAACCACCAATTAAAGACTTGCTACCGCGTCTCACTCCCATTTTACGAAATCGACACGAGAAGGTGCAGGAAAATACTATTGATCTTGTCGGCCGTATCGCCGATCGTGGACCCGAAAGTGTAAACGCAAGAGAATGGATGAGAATTTGCTTTGAGCTGCTAGATATGCTGAAAGCACACAAGAAGGGCATCCGAAGAGCAGCAAACAACACATTCGGTTTCATTGCGAAAGCTATCGGGCCGCAGGATGTGTTGGCCACCCTACTGAACAACCTTCGCGTCCAGGAGCGCCAGTCCCGAGTCTGCACGGCGGTTGCAATTGCTATCGTTGCTGAGACTTGTGCTCCTTTCACAGTGCTCCCTGCTCTGATGAACGAGTATAGGGTCCCTGAACTCAACGTACAGAATGGTGTGCTCAAATCGTTATCATTCCTTTTCGAATACATTGGAGAGATGGCCAAAGATTACGTCTACGCCGTCACACCGCTTTTGGAGGATGCCTTGATCGACCGCGATCAGGTGCATCGCCAGACGGCCGCATCCGTCGTTAAGCATATCGCACTCGGTGTCGTTGGTCTAGGTTGCGAAGATGCCATGGTGCATCTCCTGAACCTCCTTTGGCCCAACCTCTTTGAGACCAGTCCGCACGTTATCGACCGCATAGTAGAGGCTATCGAAGCAATCCGGATGGCGGTCGGACCCGGTCTTGTGCTAAATTACGTGTGGGCTGGTCTATTCCATCCCGCCCGTAAGGTACGACAGCCTTACTGGCGGCTCTACAACGACGCGTACGTGCAAGCTGCCGACGCCATGGTCCCGTACTACCCTAACCTGAGCGAGGACGGTATCGATAGGCCTGAGTTGGCTATCGTGCTATAGAGTTATTCCCCCCTTTTTTTCTTCTTCTTTTTTAAGTTAAAATGGCTAGTAAGTAGTATTATCCATTCAGCCACGTGAGTTCGGGACATCTGGCTGGCGTTGTACAGTAGATTCAAATCAAACCCAAAATAATGAGGAGTGCGTGTGTATGTGTGTGTGTGTGATGAGGGCCGAGTTGAAATAATAGCCGCGGCTGTTTCAATAGCAGAGATGGGTAGTCAAATCATCAATGGGGAGGCGATTCATGGGTGTTTATTGGGAAGGATTACGCATGCGTTAGGCGCTTTGCTTGTCTGCTGAATAAATATATTTATTTATTTCTTGCGGGAAACATATAACTACCGTGCCTAGAGGTTATGAATAGGGAGGAGCCTTTTATGTTTGACAGGCTTCTCCTCTCACTTGGATAATTCTTGGTTGTGTTGAAGTGTTTACTTAATGTAAAAGTCTTGAAAAAAAAAAAAAAAAAAAAAAAAAAAAAGGGGGGGGGGGGGGGGGGGGGGTTAAAAAAAATAAACCCCAAAGGGCACAGAAGAAAAAATAAAGAGACAAAAACAAGAAAAAACCAACAGTTCAATAAACCCCCGCGGGTTTTATA